GTAAGAAAGATCTCCTTTTCTTTATCGACTTTGGCTATTTAACGTGTTTACTTTGTCAAGTATTTCTATATAAAAAAGATAAAGATGAATTCGACGTAAACGAGACTAATGATGATGTCGAAAAGATACTGCCAGGAATTGAATTCCTTCATTTCGTTCATCATTTATTTATTGATATTTTTTCCTCATTTTTTATCTTATTTAAAAATATTACTTTCTATTAAAAATACATTAAAGTGAAGTAAAGAAGTTCATAATATGATTCTAAAAACAAGAGTAAGTACTTTATAATTTATTTATGATGTTATGCATTAAGATATCTAACGCTTCAAGAGATACCAAATTTAAAAGGAATTCATAATTTGAATATTATAAAAATGGTTGAAAATTCAAGACAACATTCCTGACTATAGCCTTATTTAAGAAAATCCTCAAGAGAGAATTTCAAAAGGTAATCTTACCGGTAATGTTAATATCCTATTGCATAATGTCCAAGTGTTAAGAACATACACGAAGTAACATAGACTTGTACATTAAATGATACGACCTCTTCCCTTGGCTCCTTCACTTCTATAAAGCGGAAGAAACACCACCATTATCTTTACTTGCTTGTAAGATAGCAAGAAACCGTAGTGATGGAAAGAATTAGACAATTACATAAACAAGATTGGAATGTGAGGGTGAATTAACACGAAAAAAATTGATTTTAATCGAAATTAAATTTCTTTTTTGTAATAAATGATTTCTTTTTTTCTGAAATTATATCAAAATGTAGAAATTCATGACATTATGAAAAATAAATGTCAATTTGTACAGATAAAATATTTAAAAATCAATACCTTTAGTTTATTTACAGCAATAAAATGATATTGTATTCATAAATAAAATTAATTTAATAAGTTGTGATCGAAATAAAATAGTCTTTCAAAACAGTTTTTATGAAGATAACAAGTGCAAGGAAAAAGTAAACGTCGAGTCAACCATCAAGATGAGAATAGAAAAAACGATACTCATCGGCAATTCTCCAACGTACTTCTTGTTACTTTTCGTAACTTCCAAGCAGACTTCCTCCTCCCAAACTGTAATGAACTGATTCTTTTTCCGAGATTGTTCTCGTTGCTAACAAGCTCCAGCACAATGACGGGTTTTCACCAATTTCCTGTATACGTACCTGATCATCTTTTATTCTTTATAATCTTATAAATTTTCGTATTTTAAGATTAACATTATTTATGCTTCTCTAATATTTATTACATAGTCTAAGAATAATTCAAGAGTAGGTAAGTAAAGGGAATCGTATATAAATTAGGTAATCCGAGATGTCAGGTCAGACCTAGAAATACTTTATGGGAATGTAAGTGCGCGCAAGCTCCACTGGATGTCAGTAATGTGCAGGAGAGTAAGAGGAGTAGAGGATTGTAGTTTTTTTTTTATTATACTACCCAGTAAGAGGGTAATAAAGCCATGGACATACAAATATAAGAGCTTTGACTGGAATTTTATCCAGAATCCTTAATGCTGTGTAACGTGGACAAATTACGCACCCTGCAACACGATATATCCCCCGAATATATGGCAAACTCGCCCCTTATTTCTTTCATAGCCTATATAATAAACTTTTACGTGGCGTAGGAGGGGTGCGACCCTTGCCATACACTCAGCAATCTCCCTTTTATGCCGACATCCTCATTCTGAAAATCGGTAAGTTGTGACTTTCAAACCTTGCAGTAAAAAATGAGATTATCCTTTTACCCCATTTTTTCAACGATTTCTCAGCAGCAATTTTAAAAATATTATCAACGAAATTTTATTGAATATTTCAACGTAAAATGTTTTGAATACTTATGGAATATAGTGTAAGAGTTCTAATGAAAATTAATGACAAAAATTTGAAAGTTACTTAGACATGTACAAATCACATTCATCAACAACGTTCGAGCAAAGTTCCATGCACTGCAAGAGCTTACGCAAGCTCGCTGCTGACTCTGAAAACATGCAATATAAGTCTACCATCATGCTCCTGAGTAAACTCAAATACCCCAGTAGTTTACTTGAGAGCTTCAACTATTTATCAGCCATTAGCATAAGATTTCCGTTCAGTTTAAATTAAAAATGAGAAGCTTCGAGAAATCCCTATTATATATTGTCTTTTTTCATCCTTAAATTGACAAATGGTCGGGCACACTTATCGCTAGGACCACATACATGTATAAAAAGTGGTCGGTGACAGAGCATATAAATGGAATCTCTCGTCTAATAAACCAAATATATTACTGTAGAATTAAGTTGCATCATTGAACTTGGTAATCAATAAGGACCCTTACATTTCCCCTTCTCAATAACCCTCAGGAAACCATGACTTCTCGAAATTGCTTCCGGCCTTGTGTAAATACAACCCTTGTGAATAATGTTTTTTATCATAGATGTTTTTCTTAATTCTTCTGACGTTATTCAACTGATAATTACAAAAAGTCAACGGTCAAATCCCTACTCAGGGGACTTCCTTTCCCCGAGGACATTATGCCAATCATTTCGTTTCAGAACAGCACAGTAATTCACCAGCTACAGCCCTCGCTACACTCTGTGACAAGCCTGCGATTTACTCGAAAATCCCACGGGAACATCACCGGTGCAAGATTTTATTTTTTGCGACACTTTTTCTCGTACCAAGTTGAGTCAATCGAAAATTTTATCCTGTTTCATGAGCTTGCAATCATTGATCCAATATTCGCTATTCAATGCACTGTCCAATATCCCAAAAATTTATGCATCAAAAATTTTTGATACCGATAATCCATTCAATTTCCAGTAATGTTTTTTTCTATCGTTTTATTACACTATTTGTCATGTGTGAAAGTCATTCACATCCTCAATAAGTTTCATCAACATGTATGGAAGTTAGTTCTTGTCATAAGGACTCCACAGACTAATTCACTAACGAAAATTTACAATTCAAGAGCGTAATATTGAGACCATTGTTACCGCACTTTTGTCTAATTGAATGTACATCTCAATAAGACATAAATCTTGAGAATATATATTTCTATAAAATAGTTGAAAAATTTTAATGCTAAATTACACACATTTAATGACGCTGTTAACTGGTTTAATAAAACAACCTTAATAGAAATATGAAAAGTTTTCTTCAATTTCAATGCTAAAAACTTTTCAACCATCACAAAATATAAAGAGTGCTGCTAAAAGATAATTTAAGTTAAGAGAAATACAAAAAGGTTATTATTAATTTTTTTTTTTTAAGGTGATGGTAAAACTTGTGGTTCAGAAATTATGAAATTTTTATATATTCCCCAGTGGAATAGTTGGGGTGGATCCTCACTTGTAGGTATTTATCAAAAATTTATTTCTGTAAATGCTAAGTGGTCTAGTATAATTTTTTTCAAAAATTCTCTCAACATGATCATTGAAATTAACTACATCTAACTTGTACAGAAATCCCCTTGGATAAACTACATTTTATTGCAGAGCAAAAACTGAAAATACACTGCGTAAATCCTTGCGACGATCGATTTATGTTCTCCAAAAGAATGTTCATACAGTTAACTGAGAAAAAATAATATATATGTATATTCATCTAATATAATATATTATATAAAATAAAATTAGCTTTCTTTTATTCACAATTTGAATATTTTTTAACTGACTTTTAATTAATCTAATGTCAATCCAGAACAGAACATCTGGGCAAGAAAATTTCTCCAGATCTCTGTCCAATAAGCTTACGTTTAGTTGAACTTCTTCTGTACAATATAGTCGAGAGGTTGAAAATTTGCATTATTCCATATTCATGAATTCAATGTAAAAGTTTCCCGAAGCAGAGTAATTCTTCTTGGAGCATGTCAATCAGCGAGGACTTCCGCTAGGTGTGTTTTTCTTCACATAGGATGATTTCTTAGAAATATATCAAGACTCACTCTTTAAAAAAGGAGCGGAAAAAATTTTTTGTTTAATTTTTTTTTCTTCGTTTAAAAAAGTTCATCAAAGTCGTACTTTACGAAGCAAATTATACTGTTGTCATAATAGATCAAGAGTCCGGACTTGCAACGGTCGTGAATATAATCAACCATCGATCTTTCAATCTGAGAACTTTTTATTAGTTTTAATAAATCTTGAATAAAGTTAGCAATTTATTTATATATAAAGATACAATGATTTAATTATACTAATCAATGGATAAACATTGAAAAAACCATTTAAATATTTATTTTAAAAAAACGTACATAATAAACATTTATATTTATTATTTTTATAAACAACAGAGTAAATAAAACCTTTTAAAAAATATTCAAGCTTTTTAATTACTCACTAAAAACGCTTCAATAAAAAACTAATAAAATCGATAAAAAAAAACTCCAAGCTTTTATAACAGAAAAAAAATGGTTTAATTTAATTGGACAGCAAAGACGCAAAGAAAAATGTAACTTTCAGCGAATTAATTGAGCAAAACATATTACATAGTTTTTGTAAATTAATCAAACACCTTGCATGTGTTGTGATTGAAGTAAGGATAGTCTGTCAAATTCGATTGGTATCCTCCAAGCCTTTGGGAACCCTCTTTTATTCTTACTTTTTGTTAGATTTCTTTTTCCTTGGTCAGCCCGAAGCTGATACGTCGCTGCTTAATTGGAATTGATTGAACTGGTAGTACTCTAGGAAGGTTAAATCTTTATTGCGTAGAATAAAAAAGAAATGAAATGAGAGAGTAAAAGAGAAAGAAAGAGAAAAAAGAAGAAAGCCAGTCTATCGAAGTGATATGAACAAAACGATGAGGGCGGATATGGTAGTGACTGATTCAGCAATCGAAGAAAATGTCTTGCAGCTGCGGGCTACGGCGATTGTCTACCGAGACATCAGTAGCTGCTTGTGACACAAAGAAAATGTAAAAAAAGTCTCTTCAATTATCATTCATGTTCCAACAACATAGTCGAGCTGATCAAACATATTCCATTTAATCAAGACAAAATAAAATAAGAAAACACAGATAAGTATAACACATGTAACTGTTATTGAATAACAAATAACAGAAAAAAAATGGTGCACTTGCTTCAATAGATGAAAAGCATCACTTGTTTCATCATACTTTTTTTTTTATCAAAATGCTTGAGAGCTGACGCACTAAGGTCAATGACCAGTAGCATACAACGTTTATCACTGCTCAATAAAAATCTTAACAAGATCAATAATCCAATCAATAGATCTATCAATTACTCTAATTTTTTTTAATTAATGTCATCAAAACACGTAAAATCATTTATTTTGTTCAATAAAATTTTTATCAGTACTTTTTTTTCCTATGTTTTCAGCATCATCAATTGTGTCGGGTAATTGCTGTCCCATTGTCTCTGGAAATAGGAAAGAAATTATTCCTGCCAGCATTCCCATACATCCAAACAATATTAGTGGTAGTGATTCAATAACAGTAGCCTGTAAAAGAAAAATTTTTTGTTCGTAAAGAAATTCAATGCTCATATGAATAGCTAAGCAAGTTATGGAGAAAATTTACTAATAATCGAGTTTGAGGCGCAAGAATGGAACCAATTCGACCAGTCATGCTGCAAATACTGAGCAGAAAATGTCTTGCAGTTGTAGGGAACATTTCTGCGGTGTAAACATAAACTGTAGCGAATGCCATTGTAATGCAAGCCTTTCCACCCATGTACATAATTATTGGTGCATAAGACCATGCATCTGAAAATTCCAGTTTAGAATTTAAATTGTATTTTTTTTATTACTTTTATCAACAAAAAGAAAATTAAAAAAATATAAATAAACATAGATATTGGTTGAATAAGTAATATTAATACATGCGTTATTGATAAATAAATCAGAAATATATTTACATACCTCTTGGTATGAATTGAATGCCAAGACAAAAAATACCACTAAATAAAAATGACCCAGCTAGTGTGGGCTTTCTGCCAAGGTAATCAATAAATATCCCACTCAGAAAATATGCTGGTATTTCAACAAAAGATACTAATATAAAATTGACGTATTTATCACCCGCAAAGGCTACAGAATTTAATGAAAGTCCATAATACACAAAAGTATTGGTCAGCCAACATAAGCAGCATGCAAGTAATCGCATTAAAAGTTTTGGTCGTGAAAGTGCTTCTATCACTGATTTATTTTTATTAGTTGCTTTTTTTGTTTCCTGTATTAGAGAAAATAGATTATTTTTCAGTATAACAAATCATTCTGTAGTTAATCAAGTATGAAGAAATTATCGATTTACTTTATAAGTATTTTCACTATTCAAATCTTTGTATAAATTAATTTCAATATCAGGCATTTTTGTTCCATTCATTTTTGCTATTCTTCTATAAACATTTTCTAACTCTTTTCGCTTTCCATTAGCAACAAGCCACCTGTAATTGATTAAAAATCTTGAGTGCATCAGATAAACATTTTTGTTTTAAAAACTTTTTACCTAATTGATTCAGGAATAACGAATGGCAAAAATATTGCGAGTAAACACGGTGCAAAAAAAATTCGGAGTAAATTTCTCCATGATTTCAGTCCCATTGCAGCTGTACCAACTAACATTTCTCCAATCGCATATACGCAACACATAATAGTACCACTAACGACCCTTCGTCTTTCCCCAGTCATTTCTAAAGCTGAAATTTCAATCAATACAATATCTAGATTAATTCAATCAATAAGATCTTTATTCGCATTCTACATTTAATATGTCATTAGAATTATCATTCTATTCAATATTTTCTTTAATGTAGTCATATTTTTTAAATGTAAAATAGCAACGATGACCTTAGAATTGATTATAATCCATTTTTTATGAACGATAAAAAATAAGAATTTATGACAAGTGCTAATCATTAAAAATGTAAAATAACCAATCAGTTACAATAATTAACTCTGGCTTCATAAGAATATTAAAGAGTCTCAAGACTTACTCAATGGATTTACCTAGAATGTATGCAGTACTATAAACTCCAGCTGAGGATACTGATTGAGCAAATTCTAGAGCTATGAACATCCAATAATTAATTGAAAATGATTGAATAAGACCTACAATTCCAGTACAAAATGTCTCAGTGACAAGTAAAGTTCTTCTTCCATATCTGAAAAATTTTTTGAGTAAAAAACTTGGAAAATTCAAAATGGAATAGTAAGGAAAATTATTGATACCTATCAGAAAGAAATCCTGCAAACATTAAACCTACTAGCTGACCTACATTATTAATTGTTCCAACTAGAGCCAATTTCCACCTATTTTCATTACAGGTAATGTTCCACTACATACAAATTAAGACCGTAACAATTAAAATAATGACCGTTATTTGATACATTTATTGATGATAATTACTTTTGGTGTATGTTACCTCATTCAATATTGTTTTTTCATCTGGTTTGTAAACCCAATGGTCACATTTTTTAATTTCTTGTGTAAATGATTGTTCTGAACATACGCCTACATGGTTGCTTTTTATAGTATAGTGTTCACAACTTCCAAATAAATTATTTTTCGCTGGCACAGAGTATTTTGCCCACGATGTATTCCAAATTGACGTTAATGAAGTTTCACATTCAGGTATGAAACATCTAATAAATATGAATTAAAAATAAGCTAATCAATTTTTAATTAAATTGAAAAAAACTCTAATATGTTATTTCAATTAAATGCCATAACATTTAATACGTAGTAATATATTTCTCACACCTATAGCCAACCTCTCCAGAGGTAAAGACATAACCGAGTGCAAAAGCAGCCGACAAAATTACTGGAAAACTAATAACAAAATATACCATTAATTGATATTTTCCTATTCGATCAATGTCATGGATTCCACGTAAATGTGTTTGTTCATCTGGAATGAGTAATTATAACTTGTAATGACGTTTTCTTTATGATACAAAAATAAAGAAAATTTGAGTATTTGTGAATAAAAGAAAATTGAAGAGAACTAATTAAAATTAATTATTCATAATTCCATAGAATTTTTACCTTTTTTGTCTGTATTACTAATAGATGATGGAAGATTGAAAGCATCCTCAGTCTCTTTATTATCCATTCTAATAAATGGTATTTAAACGTGATAAAAATGATTTATTTCTGTAATCATTTATTGTTAGTTTAATTGAATAAATCGTTAATTAATTCGTGATAAATAATAGTGTGTATAGATAGCTTAGAAAAAAAAATTCAAAATTATAATTCTTGAATAAAAAAAAACTTTATCGTCACAATAAATACTTTTGATATCTCAATGCTTGAGTATGTTGGCGGGATTTCAAAAAAATCAGCTTCCGCGACTCTTTTATGATGCTTTATTTCATAAAAACTGATATGGAAATTCAGAAGTACGAACAACACATGAACAAAAAAAAAGTAGCAATTAATTTATTTTATTATCTACTGCGATACGGAAAAATTATTAGTTGCATATAATCTAAAAAAGAAATAATTATAAATGTTTAGTGGTACTTTTTTAAAATGGTCCAGAATGAAGCTATCAAAATAGTTAATAATGTCTCGTTTTGTATTTCAAATAAAAAAAAAGTTTTATCTTTCAAAATTGGATAACACTTACGCGCGTTATAATCACCAGATATCAAAATGATGTACGTTCAAAACAACTCGCGTTCACCCACTACTTCGTACAAACTCTGTGCTGTTTTAGCAATGAACAAAGACAACACCGGATGAACCCTCCTTTCACTCAGACCAAGCCAGCTTACTCACTATGCACGCCTTTATAAAATGCGAAGGAATGACGCACTGTGTGAACCGTCGTCGTATACATTCCAAATATGAGAGAACACAATAAATTCAATAACTTCAATGTATGCACTACAGAAACTTTATTTTTCATCACAGTGTCACTGTACATAAAAATATCTTATCTTCAGATTATTTTTGAAAAGGAATATTCAAAACTTTTAAGCCTGTGAACATATTTACAGTATAAACACAAAATTCATTACTCATTGCTCCACTAAAATGAGCTTTTAAGGAGTATCAAAATTCATTTTAGAATTTTTCATATTGATTTTAGAATAAATAATAATTAAATATTTATTTTGAACATTTTATTATCATAAAAATGTGAACTATATTAGTATCATTAACTAAATATATATATTTGCTCCAATAAAGAATAATAGTATTAATTTTCTTTTAGTCATTGATAACTAGACTAGATAAGAATTCACTGCAAAAATATTGACATCAGAACAAATGTGCTGTTGACCACCCATTAAAAAGAAGTCAAATAATCTGAACGGCCTACTCAAATACTAAAAATTTCTTGATCTGATAAATTTCATCGATAATGTTGATTCAAGATTACTAATAATTACTCTTTGATTACATTCAGCAATAAATAATCTCAAAGGAATCAGGTCACAAGAAAGTATTTGGAGCAACAACAATTGGATGTTGATAGATTTTGGAGTTATTTAAAATTCGAAATTAAAATTTAAATATAGATGGCAGTAATTGTCCAGAAACGTGGCCTTGTGTGAATTAAATGTCATCTTGAGTAAACAAAAGATCCAATAAGATGGACATAGATAAAGTTATGTAATTGTATAATTGAAATAAACCATAGTAATATATACTTCCTATTGAATAATAGTTTCATAGAGAGATATTGTTAGAGTATCAACTTTATTTAATCTAAGACTCTTTAAGATCGTTTTAGAAGATATAAAACTCAACACATAATAATTAAATCTCAGCTATATTTTTTATCTAATTGTTATTTAATTAGTAAGAAATTAACTTCCATATTTGTTGTACATGATGGAAAATTTTAATTTGGATGATGTTCTTGAAAAATATTTACCGGAAGAAAAACTTCAAAAAGTAAAGCAGCTTATATATGGAAATGAATTGAGGTAACCTTACTATTATATTTATTTTATATTAACCACTGAAAAATTTGATATTTAATGTTTTTTTGATTTTTTTTAAGACCTATTGATCAAGTATTTTATGAAGATGATAATTTCGAAGTCAAGGGTTATGATTTTTCAAAGTGTGCAATTATTGAAACATCTAATCCACCGCGAGAGGTTAGAATAGGATTGATTCAACATTCAATAGTGTCCCCCACTGACTTACCAGTGAATGACCAAAGACATGCAATTCATTGTAAAATAGAAAAATACATAAAACTTGCGGCAAAGTTTGCAGTTAAAATACTGTGTCTTCAAGAAGCATGGAGTCAGTAACTTATATGATTATAATGTATTAATATGCAATAATTTATCCTATAACTAATGATTTATTCATTAATTTTCAGCAATGCCATTTGCATTTTGTACCCGAGAAAAGTACCCTTGGGTAGAATTTGCTGAAGATGCTGAATTAGGGCCGACGACTAAATTATTATCTTCACTAGCACATGAACATAAAATGGTGATTATTTCACCAATTTTAGAAAGAGACAGTGTTCACGGTGATACACTGTGGAATACTTGTGTTGTTATTGATGATGATGGATCTGTATTAGGGAAACATAGGAAAAATCATATTCCACGAGTTGGTGATTTTAATGAATCTACATATTACATGGAAGGAAATACCGGTCATCCAGTTTTTCAAACTAGTTATGGGCGTATCGCTATTAACATTTGTTACGGACGTCATCACCCTCTTAATTGGATGATGTTTGGTATAAATGGTGCTGAAGTAAGTAAGCAATACAAATAATAAGATGATTAATTTGCATTAAATTGTTTTAAAAAAAAGCTTTTTTCAATCAGTCGTTCAACAATAAAAAAATTAATATTGATAACACTTTGATGATAATTAATAACATGAAAATGTTTTAAAAATTGCTTATTTATGAAAAAAACTTGATTACAGTGATGTCATTTTTATCAAAAATTGTTTAATTAAAAAAAATATATACAAAAATATTTTTCAAATGCAATAAGAATATCAATAAATTTTTTAGATTGTTTTTAATCCGTCTGCAACAGTCGGGTCATTATCTGAACCGTTGTGGCCAATCGAAGCAAGATGTGCTGCAATTTCTAATAGCTACTACACGTGTGCAATTAATCGTGTAGGAACTGAACATTTTCCTCATGAATTTACATCAGGTGATGGAAAGCCAGCACATAAAGATTTCGGACATTTTTATGGCTCTAGCTATATAACAGCACCGGATGGTACTCGAACTCCTGGATTAAGTAGACATAAAGATGGATTATTAATAGCAGATATTGATCTTAATGTTTGCCGTCAAACGAAAGACAGATGGGGATTTCAAGTAAATATGCATTTATTATGTACATTTCAATTGTATTCACTATTTAACCTTTGATATTAATTTTTTAATTTCAGATGACTCAACGGTTAGAAATGTATGCAAAAAAATTCAATGAAGCTGTAAAGCTTAATTTTGAACCAGAAATTATCAAACGAAAAAAAGATTAAGATATCTATTTTATACAAGAAATATTATTTTTTATATATGTTTATGAAAGATATTTTTAAAAAATATATTCCTTTATCATTTTTATTTCAACGTGAGAAATTACATTTTTTCTTCATTTATAAAATATTAAAACATCTTGATTTTTTAAAATGAGTTACCACTTTATGAGGCCGATGTTATAGTATTAAACGCAGCATTATGTGTTTGTTTACGATAGTGAAGTGCCTCTTGATATGCTTTTTTGACTGCTTTTCGGTCGGCTGGTTTACGTGATTCAATTAATTTTGCTTCATCGAGGGCTGGAGATACACCTAATTTTTCTAATTTTTCTCCTGGTAACCATTGCCTAAAAATATACAAATAAATGATAATAGAAATACTTTATGAATTAACTCAAGATTAGAAAATAATTATATTTGTATATGTAAGTATGAAATAGAATAGAAGAATATTAATAGAATAATTACCATGTTCGTTTTGTATCAAAAAATAGAACCAGGAAAATGGGTTCTTTATAGTTAACAGCAAGTGCTAAAACATCATCAGGTGGAGCAGGAATAGGAACTCCTTTATGAATCGTTCCTCTTGGAGTACTTGGATCAATTATTAAAGCTGGATACCAAGGGTATCCTCTACACTTGGCCCAAACAAGTTGTAAAGCTTCCAATCGATCTTTTTGGACTGTTTTACTTTCTTCTTCATTTTTTGTCTTTTTGATAACTTGCTCAGGCTCATGATCATGATCTTCTCTATCATCATCATCGCCTTCAGGTTCAGGGGTAGTAGATCTACTTGTGGAACAACTACTACAACTAGAAGATTGGCTTTCTCCTTCACCAATATCACTATCTATTCCTCCACTTCGGTATACTCGAAAACTATCACTTTGCTTTTTCTGATCAGCTTCAGATCCAGCTGTGGGTCCACTTTTACTTGCTCGAGCTTTTGCTTTTCTTGTAAATAATACAGCTGTACGTCTATTTACCCCTCCAACTTCTTTTTCAGCTATTTGAGATTCTGATTCACTACGATTTCGACTACTCCTTTCTCGTTTTCTTGATTTTATCGTCGTTGTGTCACCTTCAGGGACTTGGTCATATTCTGGATAATCTTTACGTACTTGCTCTATTAGTGCTCCACCCTGTTCACGCATTTTGAGACCAGCTCTATAAAACATTGTGTCTTTTCGATTGTATGCTAAACAATTATTTACCATTAAATTAAAATCTGATTGAAAAGCAGACAAATTATCGTACTCTTGCTTGTCAATTTTTGTTTCCATAGTTGATAAATCCATAGGTTGAGAAACAATATCAAGGTAATCTGGTACCTCTTCAGTATTTACAGGTTGACCAAAAACATCATTCACATCTTTAGCTTTGATAGATTCAAGAAGAAGCTTTAAAATACTTTCCAATGGCCTTAGTTCAAACCACATACACTTTTCTTTAACTTTAAATAATTCTTTTTTTAATTTCTCACGTTTACGAACAAGTTCACATAACAGTCTTGCTCTTTCTAAATCTTGCCGTAAACACTGCCAGTATTTAAGTTGACGATAAAGTTCTCCTCTCATTTCTCCATCAGGTGCAGGAGAATTACCTCCAAAAGGATGAGGTCTAGCATGAGGATGAGAACTTTGAAGTCTTCGGAGGAGTGGAACACCATTCCTATGTTGTCGCTTTAATGTCCAATATGCTATTAGACGTTGAATGAGTTGACTTTTTTTAGGTAAGCCTTCAGCTAAATTTGCGATTTCTCTAATTCTTTCTGGTGGTATTGTTGGAATAGATATTACAGGTGCAGATGAACTTTTTTTATTAGCAATAGCTCGACGCCTAGCATCCGCAGGATTTGTAGATGGCTGATAATCAGCCGGTGTGTGAGCTTCGCAATAAGCAGTTTTTTGTACTAACATTGGTTCACCATTAGCTGGTTGTACTGTTCGCATTCGCATACATAGTCCTGCTTGTTGAGCACAAGTCACATGAAATGCCGCGTAGCAGTTGCTTTTGTGGCATTGGATGCATGCCCCAACACCTCTTCGTTTACAAACACAACACGCGAGTTTCCATCGTGCAGCAGGTATACTTTCTATACTATCAATTGGTTCGAGAAATACAGTATTAGCAAAACGAACCTCAGGAATCCATAACGCACATACTACATGGGCCCATGTTGCTGGTCGATCAGTCTGTTTAAATGCTCCCCCTCGATTTGGACATAATACACAATCCACTGCTCTCGATGGACTTTGAAGGCATCTTCTACATAACCACTGGCCTTCTGGAATGTACGGCACTCCATAACAGTCTTGATGAACAGCAAGATTACACATGTCACAAAATAATATTGCATTGCTATTCTGGCACTCGCCATCCATGCAAATACAACATACTGCATCTTCATCAGCAGCAATACCACCCGATCCATTGTTTTGCTGTTGAAAATACGATTCCTTTTCCAATCTATCCATCAATAACTCAAATGTATCAGGTTCCATTGGTGGAAGGCCTGATGATATTCTTCTTTCATTAACTACTGCTAGCCATGCAGAATCTTCTTCATCAAGATCATATTCTACTTCACCTGCAAAGCAAATTTCATAAATATTTGATTGTTTACAGAATAATAGTGAATTAAATAAACTACATAAAAGAGATGTAATATTTTATCAACTTACCATCAAGTTCTTCACCACTTCTCTCCATAAATCTAACGTAAGAATTAGGAAGTTGTTCCGCTTCTCCAATTTGGCGTTCATATCCATCTATTGCTTTTACTACTGCAACAGGTAATGAACTTAAAATTGCTTTATCTTCTTTTTCTCTTTCACTGAGAATATTGTTCCCTTTTTTCTCATCTACTTTGTCCAGGGGAACTATTGGAATACTGTCATTGATACCTAATTTTACAGATTTGTTTGCTTCATCGCCTAGAGGCGTCATCTAAAATGAAAAATAATCATCTAATATTCATAAAAAGTGAACCATATTAAAATAATTATAAACACTGTCTTGTTTATTGACTCTTAAAATGTAAACAACATAGTAAAGGCGATATATTGTTGATAGAAACTTATCAACAACAAACATACCAAAACAAAACGTGTAGCTTCAGCGGGAGTCAGCACTTCAGTACTTACTCCGCTCACGGATTCGTGCTGTCCACCCATCCTGTTTCTACTTTTTTTTTTATTCGATTGTGGAGTATTCATACTGTTTATTATTTACGATTATATGAAAATCGTTATACACATGGTATGTATTAGTATCTTTGTGCACAATCCTTTCAGCGTTTTACCCAATCATTTAACTTAAATATTTCAATGCTAATTTTATTTCAAAATAATTTACATTTGATAATTCATTTGAAATGAGTCAAAATAACGTAAAACTGGTTAAAATATATAAAAAAAAATAATGATGTTTAGAGGTTACAATGCTTGCTTTCCAGTCTCAAACATTTATTTGAATTATTTTATCATAGAAAAATATTTAGAGAGAAGAAACTTCAACCTTTTTCTAAAACTAGTTCTACCAACAGTCATGAAATTTATGCTTATCGACTGAGCATTTTTAATCAAATTGAGTGATATTTATCGATTACCTGATCTAAATAAATTACCTAAATGTTTAATTAATAATAAAAATTAATATTAATAAAAAACAAAACTAAAAAAATATTCTAATTAATTTTTTTTTGAATGAATATTTGAATCTTTGATTATTGATGCATCATTCTATTCTTTTCGTTCTCCACTAGGTGGAACACATGTCACGGATTGTTATGTTGGTAGATGTGCTCGTCAGTTTAGACAAACAAGTTTATGCTCGAATGAATACACACTAGTATAGTAGTGTAGTATCTATTCTGAAAAAATATTAGTGTATCAACTATATTGTAAAAAAAATCTAATTATACATAGCGTTTGTGCTTACTCGAATGCTTTTATGACGTTCGGGCTAGTTAGTATCAATTAAAATCAAATAGTACAAGTTTTTGGAAGTTTAGTGAACTTATTCTGACAGTGTTTGTGTATTTTTCTGTTATTAATATAATTATAATAAATAATTATTAATTCATCATGGGAAATGTTCATACGTGTGGCCCAAATGAAGCGCTTGTTGTATCCGGTAAGTTTCGTTAATAATCCAAAATGTATCGCCATACTGACATAATTTTAAGTACAAAAATTCTTTAGCATGGAAGTGTGTTGCACGAAGCGAATTCTGTTACAATTACAGTTACATAAAAAGTCTAGACAGACATGACAGAAATGTCAGTCATAAGTTTTAGGTTAAAAATATATTCACCGGTGCTCTGAAAAGATTATCCAACTTTATTCAATAAAAACAGATGTTTTTTTTACAATTTTCTGCATGATTTTTTTTTATTCTTCCATATTTTAGCTCAATAATTTTTTTTAAATAGAAATTTTCATCGTTTACTCCAAAAAGACCATTTGGCTATATGGCAATGCTTGATATTTTTTTTTTCATCAATTAAATTCAAGTTTTTTATTTTTGTTTCACAATTGATGTCATAATCGTCTTGTCATGATGATCTCATATGACTTTATGATAATTTTTAATGTTTAAAATCATGTTTATTGAGAAATATGTCAAGTTATCAATGCTTCTCTATCTTAGCATTTATTTTAACTTGGCAATATCTATCATAGATATTAATTACTCATTCTAATTACCTTCGTACATTACTATCATAAGCAAAGGACATGTTATAGCTCTTAATTGACTACAGGATGGAAATAGTTTTGATGCCCATTTTGTCTGTCAAATGTCAACTATCATTAGTGTAAATGTAAATATATATTACAACTAATTAGATTAAAGGTCGGTCAATCAACTTAATTAAGATATGATGATGATTATGAAATGTATCATTCTCTCATAACCACTGATTAAATAAGATCAACTCGGCTTAAAGACTGAATTAGTAACATTGTTTTGTATTTGATTTATAAGAGGAAATCTTATATTGGAAGAATTTAGTTGGTAATTAAATATTAAACTACTAACAAGAGTTTGAGTTTTCCCACGTTTGTTTGATCATGTCTGCTCCTTTTTCACCAATCATATAGACCCCTGCATTAATGTGACCAACAGGCATTGTTGGCATAATTGATGCATCCACAACTCTTAATCCACTAATACCATAAACCCTTAATTCTGGATCTACTACTGCATTAGGATCACTTGCAGGTCCCATTTTTGCTGTCCCTATTTCATGATTTTCTATAGCTGGCAAAGTTTTAATTGCACATCGAAAATAATCATCTGAAGCAAATTCATATGAAGTACATCCAGGCATCTTAATATTGTGTAGTTGACTATTATATTTTTGGAATGGTTGCGTAGCGGCTAATTCTATCGTATATTTGATTCCCTCTAAAATAATTTCAACATCTGCTGGATGTGTGAAAAAATTGGGCTGAAGTATTGGATCATGATAAGGATTTTTAGACCTAAGTGTTATACGTCCGTAGCTTCTAGGTTGTTGAACTATTGGCCATACTGACCATGCATCATGATTTTCAAGTGGCTTAAAAACTTTATTATATACTTCGTCTAATACTCCATAACTTTTTTTGACAGCTACGCCGTTGTCTGAATGTACTGAACCTGATATAAAAAGAAGCTCGACATCAGGTCGAGGGTCGGTAGCATATTTGGTTTGAACAAAAGCTATTGCTTCTGCACCACCAGGCAGTGTAAACGGTCCGTCTCGATTCTTTAAATAATTGATAGTATTTGCTACTGTCAACAATGATTTTTCAGTCAAAGAAATAGTTTCATTAATTGTGAATACTAAACCAAGGAATCCAATATGCTCGTATAAATTATATCCAACTTTAGCATCTTTTATGACCTCAATTCCTAGTTCTTCTAGATGATCTTTTGGTCCTATTCCAGAAAGCATCAATAATTTAGCAGAATCTATTGTACCAGCAGATAAGATAACTTCTTTTTTGGCAAAAACTTTTCTAGTTACTCCATTTTTGACATATTGTACTCCATAGGCACGCTTATTATTATCAATTAATATTTTTGTAACAAATGCATATGTTACAATTTCTAAATTAATTCTTTTTACTCTAAGATACGCTCTTGAAGCACTACATCGTGTACCACGCTCCATGTTTACTTGTAAATATGAAAATCCAATTTGTTCAGGACCATTATATTCTACTACATTCCATCCTAGCTGTTTACCAGCTTCCAAAAACGATGTAGCTAGAGGTGTATGAAACGGAATAAATTCCACACATACATGTCCATCTTTTCCATGATAGGATGCATTATATGGTACTAAAATAATAATTATTTATAAGATGATAATTGTTTGAGACTGTCTGATTATAAATAACAATTTTAATGAATGTTTAAAATTATTAAATCGTTCAATACATGACTTACCAGGTACTTTGAACCTTTCACTTTTTTTGTAATATGGCAAAACTTCCTCATATGACCATCCCTTATTACCTAATGAAGCCCATAAATCATAATCAAATTTATTTCCTCTAGTGTGAAGCATAGCATTGATGCTACTAGTTCCACCTAATGATTTTCCTCGTGGCCATGGACATCGTCCATCAACCATCCCAAAACAGGCATTGTTTTGACGTTCAACTCGGTATCCCCAATTGTAATCAGTCGAATGAAAGTTTGCATACAAAATTGGAACTTGATTTAAAATTCCCTCTGGTTTCCCTGCCTCTAATAACAAAATTTTCCATCTTTTGTTTTCTGAAAGCCTGTTGGCTACTGTAGAGCCGGCTGTTCCAGCACCAACAATTATAAAATCATATTCTTCAAGAGTTGGTAAAGATGAAGTTTTAATGTCATATGTTGTTGTTAGACCATAACTTCTTAATAATTCTAAAAATCCATGAGCTTTTATATTCACTACAAATGATATAATAAATAATAATATAACTTGGTTTATTTTCCACATTTTTTGTTAAAAGAGTTTCTTCGTTAATAACAAGCATAGAATAATTCAAAAGTCAGTTAAAGTATCTGAAATAAAAAAATTTTTTATATTTACAATTTAATTGACACAATTAAAATAATTAATTATAAAGAAAACTTCAAAAGAGAAATTAGTTTTTATAAAATTTGTTTACTGAAAAACTTAGTTTGCAATATAATGAATAATACTTTCACTCATTGCGGAATTTTCAATACTAAAGAATGACATTTAAGAAGAAAAGTTCGAACAAAGAATTCTGTATTGACAAAATTACAAAATCAATTGTATAAAATATTAACATACCTTTTTTACGTTTCAATGTTAATTATTTTAAAGCAAAATGTTTATTAGCAAGTATTTCAATTATTGAAAATATTCTTTAAAAAATTTGTGTTATTCTTTCATGGAAATTAATGAAAGTTTCTACCAATTAACACTTGTAAAATAATCACAAAGCACCTTTGACTAACTCTTTGTCCTTCGAAACCTTCCTCTTTGGAATCTGCTTGAGAAGTGACTGCTTTCTCAAGCTGTGCACATAATATTACTTAAATACCGAAGAACTTCTTTAGAATATCGTTCATCCCTACTTCTTGAAAATTAAATAATAATAATAAATTCTTTTACAAGGATATAATTTTTTTAATAAAAAAATTTCCATATATCTTATAAATAATTATAAGTATTTACATTTTTTATTTAACAGTTACAGAGCAAGTATAAAAAATAATCTCGTTTAATAGTTAGATGGTATATACAATTGATATTGACATATCTAACAATATAATTAAGATTTGGCAAATAATTATTGTTAATTGTTCCATGCTAATTTAATCATGTCTGCAGCCTTTTCGCCAATCATATAAATTCCTGCATTAATATGTCCAACGGGCATGGTTGGCATAACGGAAGCATCCACCACTCTCAATCCCTTAACACCATAAACTCGTAATTCTGGATCCACCACTGCTTCGGGGTCAGTTACAGGCCCCATTTTTGCTGTTCCTATTTCATGGTTTAACATGGCTGGGAGAGTTTTAATTGCACATCGAAAATAATCATCCGAGGCAAATTTATGTGAAGTACATCCAGGTATTTTCACATCATATAGTTTACTTTGATATTTTTGAAGTGGTTCTGTTGCTGCTACTTTGATAGCATATTTTATGCCTTCTAAAATAATTTCTACATCCGCTGGATGAGTAAAAAAATTTGGTTGGAGAATTGGATTATCATACGGGTTTTTAGACTTAAGTGTAATGCGTCCACGACTTCGAGGATGTTGGACTATTGGCCATACTGACCAAGCATCTCGATTTTCAAGTGGTTTGAAAACTTGATTATATACTTTATCTGATATACCATAACTTTTCTTTATTGCAAGTCCATTATCTGAATGAATTCCACCTGAGAAAAATAAAAGCTCGATATCAGGACGATCGTCAAGTGCATATTTACTTTTAATGAAAGCTAATGCTTCAGCTCCTAAAGGTATTGAAAAGGGTCCACTCCTATCTCTTAAATATTGCATCGTATAAGTAGGTGATAACATTTTTCTTGCTGTGAGAGTCACACTTGCATTAACTACAAACGTCAAACCAAAAAATCCAATATGATCATACAAGTGGAATCCAACTTTAGAATCTTTTATAACATCAATTCCTAATTGCTCTAAATGTTCTTTCGGTCCTATCCCAGAGAGCATCAATAATTTAGCCGAGTCTATCGTCCCAGCAGACAAAATAATCTCTTTACTCGCTCGTACAATTCTTTTTACTCCATTTTTTACATATTCAACTCCATAAGCACGTTTATTATCATTGAATAAAATTTTTGTTACTAATGCTCTTGTTACAATATCCAAATTATTTCTCTTCACTCTCAAATAAGCTCTCGAGGCACTGCAACGAGTTCCATGATCCATATTTACTTGTAAATATGAAAATCCAATTTGTTCAGGACCATTATAATCAATAATTTGATATCCTAGTTGTTCACCTGCTTTTAAAAATTCAGTCGATAATGGAGTATGATATGGAATGTGCTCTACACATAAATATCCGTCTTTACCATGAAAGGATGTATTATATGTCACTGAAAAAAAAAATCAATTGTTTCATACTGTGATAAACTAGTTTTGTATATGATTACAATTTGATTATTTTAGAACTAAAGAATAAATAAAAACTATGAAAGTGAATTTAACTTGAATACCTGGCACCCGGAAGTTTTCGCTCTTTCTGAAATAGGGTAAGATTTCATCATAAGACCATCCATTATTTCCTAAAGCAGCCCATGTGTCGTAATCGAATCTATTACCTCTTGTATGAATCATAGCATTTATACTACTAGTTCCACCTAATGATTTTCCTCGGGGCCAAGTACATTGTCCATTAGTCATTCCGAAGCAAGCATTTTCCTGTTTTTCTACTTTATATCCCCAATTATAATCTGTTTGGTGGAAGTTAGCTAGAAGGATAGGTATTTGATTCAAAACACCCTCTGGTTGACCTGCTTCTAATAATAGAATTCTCCATTTTCTGATTTCTGAGAGACGATTAGCCACTGTAGAGCCTCCAGAGCCCGATCCAATGATAATAAAATCATATTCATTTTGAGTTGGAAGTGAAACAGTGTGAATGTCATACGCTGTTCGTATACCATAACTTTTCAGCAAATCGAAAAAAGTAACAGCCTTCACGTTTATTGACAAAGCAATTATAATACATAGAATAAATATTTTTTCCATGATTAGTCCTTGAACAGAAGAATGCTTATGAATAGATATTATTCGAAAGAACATAAAAAAAACACGATGACCGTGTTAGAATTGGGAAGAACTATGCTGACACTGCAATTTCTATATCTTTAATTCTACTCTGTAGAAGTTGATTGAATAACCTAGAACATTAATTATTCAAACATAATCAATAGATAAACATCACTGTTAGTAAAATTAACTACTCTATTATAGATATAACGATAGACAGAATAACGATCGATCGTTAATATTTTTCTTTTTTGCTGACATATTTTCTTAGCAATAAAACGAACAATACTTTCACTCAGATGCGCAGAATAGCTTTCTTCTGATAATATTTCTTTTTAATATGTTTTTTCAATTATCATTTTGATACTTATTATAAATTATTAATTTACTGTCGAGAATAGCTGTCGAGAATAAAATTAGAAAAATTTGTATACCTCTATTCTAATCTATATTTGTTGATCGTTAAAAATATATCCTGAACTGGTCCTGTTTGATTTCATGTATCTTTTTTTTAACTGAGCCAATGAAAGTTTCTGTCACTTAAAATTAGCAAATAATCCACAAGACAGTTTGGTGTTATACTGCGTCCTATTGAGACTTCGTGTTTAAGATTTACTGAAGAAATGAACACTTTCTCATGCTGCTCACGTAAGACTGTCTGAATATTCAGATGTTGTTATTCTTACCTGTCGTTCATCCCTACTTGGATGCTTTAAAACTAGATGAAAGGTAGTAAAAATATTTACATCATAAAACTCGCCGGAACATTAAAAGAAAAATATATAATCATCTTGTCAACGGACAATTGTTTGTAGATGAATTTGATATTATAGTGGTAATAATTTTTATCAAGTTATTTAAATTTCAACATGGCCGAAAAAAAACTCTCCCCATACAGGAAAAGTTTTATGTCAGTATACGTAACTCTTGACTCGGTCAACTTAACTTATGTAATGAGCAGATAAACATTTCTCTGATGAAGTGATAGTTTATTTTCCAAAGTCGTATGTTAAATTATTACTCTTAATAAAATAGAGTTTTATTTATTACCAAGAGTATACATAAAAGCATATATAACGATAATGATATAATTTCAGTAAGTTAAATTTTATTATTTTCTTTAGTGTTTAAAATTATTTAAAGCATTATGAATTTTTCCATGCTTCTTTGATCATATCAGCACCTTTTTCACCGATCATATAAATTCCAGCATTAATATGCCCAACCGGCATCATTGGCATAATTGATGCATCAATGACTCTCAACCTTTCAATACCATAAACACGTAACTTGGGATCTACTACTGCATTAGGGTCTGATTGAGGTCCCATCTTCACTGTTCCCATTTGATGATTCTCCATAGCAGGTAAAGCCTTGATGGCACATCTAAAATAATCATCTGAACCAAGCTTATGTGAAGTACATCCTGGCATTTTTACGTTATGTAATTGAGCGTTGTATTTCTTAAATGGTCCCGTCTTTGTCAGATTTATTGCGTGTTTAATTCCTTCTAAAATGATTTCTTCATCATGTGGATCGGAGAATAGATTACCTTGAAGAATAGGTCTAGAATAAGGATTTTTAGATCTAAGCTTAATACGTCCTTGACTCTTTGGGTGTTGAACGATTGGCCAGATCGTAAAGGCTTCACGAAACTCTAATGGTTTGAAAAATTTATTATAAACTTCATCAGATATACCATAACTTGGTTTTACAGTGAGTCCATTGTCTGAATGAACTCCACCTGAGAAGAAAAGTAATTCAAGATCAGGTCGATCATCTGGGGCATATTTTGTTCTTAAGAAAGCAATTGCTTCAACTCCTATAGGAATAGATAGTGGTCCACTTCTGCTAGAATAATATTGGAGCAGATTTGCTGGTGATACAAATCCTTGGAAATTAAAAGCATCGCTGTTGTTGACAGTAAAAACTAAACCCCAAAATGCAACATGTTCATACATATTGTATCCAACTTTAGCATCTTTTATGACCTTTATTCCTAGTTCTTCTAAATGTTCTTTTGGTCCTATTCCAGAAAGCATCAATAGTTTAGCGGAATCTATTGTACCAGCTGATAAAACTACTTCTTTGTTGGCAAAAACTTTTCTAGCTACTCCATTTTTCTCATACTGTATGCCATAAGCACGTTTATTCTTATCAATTAATACCTTTGTGGCGAAAGCATTTGTTACAATTTCTAAATTTCTTCTATTATTTTTCAAATATGCTTTAGAAGCACTGCATCGAGCACCATGATCCATATTAACTTGTAAATATGAAAATCCAAGTTGCTGAGGTCCATTATAGTCTACTATGTCATGCCCTAATGCTTTACCAGCTTCCAAAAATGCTCCTGCTAATTGTGTATGATGTGGAATATATTGTACAAGTAGAGGACCTTCATATCCATGATAAGATGCATTATGTGGTACTAGAAAAAAAATTTAATTATTTCAAATGTTTTTCAAGTGTTGTTTATTCAAAAATTGCATATTCACACAATAATAACTCACCAGGTACTTGGAATTTTTCACTTTTCCTAAAATAAGGAAGTACATCATCATAAGACCATCCTTCATTTCCTTGAGAAGCCCATAGATCGTAGTCTAATTTATTGCCTCGGGTATGAACCATGCCATTGATGCTACTGGTTCCTCCCAGTGATTTACCTCGTGGCCAAGTGCATCGACCGTCTTTCATTCCAGTACAAACACCTTTCTGTCTTTGCAATCTATATCCCCAATTGTAAGGTGTTTGATGAGTAGCTGCCATTAAACTTGGTATCTGAATGAAAATATTCTCAGGCTGACCGGCTTCTATTAGTAAAACTTTCCATTTACTATTTTCTGATAAACGTTTAGCTACTGCAGAACCAGCAGATCCAGCTCCCACAATAATGAAATCATATTCATCGCGAGTTGGATACAATGTTGTTCTGATATTATAGGTTGTTGTTACACCATAATCTTTTAATAAATCCGGAACTCCAACAGCATTTATTCGTTGAATAAAAAATGTCAAGATAATAACTCCGATGTTCCACATAATTATTAAAAATTTTTATTCAGATTTAAAACAATGAATAATGATTCGATAAATTAATAAAATTATACACTACAATAATACAATGTAAAGTCTGAATGTCTCTCAAACTTTCATTACAGTTGTGATCAATTTGATTTCTCTACGTCTACTGAAACCAATAAGCATTTGATATTTTGGAGTTGGCGAAATGACTTTAAGATGACTTTACATTGATCAAACCACTTCCAAACTTTCTTCGTTTCTTAAATCAATAAGTAAAAGAATAAACTTTCTCATATCTATTTCACAATATTATTTGAATATACAGGTGTTATTAATCAAATAAATTGTTCTCTGTTGCCAAACTTTCAATATTCAGTCTTTTTAAAACATATTTGTGCAGGAGGATTTAAAATATTTGATTTATTAAAAATTACTGCTATCTTCAAATATTCCATTTATATACAAATACATATAATGACGTGTTTATTAAATGTCAATAAAATAATCAATCATTAATAAAAACGATAAAATAATATTTTTATTAAATTAAAAATGTTATAAAAACAAAATCTTTTTGTAAAAAAAATATTAGTTAAATAAACAATTATATTAATCAAATAATCCCAGACAAAAAAAATTATAAAAGAGTTTTTTATCAATAATATAATATGATTAATTAAAATTTATAATTACAATTATTATTTCATATTTAATTTCTTCGGTGTTTAATTTTTCTCCATGCTTGTTTGATCATATCAGCACCTTTTTCACCAATCATATAAACTCCTGCATTAATATGCCCAACTGGCATAGTAGGCATAATTGATGCATCGATGACTCTCAACCTTTCAATGCCATAAACACGTAACTTGGGATCTACTACTGCATTAGGGTCTGATTGAGGTCCCATCTTCACTGTTCCCATTTCGTGATTTTCTAACGCAGGTAAAACTTTAACCGCACATCTAAAGTAATCATCAGTTCCAAATGTATGAGACTTGCATCCAGGCATTTTTTTGGTATATATCTGAGGATTATATTGCTGCATTGCTTCAGTTTGAGAAACATCAATTGCCATTTTTATTCCTTCTAAAATGGTTTCCAAATCTTTTGGATGAGTAAAAAAATTTGGTTGAAGTATTGGCTTATCATGTGGATTTTTAGATCTGAGTGTTATACGACCATGACTTTTTGGATGTTGAACTATTGGCCATATAGTGAAAGCATTGCGATATTCTAGTGGTTTGAAAAATTCGTTGTAAACTCGATCTGATATTCCATAGGCAGATTTTAATGCTAGACCATTGTCTGAATGTATTCCACCACTAATAAAAAGTAATTCTATATCTGGACGTTCATCAGTAGCATATTTAGTTCTCAAAAATGCGATTGATTCCGCTCCTGCTGGAAGTGCATAAGCACTATCTCGACTCAGAGAATATTGTAAAGCATTAGCAGGTGACAAAAAGTCATTAATATTAATGGTGACACTCGAATTAACAGTAAACAGTAAACCCCAAAATGCTATATGTTCGTACATATTGTATCCAACTTTAGCATCTTTTATGACCTCAATTCCTAGTTCTTCTAGATGATCTCTTGGTCCTATTCCAGAAAGCATCAATAATTTAGCAGAATCTATTGTACCTGCTGATGAAATTATTTCTTTACTAGCTCGAACGATTCTTTTTACTCCATTTTTTTCATATTCAACTCCATAAGCACGTTGATTATCATCAATTAATATTTTTGTTACGAAAACACCTGTTACTATTTCCAAGTTAGATCCATGATTTTTAAGATAAGCTCTCGCAGAACTGCATCGAGCACCATGGTCCATATTAACTTGTAAATATGAAAAACCAATTTGATCAGGACCATTATAGTCTATAACATCGTATCCCAATTCTACACCAGCTTCTAAATATGTTTTTGCCAATGGCGTACGGTATGGAATGTCTTGTACACATAGGTGTCCATGTCTTCCATGATATGATGAATTGTGGGGTTCTAAAATAATTAAATAATAATACAAATGAATCGATTGAATAAATCAAGCTCAATAAAAACATAGATTAAATTATACCTTTTACTTGAAAGTTTTCGCTTTTTTTGAAGTATGGTAGAACTTCTTCATATGACCATCCTTTATTTCCTAAAGAAGCCCATAATTCATAGTCTAATTTGTTTCCCCTTGTGTGAATCATAGCATTTAGCGTACTAGTTCCGCCTAATGATCTACCTCGTGGCCACGTACATTGTCCATCAGTCATTCCAAAACAAGCATGCTTTTGCTTTTCAACTTTGTACCCCCAATTATAAGGTGTTTCATCTACCCATGGAAAGGCATATAATATTGGTACTTGATTTATAAGAGTTTCGGGTGGACCTGCTTCCAATAATAAAATTTTCCACTTTTTATTTTCTGACAAACGTCTAGCTACTGTAGAACCAGCAGATCCAGCACCAATAACAATAAAATCATATTTATGTCGAGTGGGTAGTGGTGTAGTTTTAACGTTGTAAGTTAATCCAAGAGCACTCCGGTCTAAGGTGTCGAGGACACCTGATAGTTCTTCGGGTAATAGAGGTGATACAATATTAAGAGTATCTTTTATCGTGTCAGTATTTACTAAATTTAATAGTTCTAGTGAATTTACACCAATTAAAAGTGAAAATAATAAAATGACAATTTTTAACACTCTCATTTTTAACATAATTGTATTAAAAAATTTAAAACCATCATTATTCAAATTAAAAATAAGACTAAACTGATTGAAACTAACTAATTCATTTATAACTGGCTACTTTTATCGAAATTTTGATGTAAATAAGATTGCATTCCATTTTTACTTTGTTTTTGAAAACGATTCAATAACAATACTGATGTATTGACTAAACAGTTTTGAGACATCCTTGATTATGAACGACAATAACAATTTGACATCAACAAAAATATTTTTTAAAATCGAATAATACATAATTCATTTTTAAATTTACTACGTATTACTATACTAAACAAAGAGATAAATATAAATTAAATCAAAGGAACATCTTAAATAGAAGAGTTTATTTATCATACATTTTATACAATCTTTTTGTTATGAATTTCAACATAATTTAACGATTTTTCCACAAATCTTTTATCATATCTGCTGCTTTTTCAGCAATCATATAAATTCCAGTATTTACATGACCAACAGGTATTGTTGGCATTATAGAAGCGTCTACTACTCTTAAACCATCAATTCCTCGAACTTGTAGTTGTGGGTTAACCACTGCATTAGGATCAGAGTCAGGTCCCATTTTAGCAGTTCCTATTTGATGGTTTTCCATTACGGGCAATGTTTTAATGGCACATCTGAAGTAATCATCAGAAGCGAATTTATAAGATTTACATCCCGGTATTTTTATTCTATGTAATTGACTGTTATATTTTTGGAAAGGTGCAGTTTTTGATAATGCTATGGTAAGTTTTATTCCTTCTAAAATTACTTCAACATCGTGTGGATCTGAAAAAAAGTTTGGTTGAAGAATAGGATTATGATATGGATTTTTTGATCTAAGTTTGATGTATCCACGACTTCTCGGGTGTTGAACTATTGGCCAAACCGACCAGGCATGCCGAAATTCAAGTGGTTTGAAAACTCTGTTATATACTTCATCTGATATTCCATAAGCTGGTTTGACTGCGAATCCATTGTCTGAATGTACTCCACCATTAATGAAGAAGAGCTCGATATCTGGACGACTGTCATTTGCGTATTTAGTTTGAAGAAATGCTATGGCTTCTCCCCCAGTAGGAGCAGATAATGGGCCATCTCTTCTCTTGAAGTATTGTGCAGCATTAACCGGCGACAAGAATGTTTTTGCAGTCATAGTAACACTCGCATTAACTGTAAAAACTAGTCCCCAGAATGCAACATGTTCGTACATATTATGCCCAACCTTGGCATCTTTAATGACATCAATTCCCACTTTTTGGAGGTGATCTTTAGGCCCTATACCTGATAGCATTAATAATTTTGCAGAATCAACTGTTCCCGCAGATGATATAATTTCTTTTCGAGCTTTAACCATTCTTGTGACTCCGTTTTTAACATATTGTACTCCGTAAGCACGCTTGTTCTCATCAATCAATATTTTTGTAACAAAAGCATGGGTTACGATGTCTAAGTTACGCCTTCTTACTCTGAGATAAGCTTTCGATGCACTGCATCGAGCGCCATTGTCCATATTCACTTGTAAATATGAAAATCCAATTTGTTGAGGACCATTAATATCTGTTATATTATATCCTAATTCTTTACCAGCTTCCAAATATTCTCTTGCCAATACTGAGTGATATGGGATATGCTGAACACATACAGGACCATTAACTCCGTGGTATGAAGCGTTATGAGGTACTAAAAATAAATTTTACCTTAAAAAAAAATTCTACGAATTCTTTTTAATTAAATATGAAATAATTATAAATACTTGGCACTTGGAAATTTTCACTTTTCCTGAAATACGGTAGAATTTCATCAAAAGACCATCCTGTGTTATCCATTGAAGCCCATAGATCATAGTCCAATTTATTTCCTCTTGTATTGAACCATAGCATTGATACTACTCGATCCTCCTAGCGCTTTACCACGTGGCCAAGTACACCGGCCATCCACCATTCCAAAACCAGCATTTTTCTGTCGTTGGACTCTGTATCCCCAGTTATAATCAGTGTTAATCATAGCTGCGTATAATGCTGGAATTTGATTAAAAACTCCTTCAGGTCGACCTGCTTCTAATAGCAAAATTTTCCAATCTCCATTTTCTGATAGACGATTGGCCAGTGCAGAACCTGCTGTTCCAGCACCAACGATGATAAAATCATATTCTTCTTGTGTTGGAAGTGGTGTGGTTTTAATATCGTATGATAATCGCCAACCATAACTTTGTAATAATTCTAAAAATCCTTGACCATTTATGTTTGTGAATATAGAAAGTAGAAATAAGATAATTTTTAATTTAAACATTTTTTATGTTTTTTTATCACTTTCTCGTAAAAAAACTGAATAAGTTTTTTTCGAGAATAAAATTATATGTATATATTTATATATATATATCCTTTGGCTAATCAGCATTATGTACCAGCTGTGCATCAGATGATCATCATTCTGTTGAGAGCAAATACAAATTTGATTGTCAAGGTGGAATGATATTTTTGATCAACAGTTAATTAGCATATGACATTCACACCAATATCACAAAGTATATGAAATGCACTGTTTATCAAATATTTTTTTAATGAAAGGTTTGGAGAACAGCTAGCAGACCAATTAAAAATTTTCAAATCATCATTATGTTTAAAATCATATGTTTTTTTTATTAATTACATTTGTATAAAAATAACATTAAATATTTGAATGAACTAATACAAAATTGGTGAAGTAGATATGAATATTCTATGTAACTCTAAACATACATCATGACTTTTGGTTACCAAGTGAATTGATGTTGAACCTGATTACTGAAAGTAATTATAATCTGTGCATTCGTTTATCAAATCCATTGTGTATTAAAACAATATCATTTGTTACAAAATTAAATTTCCAATAAAAATTATTGAATCGTATAATTTACATGTATATTAATTGTGCAATATCAAAAACTTCTTGAATAGAATGAGGTATATTATCTCTGAAACAAATGGTGTCCAAGTAATTTAACAATGTATAATTAAATAAAGTTAATTTCTCTTTAGTATCGACTAATCAAACATTTACTAGATTTTTAATTAGCAAACCTCAGTATTCTTGAATCATATTTAGAAGTTTCTCTATAATAATAAATGTTGGAATGTTAATATGGCTACATGATATTCTTAACAAAATTAAAACATCTTCAACTCGTAAACCTTTCATTTCACGTAAATAATTACAATTGAACAATTTAATATCTATATCTTTATCAGAATAACTTGTTTAACTAGTGAAATTATTAACACCAATAAATGCAAGATCATTACATGCCCTAGGTATTGGTCCGGACTTTTTTTTAAAAACAATCAGGAACATATGGGTCTGATAAGTCGATTAATATATTAATAATTGGAAGATATGAATATTTGATCATTATCTTATCAGTAAGATAGGGATTTACCTTACCATAAAATTATTTATTTTTTAAAAAAAAAATAACGTAAAAAATTCATTGTTAACATAATTTCTTTAGAAAGTGTAGAAATTTATTATTAAGATTATTTTGATCAATTATTGATCAATATCAACATATAGGAATGATGTTCAGTTTTTGTTTATAATTTTTTATTATGAAATTTAATACTAAAAATCATATTAATTTTCTTAACAATCTGAGAACTTGGAATAAAGATTGAAACATACCTGAAGAATGATTATTGTTCGAATTCCAGTTTTATTTCTTTTGAATACTCAACTATTGTAATTCAATAAAATGCTACTCTTAACAGTTTTACATTTCAATTTTCATAATCTTTGCATTTTTATTCTTATCAATCATCTGTAATATAAAAAAGAATAATAGCAAATGTTATTGAACAACGTAATATTAAATTGAAAAAAGTAGATACAAATTTTCGCCTAAGAAACAATGATACACATACTTTAACATGTTCAATTAATGTAAACTAGGTCATTGATTTTTGTAACATCAAAACTGCTTCAGTTTCAATCCTTGCTTCATATTAGTTTTCTTTCTTCCAAGCTTAACAAATATTTCTATCAATATTCGTTGCAAAAATTATTTTCAACTTATTATTTACACATTATTCATTATTAATAACATTAATTGAATAAACACACTTCATTTAAAAAGTTTATTTATAACATTATATACTAATAATAAAAAAAATTATAACGTTACAGGTACGTGGAAAGATACTATACATATATCATTTTATTCATCGAGTAATTGAAATAGATTCAAATCATAGAAAAATTGAATTTATAAAGAGACTAGGTATTATTGATTTATTAATAATTAACTTTTGTTAATAAGATCTAAAAAATTTTATTTATTATTCCTTCATTTGTTAAAAAATTACAACAGTTGCTTGAAATAATTGTTTTTATAAATGAGATTTAAATGAATAGCATTCATAGACATTATTTAAACTTACAAAAAATGTAAGAGAAAATTGTTTACGATATTGCCAATTATTTCATAATTACCGTGCACTTATTTTTTATAATAAAATCGTTTGAATAATCAATTACATATATTTATAGACAATTAATATGTAATAATTTTTTATGGCACATTAATTTTTTATATGCATTTAATTATTTTTTTCAAAACAATTGTTTTATTATTTTTTTTATCGAATTAGTTTACAATCATTTATATAACAATTCTTTTATTAAGATAACATTATTTTTTTTCTTCTATTTAGAGAAAATTAAAAAATGAACATTTATATAAAAACCATCACAGTCATGTATTTGAACGTAAACTTCTATCAAGTATAAATTTCAACGATATAAAAATAAAATGTCAATGATAAGTAAATAACTATCAAATTGCAATGAAGAATCTTGTAAAAAATTTTGAAAGAATCATCAAAATTGATCCTGTCAAAATATTATTAATTACTAGAATATTTAAACTACAATCAATACAATAGCTACATATTTACTTTCTCATAATTTTGTAATATAATCTAATGTAGCATAATGAATATACGATCAAAAGTTTATATAATGCTGTGGAAAATATCTTATCTTTGGATATTATCGAGCCAGTCATTCTTTATGAGATCAGATCCTTTCTCAGCAATCATAATAACAGGTGCATTGGTATTACCGCTGCAGATGGTAGGCATTATTGATGCATCGATAACTCTTAAACTTTGCACTCCATAAACTCGCAATCGTGGATCAACCACAGCTTCAGGATCAGTGGATGGTCCCATTTTGGCAGTTCCTACTGGATGATATATAGTCATAGTGATATGACGAATATGACATTCCCAATAAGCATCAGATCCAAAAGTTAAATTTTTACATCCTGGAATTTTTGCTCTATGTAATCGAGATCCAAATTGTTGAAACACTTTGGCTTCATTTAATCTTACTGCTATTTTTGCACCTTCAACAAGACGAGCGATGTCTTCAGGATGATCAAAATAGTTGGCATTTATAACTGGACTAGCAAATGGATTACTATTTTTTAATCTTATTGTACCTCTTGATTTTGGTCTCAGAAGTAGAGGCATAATAGTCCAAGCATCTCTATTAGTAATAGGACGATACACAGTATCGTAAACTTGATCAGTAATGCTCAGAACTTTTCTTACTTGAACACCAGCATCAGAACTTAATGATGCTGGTGCCATATGTAATTGAATATCAGGGTACAACCCTGATTCATTAGCGTAAATTGTATTAACAAATGCATAACCTTCAACTCCACCTAATGTCGTCATCGGTCCTCGCCCATTCAATACATATTCAGTAGTAACTGGTGTCGGCTGGAGACGGTCTTGAACAATTGCAACAGGTTTATCAACTAAAAAAGTTAGTCCAGCCATTCCTACATGATCTTGAAGATTATTTCCAACTGGTAAATCTTTGATAACCGTTATTCCGTGGCTTTCCAAGTGCTGTTTAGGTCCAATTCCTGAAAGCATCAATAACTGTGGACTGTTGATGGCGCCTGCAGATAAAATAATTTCTTTTTTTGCTCGAATAATTTGTTTTCTTCCATCTCTATAAAATTCAACACCAACTGCTTTCATTTTTATAGGATCAATAATAATTTTAGTCACATGCGCATTCATACCGATGTGTAAATTTCTCCTGAGACGTACAGGTCGTAAAAATGCTTTGGCTGTTGAACATCGACTACCTCGTCTTATAGTTCCTTGAGCAATCATAAAGCCAGTTTGATACTCTCCATTAATATCTCTGTTTTCATAGCCTAATTCCATACCAGCTTCGACAAAAGCTACAACTAAAGGCGTTCTCCAAGGTGACTCTTGAACTGTTAAATACCCTCCAGTACCATGATAGGGACTATTTTTCAAGTAAGGATTACGATTGTCTTCAGATTTCTTAAAATAATACAGTGCTTGGTCATATCCCCATCCTGGATTACCAAGAGCTTCCCAATGATCATAGTCATATCTATTTCCACGTACGTACAGCATGTAATTTAATGTGCTCGAACCACCGAGTACTTTTCCTCTCGGCCAATTACATCTGCCTTTCTTCATGGCCAAACAGGAAGTACCCGTAGGTTCAGTCTTATATTTCCAATCCAATTTTGTTAGTTGAAGGTATGCTGCCAAAGAAGGTACATCTGTGATCTCGTTTTCGTCAGGGCCAGCTTCTAAAAGTAATATATTCCAATCTGGTATTTCAGAAAGCCGACTAGCAACTACTGCACCTGCTGATCCACCTCCAATTACTATAAAGTCATATTCTTGGTTTAAAGGACGTTTGTCAATGACACGACTCTCCGGATCCAATTGATCGTAGCGGTAATATGAGAGACCTATGATGACTAGTGGAACTAACCATAAGCTAGTGCCCATTAGGCCTACAGCACTCTTTAATGTTGATGCAATAACCAACGCACTCAATACCATTTTATCTTCAATCTAGCTAATTGCCCTTGCGGTTTTTTCAACATATCAGTTGACCTCAGGTTAATTTTCTTTAATCTCTTAATGACTACATCTGTGCAATGATAATTCATTGTATGACATTAACCACGAATCCAATGGACCTGAAAATTAAAAGAGAATTAGACTGGAAAGTTATATTTTTACTTTTATAACTTTTTGTTACATTTTTTACATTTTTATTCTAATCATACAAATAAGTCACTAATTCGGATACACATGACAGAAAAACGGAACCTACTATTTTAGCAACACGCTCCCTCACTCAGAAAAAGTCTGATGGTGATCTCATAACGGGGAAAAGGAGAAAGTGTTTCGGCGTCACACACCTCAACCTGCCTCTTTCTTCTTTCTACTATGAATATCATGGTTACGTTATGATTTCTCAATCGATTGAGCTTTATTATTAACAAGTAGTCTTGCTACTTTTTTATGTATCATAACATTCTCATTATTAATTATGACAAGCATAACTTTATGGGACACGATAAAAATCTCGTCTTTTCTCACAAGGTCAAAAAAAATTAATAACAGTTGAAGACATTATTGCCTAAAAAGTCATTACCATGACTAAAGAACTTTCAATTGAATTGTTCGGCTTTATAAGAAACCTATTTCCGGAAACGGTCAACCGTATAAGTTACTTACTAAGACTGTCGGTTTTAGCGTAAGGAAGAGTGCAAGAAAAAAATTTGTCTAGCACGCACGTTTAAATAATGCGGAAGTTATCTTTGCAATTTTCTACATTGCCTCATTAGTTCTTTCATATGCTTTCTTTTATTCCGTTGTATTTACATATCTCCTCGATTATGGTAACACTTAAATAAACTACTTTAATTAATTTTAAATCTTTTCTTTGACTTCATTAATTTTTTTCCACTTTAAAAGATTCTATTCATTACCTTAAACATGTTTATATGGATTGTCCATCGAAATTCAAGTAGAGAAAAAAAAATGTCTTTCAGGATTTTCAAAACTTCCTCGTCATTTTTTGACTCTGAAATAAAAAAAATGTGTATATATATATATATATATACATGCCTTTTATTTGCACATTTTCAAGATGAAAAAAAAAGTCGAACCAAAATTTCTAAATTTATGTAAGAGTTGTAAAACAGTTAATTACTGATTTTTTTTTAAATGTCAAAAAAAATTTTATAACACTTTCTGTTGTCACATTTCACATTTGTTTAATTTACATATAGATAAATTGGCAAAAAAAGTTTTGTAGATAAACCCATCTAAAAATATAATCACTAAATATCACATTCTTAATGTAGAAAAGCTTATCATTAATGAGTATAACCACTTACTTAATAAACATGAGTCCTTCAGAAAACGTGACATCAATAACATAAAAAATAGAAAAAAACATTAGCAGTTGATTAAAATAAAAAAATCTTAAACTCACTTTTGAGAAGATAATGAAGTGTATTATGAAATAGATAAAAAAGCAATAAAGTAAGCAAATAAGTTGAATAGATAAATTCGAACACGAGCACCAAAAAATGCCAATGCTCACTTGCACGTGATTCTTGAAGAACTAACGAAGTTGCCTGGTCTGGCACGTATATGACCGGAAGAAGTCTAGTAATATCCAAGTCAGAAGAGTATGACGATTTAACAATAATAACCCCTACCAATGGACCTGGTGGAATTTCTTAGCGTTCTTCTCGAAGCCTCTTTACTTTGGTAGTGAAAGTGTTCTCTTTCTGTGGACAAGCTATGCTGTGGCGCCCAATCCTCTCTCTTTCTATATCCTTGCCCTGGACGATGTGGTAACACTCACCAGTACGATTACAGACTACACAAGCTCTACGTGCGAGTAGCCACGAGTTCACGGACTCCATTCCAAGTCACGATTTACTAGTAATCCTCTCTAATATAAGAGTAAATCAGTAGGCATAGGTTATCCAGAGCTTCATTACCGGAAATTTTGATTTAGATAAGATTAATTGAAGAAAGTCGTTATTTATAGATTTTACTTATATTCCCACGTTTTGTTTCAATTTTATTTTATTGTAATATATCCATAAATGAATAAATACTTCCTCCTTTCCGGTATTCAATTCTGTAAGTTTTCAAAAATTTTATAGACTATAACTGAAAGACTTTCTCCGTGTAATCATGAAAATTACGTAGAATTGTGGAAGAGACTAGAAAATAAGATGAGACACTTTAAAAGACTTGAATATTAATAAGTACTCATTTAATATTTAATTTTAATACTAATTTTTTCGTGGAATGGCTATAATTATTAAAATAAATAAATGCCGGAATTAAACAGTGTAATTAATTACTAAAAGTTTCTCAAATTTTCATTTCACCGCGCGTGAAATTATCATTTTAAATATCAAATTAGTAGTGTTAGACGTCTTAATAAAGCTAATAAAGAAAACCACAATAATATTAATAGTTTCAAATTTATATAATAGTTAGTACGTGTTAGACAAATTTCTCTTTTTCAATGACTTCAATCTTTAACATGAGTGATTGATGATTATAGTTTTCAATGTATAATTCTATTCAATTAGGCTTCAAATTTTAAATTCAATACTTCATGGGAAATCAAATTGGTTTTTCTCGATGAGGAAATATTCTATTTCTTCGAATATTTTCGAATTTAACATTTAAAAATGTTTTAAAACTCTTCAGTGATAGTTAAGTAGTCTGACATTTCATAAAACTTGACAAATTTTTAGTGTGTTTAAGAGACTTCTATTTAAAAGAGAAATTACAATAATAAAAATGAGTAATAGGTATCTTTATGAATCTGTATAACATTGTTGTTTAATTCAATATTATCTATTAATTATTCATCAGTAAATGAAAAATAGCATCTATTAGATCATGAATATTTTTTTACTTCTACATTGACTGGCATTTTTTGTAACAAGTACTTATTAATATACTGTTCTAATTCGTATTGCCTTGTAATGTATTTTTTGTTTAAATTTAATTATTACTTCATTTCGAAACCGTAAAACGTCTATGTATTTTTATCTATACATGTCATTTAGTTTTAATTATAAATTGTTAGTACTACTAAATCGTGGTGAAAACATAATAACTTGAATCATATTACCAAATGTAATAGAAACCTTTCTTTTACATCAATAACTTATACAAACTTATTATATCAGAATGATACGATTTACGTTATTATTAAAACATATTATTAGAAAAAAAGTTTCCAAGTTTTTTTCAGTATTTTTAAATGTTTTTATTAAAAATATAAATTTAACAAAATTATAAAGGCCTGTGAACATTTTAAAATTATAAAATTAAATTAAAAAAATAGTTTAACAATATTTGTAAATCATACAGTAATTTGAAAAAAAGTTGGCATAGTTCTCATGAAGTATCGTTCAAACAACCGGTTTGTATACATATGTACAATGTCAACAAAGAGTCTTGAGTCGGAAACGAAAAGAAGAAGAAAGAGTCCACGAGTGCGAATTGAAGTATAGTAAAACAAGAATGATAAATATCTTGACTCACTTTCTAACAAATACGTATATCGCTTTACCTGGCAGTCTTTTGGTTTTTTTTTATACAACATGAATCAATATTTTTATTACACATCTTACATAACTGCATTCATCTTATAATAATTACTAAATCACTATGAGAATATAGAAATTGCATATTTTCATTTGTAAATAATCAACAACAAACGGCAACAATGAAAGCAAATCACTAACTTTTCTTCATTAAATTAATACGAAATCTTTGATTACAGCTCAAAAAATTGTATATCATTATCATCTTCCAGGGAATCGTCTTCTTCTTGACCAATCCTCTTTGATCATGTCGCTGGCTTTTTCTCCTATCATTATTACTCCAGCATTAGGATTGCCACTGACAATTTGAGGCATTATCGAAGCATCTGCAACTCTAAGACCTTTAACTCCATAGACTCTTAATCTAGGATCTACCACAGCAGTGGGATCATGAGCTGGACCCATTTTACACGTGCACGAAGGATGATAAATTGTAAAAGTGAAGTGTCTAATAGCACATTCCCAATAATCATATGTATTAAAAGGGAATTTTTGACATCCAGGCATTGGAAAGATATGAGGTCTTGATCCAAATCGTTGAAAAGCTGTAGTGTTTGATACTTCCATAGCAATTCTAATAGCATCAACAAGAATATCTATATCTTCTTTATGGGTAAAGTAATTAGGATTAATATCTGGAGCAACAAAAGGATTTCTACTCTTTAATCTAATCCATCCAGTACTTTTAGGTCGTAACAATAGAGGTAAAATGGTCCATGTTTCAGCTTTTTCTAATGGTTTATACATTGTGTTATAAACTGTATCACGTAAATTAGTGGCCTTTTTTATGTAATCTCCACCATCAGAGTTGGTAGAACTAGGTCCAAAGTGAAATTGTACATCTGGCCAATCTATGGATTTATCTGCGTATTTGGAATTAACAAAAGCAACTGCTTCTATTCCAGGATTGCTTAATGGTCCTCTTTCATTAAAAATATATTCCATAGCTACTGGTAGAGTTTGGAAACGTGATTTTTTAAATGTCACCGGTTCATCCACAAGAAACGTTAAACCTCCAAGACCCACGTGATCTTGAAGATTATCTCCTACTCTAAGGTCTGATAGAACAGGAATTCCGAGCTCATCTAAGTGCTCTTGAGGTCCGATGCCAGACAGCATAAGTAGTTGTGGAGATCCAATAGCTCCTGCTGACAATATTACTTCCTTTTTAACTCTCGCAATCTGTTTTCTACCATCTTTGAAAAACTCTACACCTACTGTTCGCTTATTTTGATCAAAAAGTAACTTGAGAACTTGCGCATGCATTGCAATATGGAGATTTTTTCTTTTTTTTACTGGTCGTAAAAATGCTTTAGCTGTTGAGCACCTACTTCCTCTTCTTATGGTTGATTGAGTGAGCATAAATCCTGTTTGATTAGCACCGTTGATATCTCGATTAGTGTATCCAAGCTCTGTACCTGCCTGAATGAATGCTATTGACAGAGGTGTTCTCCAGGGTGGTTCCTGAATTGTGAGTAATCCTCCAGTACCATGATAAGGGGTCCTAGCTAAATATGGATTCCGATTATCTTCAGACTTGATGAAATATGGAAGAACATCATCATAACTCCATCCTTTATTTCCCATTCGTTCCCAATTATCAAAATCATTTCTGAAAGAATTTTAATAATTAATTATTAACAAATCATATAATTGATAAAATTTAATGTTATTATCTTCTCACCTGTTACCACGAACGTATACCATTGCATTCAACACACTACTACCTCCAAGAACTTTTCCTCGAGGCCAGTTACATCTGTCTCCGATCATAGCTAAACAATAGGCTGATGTGTTTGATCTTGTTACTTGATATTTCCAGTCCATTTCAGATAGTTGCGTATAAACTGCCAGTGCAGGAATATCTGATATCTCATTTTCATCTCCACCGGCTTCTAGTAGGAGTACGGTCCAATTATTGACTTCAGATAATCTTGAAGCTATCACAGCTCCTGCACTTCCACCTCCGATGACAATAAAGTCATAATAAGGGTAAATCTGAAATATATGTAATTGTATAAAAAAGTTTTAATTGTTTGTCTCACTCATTAAAAAATACATTGTTATTTCTTTATATCTATCTTCAAAATACACGTTTTCAACGATGGTAGAAGTTACTAGAATTTTATTTCAACAGGAAAAAACTTTCTTAGAACTATTCATAAGTACACGACTTAAGATTTAAAGTAAAAGTCTTCATATATTTTTTTATTATAATAATAAAATAACTTACCTTTTGAGTATCTGTGACGTATGATTCAGGATCAGCACTGTTATATTGATAATATGTTAATCCTAGTGCAATTAAGGGAATAATCCCCCATCCTAATACTGAGGTAGTACCCAAAAGACTAACTAGTCCCATTGATCTTTCAAGACATTAATTAAGTAGTTTTTCCTGAAAAATAAGTATATATTTATTAATATAAATAATTAATGACTGACAGCTATTGTCACGTTTACGTGACTTTCTGTTAAATTGTACTAGAATATAATTGCCTAGCTGTCAAATAGAATTTCTCTATCTTTCATTTAGTACAACAATACTGTCTAAAAATTCTCTTTGAGATTCTGAAGTGGTAATTCGTTCAGTAATTTTTCTTTAACAGAAAGTAAAAGTTATATTAATCACTGAGTATTTACTTTACAAGTTGTGCATTTCCCGAAAAATAAAAAATATATATTTTTTTATACAAATCAGTCAAGATGATGAAGATATGTTTAAATAGTATTCAACATCAACGTGATTTAAAGTTGCAGTAAAGAAGGAACGTAGTGAAAGTAGGTCGATTTTTTAAAAACTTTTATATTTCACTTGCGCTTGAACTTATTAATCATAGATCAATGGAATGGTGTAGTCTGTAATTAGATCATATAATCTGTATCATGTAATATGAATATTCGAATTGAAATTGTCACAACTCACCGTTATTTATGTAAATTTCTTCACGTTTCTTGATAATTTTCAACACTTCACTCATAGAAATATTCAGTTTCTAACGATATTCTTTTAAATTTTTTCTATAACTGTGTATATTCCATTCAAACGAGTAAAGATATATGAATCCCAGACAGAGATTGAGTTTAGTGGAAGCAAACTCCAATGGTAGAATGGTGAATGTATTGAGTGAAACCAAGACTTCCCCCACGACTTTCTTTCTTCACTAACATTAAGAGACAAACCTTACTGTTTTACCTACACTTATTCGTCAACCATGACACGAATACATTTTTTTTTTTTTGCAACTCTTTTTTATTTTCCTTATTTTCATTTTCTTATCTTTCCTTTGTCAACATCACATTATCACTTTATGCAAAATGACAAGTAAAATTTATAATATGAAGCTGTGTTGAAAAAAACTATAACTTTTTTCTTTTATTTATTTTATATTTAAAAGCAAAAAAAGTATTTTTCAATATCATGCTTGGGATTTAGGCTTCAATAATTTTTCTCACTCTCAATACTTTCTCTGTTATCTGGTGTACGTGCCATCAAGTCACGATTAAAAAGAAATTATAAATATCTTGATTTATTGTTACAATCTTCTTAAAGAATACAAAACAACCTTAACTATAAACTTGCAACAATAAAAAAAATATTGCAGCTCTTGTCTGACCTTGGCATTCATAACTCATTTGCTACACGTAATTACATTCTATTTTAAATTACTCGTTTTCACTTTTTATTTTTATAGAGAAAAAATGGTTCATGTATTTCAAGGTGTTTTCACAGTTCTATAACGATTTATAAGTTTCACTCAAAATTGTTTTACACAATCACTTGACTAACAATAAACTTTGTCAATTGACTATTTTCTTTTTTTTTTCAATAGCCTATAATAGCATCCACGTATGTGCAGTTTATAGTATTAAATTTTTATTAACCAATACGTGACATACATTCGAATCAAAAATTTCAAAAGAAAGCAACATAGCCGGATGTCATCTACTTCCGAAAGACACGTCCGCACATAGAAAGTAAAAGATTATTAACATAAACCAACACATAGATTCCAATATCGTCTCTGTTGCGAAAGTCTCACATAATTATCAAAGTTTTAGTACTAGCTGAGCTATTTATTATCGAAATATTTTAAGATTAATTTCTCCAATATCCTTATACATCTATCAATCTTAAGCTGTATCTTTGATTAGGTTGACATTTGAATTAATCATAATCCACTATAAAACTTGAAGAAATACTATTAACAAAAATGGTAATGTTAAATACTCTTTGAAAAATATTCTTTTGAGTAGGTTTTTAACTCTTAATTATTATAATTAAAAATCATTTATGACTTTATTGCCTTTTTAATCTTTACTAGTATTACGTTTATAAAGTAAAAGTAAACAAGCATTACCATCAGCTGTTGAACACAATAAAAGACTGATTTATAACGCGTAAAATTACTCTTCAAAATTGTAAATAATGAGATAATAATATAAATATCTTCTATATAAACCTAGAATTTACTTGAATTTTTTCAAACTTAACACCGTTGACAAATTTACATCTAAAGACAATACTCACTTACATTGCACAACTTTTGTATTTCTATGAGTACAAGTAATATTATTTTTTCTTTCTTTAAATAATGATTCTTCAAAATGACATGGAGTATAAAATGTTACTTAAATAAAAATTCATGTAATGATTTACACAGAATTTCTCTTAAAAGATAGTTATTTACAATTTGACTATATTAAATATTGATTATTATTATTTTAAATTAATAATAAATGGTTTTAAATATTTAAAATTTTTTTTTGAGTTAAATATTTAAACATTTCCAATATTTAATTTCGACTGAAGCTTAATTTTTATGTCATAACATAAATATAAAAAATTTTCTATGATTAATTTGAAAAATATAAAATTCTTTATTACTATGTCAATTTATTACTTATTTTACTAATTTAATCATAAAATGACTGGACAGTATTTATGATGATCTTTCTTTTTAATTTTATGGTAATTATTACTATTATATAATATAATTTATTTACACAAAATTTTAACTAGCTAATTGATCTTCAAAAAAGATATTTTTTACTCTAAATAATTAATTAAAAAATTATACCCATCAATTGATGATTTCATTGATTTAGAAAAAGTTGATTTCCTAAAATTTCAAACAGGTTTTCGGTATTCAATTGAATGGTTCTCTTCAGTATTATATTTTTCCTTCTTTCAACGTTATAAAAGAAGTCGAAATGTGATGTAAAAATAATGTTACATAACTCATTAAAAAAAAAATTTCAATTGAAAATGCGATAAAATAATTTTACTCTATTGACTTTTACAAACATAAATACTTCTGAATAATGAACTAAGGTTTGTACACTGAATTTTCAATAGAATACTAATGTTTCTATTCATAAAATCAATGTTTTCATACGTAAGAAGCATTAATACTTCTTTTCCACCTTGTCGACCATTCCGCTTTAATCATATCAGCTCCTTTTTCTGCTATCATAATGACAGGAGCATTAATATTTCCGTTAGTAATCGTTGGCATAATAGATGCATCAATAACTCTTAGCCCTTTGACTCCATATACATGTAATTCTGGATCAACAACTGCCATGGGATCTGTTGATGGTCCCATTTTAGCAGTACAACTCATGTGATATATTGTCATGGTATATTGTCGAATAACACAATTCCAATATTCATCAGTATATAAAGGTAAATGTTTACAATTAGGAAGTGGTTTACTGTGAAATCTAGCACCAAACCTTCTCATAGTTGCGGTTTCTCCAAGGGCGATAGCTGCTTTTACACCCTCTCTCAGTACATTAACGTCATCCGGATGTGTCAGATAATTATGATACATAAGAGGATGTTCCAGAGGATTCTTCGACCTCAATTTAATGTACCCTCGAGACTTGGGTCTAAGCATCATTGGAAATACTCCAAATACATCTCGATTATTTATTTCTCTAAAAACTTGATTATAAAAATCATCGCTGAGTCCATGGGCAGTTTTTACCTGAGTTCCACCGTCGGAATTGGTAGATGATGCGGTCAACATAAATTCTATATCCGGCCAATCATCAGTTTGATTTGCATATTTAGTAGAAATAAAGGCAACGGCTTCTAAGCCGACACTTGATGTTAATGGACCATCTTCTGTTATGGCATAACGCAGAGCTGAATTAATATTCACTAGACGATTCATCACTATACTGATCGGATAGTCTATCAAGAAAGCTAATCCACCAACAGCAATGTGATCTTGTAAGTTCTGGCCTACTCCAGGCAAATGAACTATTGGATTGATTCCAACTTCTCTTAAATGATTAGCATCACCTATGCCAGATAACATTAATAACTGAGGTGAATTAATTGCTCCAGCTGATAATATGACTTCTTTTTTAGCATAAATAGTTTCCTTGCGGCCATTTCTAATAAATTCAACTCCATAGGCCTGTTTTGTATTTGGATCAATGAGAACTTTTGTGACATGAGTCCATAGTGAGAGGTGGAAGTTTGGACGTAATCGAATTGGTCTTATAAATGCTTTCGCTGTGCTGCACCGCGTTCCTCTTCTCATCGTGTATTGCCACAACGCAAAACCTGTCTGCTGTGCTCCATTAACATCTACGATGTCGTATCCCATTTCTTCACCTGCCTGTAAGAATGCCACACCGAGTGGAGTATTGAAAGGAGATTCTTGAACTGTCAAATATCCTCCTGAAAATTATTATTACATTAATATTCAAGAATATTTTTTTATACATAATATAAAATTACAATATATTCACTATTACAACAAGTTATTTATAGAAAATTTTAAAAATTAATTTTAGTTATAAAAAAACCATGATTCAAAATTGCATAAAAGCAATTTCAATAAATCTCAGTAAATATTTAGCATAAAAAATTATAATTTATTAGTCATTATTTCCATTGATATATTATGTAAGAAATTAATTATAATTTTTATTGTTAAGAAACAACGATATTCATGATTAAAATATCTGATTAATATTTTACTGACAGAAATATTATATGGATGTTAACGTAAATGCATTAGTTGACTTTAAGAATGTATTAATAAAACGAAAATAATAATTTTGTGGTGAGAGTATATAAATAAAGCGCGAATAGAAGAAATCGTAAGCAATAATTGATTCCATAGGCAACACACGTGTGCTATGTGGTTAATGGTGCAAACCTTTTGCTTACGAAATAAACTTTTACCCAGCACCGGTCTAATGTATGAATGTCACATACCTGTACTATGGTATCTCGTGTCACGAGCCAGATAGGGATTTCGCTGATCTTCTGATTTTTTGAAATACGGAAGAACATCTTCATAACCCCATCCTGGATTTCCAAAACTTTCCCATTGATCAAAATCTCGACGATTGCCTCTGATGTATAGCATTGTGTTTAGAACACTAGAACCACCTAAGACCTTGATTTGAAAACATTATTGCTTTAATAATACAATAACAAAAAATCAACCTTCATTTAAATAATTACTACAACATTTTATTAATCACTGTGTAGAAAGCAAGTGAATTGCTTATATTTCACCATTTTACAATCATTAAAGTCCAGCCTTTATAATCAATTTTGAACTCTGATCCTGCACTTTTTGCTCTTATGTATATTAATTGTGTTTTTTCTAGCATTCTATCAAAACAAAAATTGTCAAGTGTGAATTTTTATGCAAAATAGTGGCTAGATTATGATATTATTACATTAATCATTGAAAAAAATTTCATAATTCTCATTTCGTGCATACAATATTAAAACTATGATGTAAAAATGCAATTAAAAATTTTTTTTATATCAGAATAATTGTATTTTATGAAATTTAACATTTTAGAGACTTTTAGCCAGCCTAAACCGGTTTGAAATGCAACATCTAGTGAGTCCCAAAATTATGTGCTTTCACTGACTATATATATGAGTCACTGAATACAAAAAAAAATCTTATGTTAACTGGCATTTTTTAGGCTTTTCCTAACTTGGAAAATAGTGAGTCAAATATTACAAAATACTATGTCACAGATCCCGTGTCTTTTTTCACACTTGAAAAAGTTCATTTTCATATAATGAATGGCTAGAAAAATTTATTAAGAAATTTTTGTACCTATAAATCAATTTTTTGCAGTTAATGACAATGTAATGTGCACATTGGTTAACTCGCAAAATATAATTATTTTAATTGTAGTATAAAAAATGTTCACCTTTCCCCTAGTCCAACAACAACGTTGATCAACCATAGCTTGACATGCTGACCACTGGGGTTGCGTCCTATATTTCCAATCAATTTTACTCTTATGTAAATAAAGGGAGAGTATTGGCACATCAGTAATTTCAGTTTCATGTCCACCTGCTTCTATGAGCAAAACATTCCACTTAGGATTTTCTGTGAGTCTATTAACTAAAACACTTCCTGCACTTCCACCTCCTATTATAATAAAATCATAACTTCGTCGTAAATTTTTCGTCACTTGAGGGTGATTTTCTGGATCCATCAGATCATAATTATAATAAGCCAATGCAGCTATTAAAATTGGAAGTATCGCTAACTTTCCAGTCAATAATAATCCAGCAGCTTTGATTGCTCCAATAACACTTCCAAGTAGAACTGCCATTTTTATTATATTTTTAACCTGATATATTTCTGTTATCGATTTTTTTTATTGAATCCCTGATGATGTTCACTGACCAATTAAATACTTTTCTCATGCTGTTGTCGGAGGTCCTGTAACTTAACAACAATGTCAAAGAATCATTGATGGTGAAATCAACATATTATGAAAATGATTGTCATTTGAAGTCATTTTTAATGTTTCATGTCTTTTAAATTATAATTATTTCCGGTTAAGTTACTTCATAAGATCGAAAAAGTTTTTTCTGTATAAAACTCCGAGTAGACTATGTGGGATTAATGAAATTAATTTTTTTCTTTTGTTTAAAGAAATAAAAAGTGTTCAATGAGAGTTGAAAATAAAAACCCTCGTAAGTTTATCATTATCAGTTTCATTAACTAGATTTTATAAAAAATTATCTTTCCACTTTCACAAGATACATATTTTCAACTGATGCATTTATATGATCACACTTGAACTACATGTAACTTTTTTCATTATAAATATTTTATAAATTAAAAATATTTTTCTAGTTCATTAATTTTAACAATTAAATAAATAATTGAAAATTTTTTAATTCACAAAAAGATATATGGAATGAAAATTTAATTGATTTGTTATGAAACGTCAAATGGAACTGTCTTCGATAATTACTTCTTTGATGAAACACTAAGGTATAAGATAAAAAAAATTATTTTTCAACATACTATGTAGCTGACAAAAGAATAATCAATTGTTGACATTCAAGATGATATACATACCTGCGGAAATTGGCAGACAAACAAGTGGTAACACGTGGTCACATAGAATCGCGGGATTAAACGACTCACGACACCGTAGAGAAAGCGAAAGACTGGATGGTTGAGTATTACGTTGAACGTATAAAACTTACAAACGGTCACCTCCTACCACTTTTGAATTTACAGAAAGATTACCGGCGTGTCACACTATCGGGATAACTCTTATGATTGCATCAATATATCTGTTGCGTGCGGAAACTCACGTGTATTTCAGCTTTTCTATTCAACCAAGAACAGTTTTTATGCCTGAACGAAAAATAAAAGTTGGTAGGGATTTTTCAGAAGGTCTACTTTCGTAAGACAAATCTTGATAGAATGAAAGATAATACATAACAAATAAATATGAATATCTTACTTAATCAAACTGATTAATAATAAAAAATGGTCATTTTTCCAACGTAAAAAGTATAAGATTAATATACCTAATACGATGACTAACACATTAAGTTAATCAAAAATTAGTAATAAATGGTTACGTGCCTTTTTCTGACAGAAAGTGAAACTAGAAAAAAGATTGACAGCTCTATTTTCCTTATCACGATTGTAGACAATAAGCTCACTTGTATTATTAACTATATTCTAACATTTCTTATTAACCAGTGCAATGAGCATTCACAAATGCTTATTTTAGTCATGATAAAATAGATATTATCCTTTCAAATGCTATCAAATCATCTAGAAATATACTCTTCATCAGGTATGTTGAGAAAAATCATTTTGAAAGAATTCTGATTTATGATATACCGAGATCATAACTACATTAATCAATATTCACATCAACTATTTTTCTTTTACCAAATTTGGATTTGACTCATTTATTCTCTAGTTGTAACACAAAATTTTTTTCTTATTTATCATATTTCTTAGAGTAGAAATTATTCAAACAATTGACTGGTTACGGAAGTTTATTTTACTCGTCAAATATATCATAAATTGTACATGAAATTATATTGACATATACTTTTATCGTTAAAAAAAATTATTAACTAAAAAACATATGAAAAAAAAGAATTATGTATTATTCCATCCACGTAATTAACATGGATAATTAATTATAAATCATACTATTTTAAAAATATTATCAATGTGATTTCAACTTTTACAATTCATCTCTAGCTAGCCATTGACTCTTAACAAGATCAGCTCCTTTCTCTGCGATCATTATAGTTGGAGAATTGGTATTGCCACTGGTAATAGTGGGCATAATTGAAGCATCAATAACTCTTAATCGATCAACTCCTATAACTTTCAATTTAGAGTCTACGACAGATTTCGAATCATCTGGTGGTCCCATTCTTGCTGTTCCAACTGGATGATAGAGTGTTCCTGCCATGTGTCTCAAATTACACTCCCAATAATCTCTAGTGTCAAACTGGAAATTTTTACAACCAGGAATTTGGAAGTTTCTCAACTTAATATCCAATTTCTTGAAAGTTTCAGTGGTTGTAAGACTTTTTACAAAATCTAATGCTTTAAGCATAACTTCTTTATCTTCATCATTGGTTAAATAATTAGCAAAAATTTTAACAGGGTCACTTGGTAATGCACTACGTAATTTAAGGTATCCTGTACTTTTGGGTTTCAGTAAGGTGGGGCTCATAAAGACAGTGTCAAAAACTTGTGTTAACCTTGTAATTTCATCGCCTATCTCTTGGGCAAGGCCCATAGCTTTCACCATACTTACACTTTTCATAATATGACCTCTTGGCATGTAAATATTATGGAATTCAATATTTGGATATTTAGAGTTTGAATCATCGACATTAATAAAGCCTACAAGATCAATACCACCAACATCAGCAAACTCTCCTTTTCGATGCATCAAATAATTATATGCATCGTCGAAAACAATTGAAGGTATTTTTATTTGAGAATTATTTACAAACTCCAGCTGAACTCCTAGCCATATCAAATGGTCTTGAAGATTTTTTCCAACTGGTAAATCAACTTTACATTTAATCCCATGCTCTTTTAGCTCTTCTTTTGGTCCAATTCCTGATAACATGAGTAAATGTGGTGAAGCAATGGATCCAGCAGAAAGAATTACTTCTTTGGTTGTTTTTATCTCAATAGACTTTCCATCTTTGAGAGTAACTCTTACTCCAACTGCTTGATTCCCATCAATCAAAATTTCGTCGACTCTAGATCCAGTCATTAAAAATAAATTTTTTTTATCTTTAACTGGAGACAAATAAGCTTTAGCTGCATTCTGTCGACGCCCATTCTCAATAGTTCCTTGCGCAAGAGAAAATCCAATGTATTTATCTTTATTAAATGCATCCAAAGTTGGAATTCCTTTTTCTTTAGCTGCTTCCATAATTACTTGATTGATAGAAGTATCTGAATAATTATAATTACGAACATGAATAGGTCCACTACTTCCCAAAAATTTATCTCCATGAATTGTGATGAATTCTTCTGAATAACTTTCAGATTTTTTAAAGTATGGAAGGACATCATCAAAACCCCATCCTTCATTGCCAAGAGCTTCCCAAGAATCAAAATCTTCTTTATTTCCATGGATATGAAACATGGCATTTATTGAAGAGCTTCCACCTAAAACTTTTCCTTTGGCCCATTTACACTGACGATTAGCCATTCCTAAACAGAAATTGTCTTGATGCTCGACCACATAATTGTAGTCTTCAGGGCTCTCTTGAAGAGTTAATACCAACCCCGGAACATCGCTGCTAATTGAAGGATATGACCCTGCTTCTATTAATAATACTTTCCAGTTTGGCTGTTCAGACAGTCTTCGTGCAAGAACAGATCCAGCTGAACCTCCTCCAACGATTACAAAGTCGAATGGATCATTTAAACTAGCTAATACCTGTGAAGTTCGATCAGGTGGGTAATCATCTGGGTTACCCAAGTTACATTGTGCCACTAAAATTGTGTGAATTAGTTGAATAAAGATGTTGTAAGAAGGATCAACTGCTGCCAAAGCAGTAGACGTTAGACATGATTCCATAGTTCTGAAAAATTGTAATATTTATTTTAGAGAATTAAAAAAGAAACTATGATTGTTTGAAAAAACGGAAAGGAAAAAATGTGGTTCAACAAGTATTTTTATATCTACATAAGTTTCCGTTCTCACTTATTCGAAATATTTTTCCTTTTGTCATTATGTAATAATACTAATATTTATGTCTTTATATATTTATTCTATTGATTGAATTCTTGTATAATTACATAAGATTAAATTAAAATTAATCTCACTCAAAAATAATAGAAAATGATAATCATCACCATAAATATTTAATAAATATGTTTATTTGTTAATGAATCAATAGAAAAAGACATTAATATTAAATCGAAATGAAATTGAATATCTTCATGTTGAAATTAAGATTCTAAATTAAAATATAAAACTTTCCTGAGAATTTTATAAGTATACATATTTATTTTTACAATAAATTGAATACTATCAGACTTTTATATAAAATAAAATGCATTTACTTTTAAAATATCCAATAAAGTGAATTTAATCTCTATTTCAACATTAAATGAAAAGATTTTCAATAAATTATGACTTACCAATAGTTGATGAACACACTACTAATCTCACACATGAATTGGTTTACTCTTCACTTCAGTAAGCGATTAATAATGTAACTTACAGTAACGAATTAATTATTTATAAGTTTTACTATCGGTAATAGTATGATTGGCAAGTTGACAGTAACTACTGTCCTTTTTTCTAAATATATATTCAAAAAGTTGCAATCACACGTCTGTTAGCTAGAGCTACCTTGGAATAACTGAGTGCTATTTAGTTTATCGCGAAACTGTGAATCTATTAATCTAGATTTTCAGTCGCATCTTGGTGAACCGGAATATGTTTTTTTAACTTACCACGAAAAGATATTGAATATTCGACCTTCTATCTATTATCCAATATCCGTTTTCTAGATGATATTATCTATTTTGCATAACAAAGCTCTTGTTTCATGACATTCTAACAAAGTATAATTTTCGTAAAAATTTAAATCTTATTTTTATCGTGGCAAGAAAAACAAAATACATAAAACTAATATTAGATATAATTTTTTTTTTAAAAAAATTTTATTTATTGAAAAAATACATAAATAAATTTTTATATCCCCTCCCAAGTGTTAATAATCATATCAGCAGCTTTCTCAGCGACCATAATAATAGCTGCACATGGATTAGCATTAGGAACAATTGGAAAAATTGAAGCATCAGCTACTCTAATATTATTGATACCATGAACTTTAAGCTCAGAATTGACTACAGCTTGAGGATCAGTTGCTGGCCCCATTTTGCAAGTCCCAGATTGATGATTCTCAGGTCCGGTTTGCCAGCGTATAACACATTCCCAGTAAGCATCAGTACTGAAGTGATAATTAGAGCAGGCAGGAAGTGGGGTTTCATCTAGCCGTAAATCCCACTTTCTCATCGTCTTCGTCTTGGTCAAGTCTGCAACTTTCTTAATACCTTCAACCAGTATCTTCAGATCTCGGTTATCTGTAAAATAATCTGGATAAATCAATGGAGGGTCGAGTGGATTTTTCGATCGCAGCGTTAAATATCCTAGAGACTTGACAATGACAGTTGTAGGACGTGCTACTATTTCTCTTCGGGTAGGACAAGACTGTAAACTTCCATCGGGACATTTATTATTCAGACCTCCTTTAGGGCATGTTGAACTAAATCCATCGAAAAATACTTGAATGTCTGGTACTCCAGATTGTGCATAAGAACTTTCAAGAAATGCGGTAACCTGGGTCAAGCCTGTGCTAGCTAAAGGACCAGTTCGATTTTTCATATACTCTTCAATTGACTGAGCAGTAATATCCTGATAATAAGTATCGTTTATACTCATTTTAATACCAACTGAAACATGATTATGTAAATTTCTTCCAACAGGAAGCTCTTGATACAAAGGAATTCCAAGTTTCTCTAAATCTTTTCGAGGTCCAATCCCTGAAGAAAGTAAAATCTGTGGAGATCCAATAGCTCCAGCAGTCAGAATGACTTCTTTATCTGCTTTTATTTTCTTACGTACTCCATTCTTATCAATTATTTCTACTCCCCAGGCATCCATTCCCCATTGAGTTTTGATAATTTTAGTAACATGAGCATTTGTAAGAACTCTAAGATTTCGTTTATGTACAATTGGTCGAAGGTAGTATCGTGAAGTAGTTCCTCTCAGACCATTATCAGTCATCATCGGTGCTACCATAAAGCCAGTAAGATGAGTTCCATGAAGTTTAGATGTTCGATAGCCCAACTCAGCTGCACTGTTGAGAAGATCATCAGCAAAACGAGGTTTATGTGAGAAGTATTTTATTTTCACTGGGCCATCATTCTTCGTTCTTTTGAATGGAGCGTCCGAAGTCATTCCCGGAGCATCTGGATTTTCAGCTCGATCGAAATAATGTTCGATTTCGTTGTACGACCAACCTTTATTACCTGCTCTCGCCCATTTATTATAAATTTCTGGGTGCCCTCGCACATACATCATCCCATACATTCCTCCTGTACCCGAGACCATCTTTCCGCGTGGCCAAGTACAGACCCCACCATGTTCTAGACAAGCTGTTGGATGAGGTTTTGTTGGTTCAGTCTTATAATTCCAATCTAAAGTAGAATTAATTGCATTAAATGCAAAACCAGGAAAAACTGTCATTGTTGGTTCTTCAGGACCAGCTTCTATTAAAAGTACTCTCCACCATGGCTCTTGATCGGCTAACCTTCTTGCAATTACTGGACCAGCCATTCCAGCACCAACTATTATGAAATCAAACCTAAAAATATTTCATTCATTAATTGATATTACTAATTTAATTTTTATTCAACTTTACCATTGTTGAAAGTAATGATATAAATAATAAATTTTTTATTAAAACTGACAATCAGAAAAGTAACAACAATGTTATATCAACAATGTTCAAACTTATAATTACAACAATTAAAACACGTATTATTATATACAACACATTTTGCAAAAAAAACACAGATAATGAACATGAAATAAATTTCCGTATTTATAAGTACGTGAATGATAAATGGCATGTAAATCAAATTGAACATTTTGTATTGAAATTAGACAAAGACCACAAGTAAAAAGTGATAATCATCATCAGATAATAATATTATATCACTGTTAAAGTGTATGAGAGAGTAAATAAGAAGACGGTAATGAGAATAAAAATTTTCCACTAGACATAAATGAAAGTGAAAGGACAAAAAACTTACACTTCATTATCATTGATGTCATTAGTTCCTGGTCGTCGACAGGGATCTGCGATATCACATCTGTTGAGCATAACAGTTTGTACCATCATCATGAAACTAGTCATCATATTTACACATCCGGATTGCTTATAAATAACATCCTCGAATTGACATTTTTTTCTTGAATAAACTGTTGAACAGGCATACGTGATATTCATCTCGGGGATTTGCTAAAATTAAATAAAATTATTTTTCAATATGAAAAGTATAAAAACTTTAACAAAAACATTTTATCTAATAAAGAGTAGACAGTTACACTATAATTCATTGGTACTAGATCCATACTTAATAAAGACATTTCGTATGAATACTTGCATTCGCAAGACTGCAGACAAGCTTAAATATCCAAACTTGGTACATACCGTTTCGATGGAAAAGATTTTATGAAACCTACCTTGACACACATGATAACACCCGCATATTATGGTAATAAAGAAAATGAAACGAGTTATAATAACATTTTTCTTTGTAAAGTTTCATTAATTCGTCCTTTTATGAAATCAATGGCAAAGTAAACATTCGTTTTTCAAGTCTACTTACCCATTGCATTGGCAGAGCTATTACATCAATAATTTTGAGGAAAATTAAATAAACAACGAACATCCAGAATTTCATATTTTTTTAGTCGAATTTTTCTGTAAAAAAAACAAACATTGTAATCAGAAACAATAACTATCTAAATCTAGTATCATTAAAACTTACCAAAATAGAAAAAAAATAATTTTTATTTTGTTATTTTTTTTTTGAAATAATACTAATTTATTAAATAAAAGTAATGCTTTATTGGAGAAAAGGTCTTTATATGGTGAAAATATATGAGAACGATCCACGGTCAACTGAGAACGTTGCCACTCACAGGATGTTCCACTATCTTATACACTGGCAAACTCTTTTGATACTGTCAGATGAGCCGAAAAAAATGATATATACCCATGTGAGATACGCAAAAAAGTAAATTCATATCATTGTAAACATTTCAAATTCATTCAGAATTTATCATACATATAAAATGACTAAGCTTTGAAAGTTTATTTCTTATCAGTTTTTTTCCATCAATTATACGCTAATAAGGATGAATGATATTTATGGACAATCAAAAAATTAACTAAATTGATATAAATTATTTTATCATGTCAATTTACAATTAAAAAAGTATCTTATAAATCATATAAACAAATAATTACATTAAAGCATAAATTTTTTTTTTATTTTATCGTTATTGTTTAAAAATCATTATCTTTATTTAGTAAATGCCCACAATGAATCGTAATTAAGTTATTTGTATTTAAATTTTCCTTAAACTTTGATTCATTATTACATTGTATAAAAAATTTTTACAACTTGACATTTGTTCATTTTTATCTTATTTAAATATTTTATTCAAGCTTAACAAAGCCTACTTTTAAATGAAAACTATGTTAGTAATACAAAATTTTTACATGAAAGAAAATGTTGAATTACAATTATTCTTATATTAAAATTTGTCATGGGTAAAAATGTCAATATAATTTTTATAATTATTACATCAAATATCAATATATAACATTATTAATTAATGACTATATATTAAATTACAAATATACAAAATGAGTATCAAAACAAAACTATTTTTAATAAAAGCACTATAGTTTAATAACCATATGTATTCTAAACGTATAAAAGATTTCTTTAATTTAAACAATCTATTTTTTATTGTTTAAAAAATTGAATAAAAAATTATACATTAAGATTATAATTAGACGCTCAACGTCAGTTTAAACATTTGGTCAGTCTTTAACCTCTGAAGGTTTTTTTTAAATTTTTCTATTCACAAAATAATAAAGAATTAAATTCAAAATCTCCTTGATCTTCTTTTACGCCAAAAGTTTTTAATCATATCTGAACCTTTTTCTCCAATCATAATAGTAGGAGCATTTGTATTTCCACTCACGAGATTAGGCATTATTGATGCATCAATAACGCGAAGTCCAGAAATACCGTAAACTCGAAGCTGTGGGTCGACAACGGCTTCTGGATCCCAATGAGGACCCATTTTGCACGTTCCTACTGGATGATAAATAGTTGCTGAATAGTGACGAATCATGCATTCCCAGTATGTATCTGTGTAAAGAGGTATATGCTGACAACCCAGAAAAGGTGTTGGATTCAGTTCACTTCCAAATTTCTTAAAAGCTGCAGTCCTACTCAAAGCAATACCAATTTTCACTCCTTCTATCAATGTTGCCATATCTTCAGGTTCTTTAAAATAATTGGGATAAATCAATGGATAATCAAAAGGATTTTTACTCCTTAATTTAATAAATCCTTTACTTTTAGGACGTAAAAGCATTGGAATGACACTCCATACGTCTTTATTACTAATTGGTCCAAATACTGCATCATAAAAACGCTGAGTAATTCCATGGACTTTTCTGATTTGTCTACCTCCATCAGAATTTGTTGATCCAGATATGAAATGAAGTTCAATATCTGGGAAGTCATCAGAAGCATTAACATACTTAGTATTCACAAAAGCAAGACCTTCAACACCTCCAAGGACAGTCAAGGGACCATCACCAAAGATAGCATATCTCATCACCGATGAAATTGTGTGAAGTCTATTTTCAACCATTGAGACCGGTTGATTAACTAAAAAAGTTAATCCTCCTAGTCCTACATGATCTTGAAGGTTCTGTCCAACTGGTGCATTTTGTATGACGGGAATTCCGAGTTGTTCAAGATGATCTTTGGGCCCAACTCCTGAAAGCATTAACAGCTGTGGAGAATTGACTGATCCTCCAGATAGAATAACTTCCCTGCTGGCTTTAATTGTTGTAATTTTTCCATTTCTCACCATTTCTATTCCATACGCTTTTTTATCTCTTGGATCGATAAGAACTCTAGTCACATGTGAATTGAGAGAAACGTGAAGATTTTGACGTAATCTTGCAGGTCGTAGAAAAGCTTTTGAAGATGAACAACGACTCCCATCTCTAATCGTTCCCTGAGCAATCATAAAACCACTTTGACGTGCGCCATTAATGTCTCGAATTTCATAACCCATTTCTCGACCTGCTTCAACAAAAGCGGTAGCAAGCGGAGTCCTCCAGGGTGCTTCTTGAACTGTTAAATATCCACCAGTAGAGTGATAACTTGTTCTAGCAAGATACGGATTACGATTATCTTCGGACTTTTTAAAATAGTAAAGAACGTCTTTTGAACCCCAACCAGGATTTCCTTGCTGTTCCCATATATCATAATCTTTTCTATTGCCTCGAAGGTACAACATGTAATTTAAAACGCTACTACCACCTAAAACTTTTCCTCTTGGCCAGTTACATCGACCTTGTTCCATTGCTAATAAAAACAAAAAATTATTAATATCGTCCTTGTAATTATTGCTATAAAAATTTATAACATGATTAAATTAAAAAATAAATTAAAAAAGTGCCAACTAATAAACTTTCTACAAGAAAATTACATGTAGAAAGTATTTACAAAAACATCTGCATCATTCTAATGAAAGAATATTGAAATCTATATACCTAAGCAAGCATCTCCTGATGGTTCTGTTTTATATTTCCAATCTAACTTGCTAAGTTGGAGATAACCAGCTAATAGAGGAACGTCAGAAATTTCTGTTTCATCTCCACCTGCTTCTAATAATAAAACATTCCAGTTATTAATCTCTGAAAGACGACTAGCAACAACAGCACCTATGAAAAAAAAAATTATCTTATACTTTTTGTAACTTAGAATATATCTTCATGAATTTTTATCAACTAAATTTTTAGTTTGTTAAAAAACTATTATCATTTTATTAAATATTATATAATTTTTTTTAATTAGCATATTTTTTTAAGATATTAATGTAATATAATATTATATTATATTTCACTTTCTAAATTCCAAAGCCCTTATTATACAAACTCTAACTTATTACGACAAACCCTTTTGTAACTTTCCAAATTCTCAATATCATATGCAAAGTAATTCATTAGTGGTAATGGTAATTAATTTAAATATTTTAAATTGACTTTCAATTTTTTCCATTTTTTGAGTAAAAAGAAAATAACTTGGGAAAATCTTCATACCTGCAGATCCAGCCCCAACAACAATGAAATCATAAGAGGGAAGTAATAATTCAAAAGGCATATCAATAGGCTGTGATTCTTTATCCATAACTTCATATTGAAAATAAGCTAAAGCCATTGCCAAAGCTGGAAAAAACCAACCCAGACTTCCGGAAGCTACTCCCAAATAATTAGCTATTGTTGTTTCCACTCCCATGTTTAATCACTGGATGTATTCTTGATTGCTCTCAATGAATCTGTAATAAAATGAAAATCAATTAATTGGAATTCACAATATATAAATATTTTTGAAACTAATTGAAAATTTATATTAATCATTCACCAAGATTGAAAGATTTTGAATTGATGTAACTAGCTATTAGAAAACACTGTAACTTGTTGGAGACTATATCAAGAAATGATGCCGGTTTGAAAAGTCTACGTGTATATCAGTCAGCTTGGTTAACCGTAATGTATCGATGCTTCGAGAATAACAATTGATTTTAGAACTTTCAATGGTTAAGTAATTTCAAGTGTCGTCATTATTCCTATTAACATTGATAATTTCACCGGAGAAGTATGGGAGTTTAGGGAAAAATATTAGTTACAAAGATATCATTTACATTCAATCTTCTATTAAGATTGTTCGAGAAGTTAACCATATTAATATGGGTAGAAAACCATCACGTTATAGTTATACTTTGAATTTATTTATTTACTTCTACTTCTCAGTTGCTGTTTATGACACACTTTGCAATTTTTTTGTGTCATTCCAATGGTAATTTAAATTTTGCATTTGTGAAAATATTTCATGCACTATTAACACTCCAAACAGTTATTACTGATATTATATTAATTATAATAATAGCAATAATAAATAAATTAATTTTATAAAATTAAAATTCTTACCTTTAATTTTGTTCAGACCAGTTTTTAAAATCACACTTTGGCCAATAATCTTTCATTAATCAACATTTTTTTTGTTCGAGATCTTTTTTATGAATAATTAATTTTGACAAAGAGAACAAAAAAAATAAAATTCACAAAATAATCTTCCAAGCATTTATTAATCCATCTGATCATGCGATGCTGGATCATTTAAAAGAACTGAAGACATAAGATCAAGGTATGGCCTCCAACCAAGAGCACAGACCCCTCGGATAACGGGGCATCAATACCCCACTCCATATCTTCTTTACTCTTCTCACTCTTGTTCTCTCTTTTTTTTTCTTCTATTCTTACATAGGTATATTTTTAAAAGATAGCGGTATCTGATAATTTCAACTGTAGTTTTTTTATCTAAATAAACATTTAAAAGGAATTTGCAATTTAAATATTGGCTAAGAATACAGGAAAAAAGGGATCATTAGTTGACAAAAAGAATAAATCTACTTTTTTCACTCAACAAATGATGCACCTGTTGCCTCTCACGTTCACTCTTTATCCCACGTGTAAACAGTCACGTCGTCTCCAACAGGAAGACTCCAAGGAAAGATTTCATAAACAAATAATTTCAAATTACTTCAACTATAAGAATTTCATTTTATATTATTCTCTACTATAATTTATAAACATAAAAACTTATGAATATTGTTTTTTTTTATTTTTCAGGAGGATGCTGTGGTTCAATGAAAAAACGAACAATTGTAGGCGGATATGCATTTTGTTGGTGGTTCGTCACGGATGTTCAACGTCTATCCTTAGAAGTAATGACGTTGAATCCTGTATGCGAGAGCGTGGAAACTGCCCAGGGTGTGCCCCTTACAGTAACAGGGGTCGCTCAATGCAAGATAATGAAAGCTGATGAGTTATTACACACTGCCAGTGAACAATTTCTAGGAAAAAGCGTTAGTGAAATAAAGTCTACGATTCTTTCTACATTAGAAGGTCATCTTAGAGCCATCCTTGGTAAGACCATCAATAATTTTAAATGAAAAAATATAGCTTAATATATAATAACCATCACGACTTAATTTAATTAAAAAGTAATTTAATTTTATCCTTTTCCAGGTACTCTCTCAGTAGAAGAAGTTTATAAAGATCGTGACCAATTTGCAGCTTTAGTTCGTGAAGTAGCTGCTCCAGACGTTGGTCGTATGGGCATAGAAATTCTCTCTTTTACTATTAAGGATGTTTACGATGACGTTCAGTATTTAGCTTCTTTGGGAAAAGCGCAAACTGCTGCTGTTAAACGAGATGCTGATGTGGGAGTTGCAGAAGCCAACCGTGATGCTGGTATCAGGGTATGATAATATTTTGAATCCCTATTTCTTAAAAGTGCTACTCTTTACCTTAATTATATTTTTACTTACTTTTCTCTATTTTTTTAATCATTAATTTTACTGTTACTTCTTTCTTTTGTTTTCTAGTAAATGGACAGTTTACTGTAGGTAAAAATATCATTATCTACCATTTTAGATTTTATTAGATAGACTTTTAACGATATATATACTCTATAAAAATTTTTTAACATTTTTATTTATTAAACTTTTTCATCTATCTTATTTAAATGTTTGTAATAATATAGTTTTTACTTTTCATCTTTTTTTCATAAATTATATTTATTGAATGCAATAAATATTTTTACAATAAGTTTATTAATTTTCTCAATTTATTTTAGGAAGCAGAATGTGAAAAATCTGCCATGGACATCAAGTATAACACAGATACCAAAATCGAAGATAATGCAAGACTTTATCAACTACAAAAAGCTAACTTTGATCAGGAAGTCAATACAGCAGTGAGTATTCATTGTTTTAAATGTTACTGCTGAAATAATTTGCAAAATTTACACAACCGGATTGAACTAATCGTGAATGAAAATAAAGAGAAAGCTAGTTTACTTTGAGAGAGTGCATTGAAATTTTTTTATTTCTTAGAAAGCTGAAGCTCAGTTGGCTTACGAACTTCAAGCAGCTAAAATAAAGCAAAAAATAAGAAATGAAGAAATTCAAATCGAAGTGGTGGAGCGACATAAACTCATCGAAGTTGAAGAACAGGAAGTAAAGAGAAAAGAACATGAATTGAAGAGTACTGTTCGTTTACCAGCTGAAGCAGAACATTATAAAATGACCACAATCGCAGAAGGAAAACGGTATGCAAAATATTTATGTATATATACATATCAAGATATTTTCAACGATATGCTATATAATATTAATAACAACAAAAAAATACTTTACATTAATCATTATTTCATTACAGAACACAAACAGTAGAGAATGCTAAAGCTGAAGCTCAAAAAATTCGACTAATTGGAGAAGCTGAAGCTAGAAACACTGATATAATCGGAAATGCAGAAGCTGAAAGAATGCGTCTCAAAGCTGAGGTTTATAAAAAATATAACGAAGCTGCGATTCTCAATATCGCACTTAATGCAATGCCAAAGGCAAGTTTAAATTACCTTATATTTTTATTTCTCCGTTAAAAGATCTTTTTGAAGAATGAAAAATAATTTATATAAACTCATTTGATAGATTGCTGCTGAAATAGCTGCACCACTCGCAAGAACAGAAGAAATCGTTCTACTGGGTGGAAGTGGTGGCACTTCGGAGGAGTTAACCCGACTCGTAGGTCAAGTACCTCCAGCAGTTCAGGCACTAACTGGAGTAGATCTCTCCAAGGTTTTAGCTAAAATTCCAGGCGCAAAGTAATTTATCCTTGTTACTTTTTCCATCTACAACAAATATTTCTATATTGCAAACAAATCTAAAAAATCAATTGAGTGAATAAGCTAAAACACTCTTTCGAACAAAAGACAGAGAAATAATACTGCCAATTAATTCTCTGATCTGCCAATCAAGTTGCAATTTGGCAACACTACACTTTTTGTCTTTTTCCCGAATTCTTCTACCTCATGTTTGGATGTAGGACTCAGAAAATAATAGCATTACACATCATTATCAACATGTTACCATGCACACTTTCTCCACGATGGTCCGTCTCATTAAATAATAATTATTAGAATAATTAATGTATAATTCAATTTCAACTTGAACTCTGAATCGATCCATGTAAGTAACATAAATACCTGTTGATTTAGCCTATATATAATATTGAATGAAAGGCTGCGATTTATTTAATTGACAAACAAAAAATTGCAAATAAAAAATACGAGTTAATGGTACTGTTTGATTAATAATGACGGAATTAGTGCACATAAATTAACTTATTGAGGTGATTAAATTGATAAATCAATTGTGATTCATTACTCTTCGACCATTGTGTTCAATGTGTGTAATAAGTAAATTTATTGAGGGAAAGATTAAGTGAAGTGAGACCGTTATTATATTAGCGGTGAAATTATTGTTTATCATCGATTGCAATCGTTAGCAAAGCCAAAATTATTCTAAAACATTTCCAATTATATTTATGGAAAAGTTTAGATAATTTGTTTTTTTCTTTTTTCTGAAGTCTCACACGGATCATTTAATTGATCACTTTCTTGAAAAATATTTAAAATTAAATTCATATTTTAAAAATATGTAAATGTACATAAAATGTACAATGAATATCTATCAAATTGTATATACACTAATCAAAGAAAAGAATCATAAACAAAAATTTTAGCTAAAAATATTTAAAAAATATTTTTCATCAATTAATAGAAGATAAACGTTTTTGACGATCTCTAATAATAATTATGATTACTGTGAAATTATACTCCAATAAAATTAACTAATTGATTAGCAATTGATAATAGTATAGAATCAATAAACTCTATTTGCAATTATTTGGAAAAATGAATTTTAATGCATCATATATTTTTCTTATGATAAAAAAAAACTCTTGAAGTACAAATAACGTGATTGATAGATCTTGAATCATATGTAATAATTGCGCAATCAATTAATATTGAACACGGTCTTCCCCAAATTTCAATTTAATTCGAATGGATTAAGAATAATTGAGTTATAGAAAAAAATGTATTTGTTCCATCTACATTTGATACGATTTGTGGATAGTTTTTAAAAAGAATCTGAAATTTGATGATTCAATAATTTTTGATCAATTGATGATTAAATGTGAGCTTCATTGTTTTTATTCTTTATTTATAAACTAAGCTGATTAACAAATTACTAAAATTATTATTCGTCCATTAAACGAAAAAAATGATCTAATTAATTAATTTCTATATTTTTATTTTAGTTATTTGATTTTTTATTATTTGGGATTTTGTAACACTGTTAAGTCGATTTTATATTTCATGTGAGTTGACGTTTCTAATCAAAAAAAAAAAAAAATATAATAATTATTAACAGTATTCCAGTAATTTTTTAAAACTATTTTTAACGTTGAAACTTTAATACTCGCCTACTTTGATATCAATTTTTGTAATTTTTGCCTTTTACGAGTATTGGTATATTTTAGTCTTATGAAATATTTCTATTATCAAGATGAAATATTATTAATTGTAGTATGCATTGGCTTAACAAATAAAAAATCATTTTTAAAATAGCATATGCTTATACGTGAAATTTTTTGAGATTAATAATTTTTTTCACTCTATTAATAACAAATTTTTAAAGTTCATTCCTTATTCGTATTTTTCATATGAAAAAAGGTCAAATTCTGCTATTTTGAAAATTATTGTTCCAACAAATATATTCTCACGAATTAACAATTTATTCGATATGAATGATTCATTTATAAAATAATATCAGTTAATTGAATTCCATGGGTCTTATTAAAATGACATTGTATCGATTTCATAAGTTATAATACACAAAAAACAGTTACCATAGAATTGTAAATGTTTGTGCATAGATAATATTATACTTGAAAATAATTTAATGAACTACTTCATCACAGTGCCAGTAATAATTTGTGCTATATTCCAAGATTTTACATTCTTTACAGAATTATATTTTTTATTTTGATCTTGTTGATGTTGTTTGATTTATTCAATGTATTGAATGCAAGTTTGAATTAAATGTATGTGTTTTGAATATTCTTAATAGTTTTGCAGTTTCAATAAGTATGATAAGAATGCACTTACCTACAGTACGCACGAATATTATTTTATCTATTTATCCTGTGTTCCTTAATTGTAGGTAACAGATATTGTAATAAAGCAAATATTTATATACATGAATCTTTTGAAAGAAACGCATAAAATATAAATAATATAACAAAACTTGATAGTATATTAAAGGACTAAAAAACAATCTGCAGTTTCAAAAAAAATGTCACACTAGCAAAATATTATATGTAATAATACAAACAATATTATATACTCGATTTGACCAAACAGCTTAAGAAAAGAAAGCATTTACCAAAACTTATTAATAATAAAATAAATCTCGCCCATTCTCTAGAAAAGTCTAGTCTTTTATAAATGGCAATATAAAATATATATTTTGGAAGTTATACGTTAGAAGTGTTTCGATACGTAGATAGAAGACAATATAACAATGTCATACTTTAATCAATCTGAAAGTAATGAAATAGACAATGTGAAACAGTGCATATTTTTAATAAATGGAACATCAAATAAAAATATTCTTTGTTTTATAATTTATTTCAATTTTCATGAAATTAATGATAAATACAATAATTATAATTCTTACCTGTTGAATTATTTTGGATGTTTTTTTTTTCATTTTGTTAGACTTATAAGATATTGACACATGGAATGTCATGACTTTATAATAATTTTTATTACAGCAAGATGATGTTTCTTTAATTATTTACATGGAAACGCAAAATCTAACTAATATCATTCATTAAATTAGTACATAGATGTATAAGTAAACTTATTGATACATTAAATTATCTATTTACAAAAATATACAAAGTTAATGTACAACAAGTGATCAACGAAAATCTACCAACCATTTTTCATAGTTCACTCGCCAAACAATTTTGTTTTTTTGTTTTATTAAGACACTCTCTTCAATCGTTTACTTCAATTGAAATGTAATTTTTTCGACTCATTTATTCTGCTGTAAACCAATTTATTTTTAAAAATATTTTTCTACATTTAACTGCAACAATTCTCTTTGGAGTAAAATAAAAAATTCAAATAATTTATTATCACTATTAGCAAATGTGATGAAATAATACAATACTTTTTGTTTAATGTGTCATTTTTCTAGCATTCCATTTGATTGCGCTCTCATTACCCTGCTCTTAAAAGGTTTTTTAAAAAAATTTTTCAGCAATGATTTCATAACTTCAATCACCAAACATTTGAGCTTGATAAAAAATGATAATTGTTTAAAAATAATAACGTCAATGTACCATAACAAGTTATACTAATCTTATCCTCGGATATATATTTTTTTTATTGCTTTGTAGTTTACTTTTCCGAAAATGCTGTTCTAATTCATGAAGAAATTAACTGAAAAGATTGATATAGAAATTGTCGATTAATTTTTGTATTTTTTATTTTTATATGAGAATGAAAATGAATTATGCTCTACTTATTGCACGCTTAAAATTAAACTGTTAATCATTTATTTTAAACTTAAACTGTGTGAGTTACATTATTATAAATCATATTGAGTCTGATTGATTATCATTTGATATAAGCGAATTAACTAACAAATATTTGAGCTCAATTTACAGTATTGCCCATTGCCTTATTTTTTTTACTCTATTCATTTAATATTGTTTTTTATCCTTCTTCAATATTGATATTTTTTTGTCTCATTTTTTATTCATTTTTGATATATTATTTACAATTAGATATTTATTATTTCTTCAAGATATAAGTGAAAACAGTAGTTATCTGCAAACACTTCGTCCTTCAATAGTTCGGTTTTATATTTTCCTTATTAACTATTATATTAATTAGTTTATTAATTACATTTTTATCACATATTTCTCGTTCCGATCATCAGAAAATCTTCACTTATTTGTTTTCGCCGACTAATTACAATTATACTTAATCTGTATCTCTACTCACACAATCACATAATTCTTTTATGATGTATAAACACTTTTTCATATTTTTTTTTTTTTTTGGAATTCTTTTTTTCATTTTTAATATTCTTTCATATATTATTACTTAATTTTCAAGTTCATATATATGAATATTCAAGTTTCAATAAATTTTTTTTACAAGAAACTTGTAAAGCTTGATGAGATGTAAATCTGAACGGCAGGTAAATAAAAGCAACAATGATTTTGTATGCTACTCATTATTTAAAAAGTTCATGTGAAACCACATATGATAACAATTAATACAGTACGATTTCGCGACAAACATATAAGAAATAAATCACAATACTTTTATAATGTACACAATTTTTTTTATTTTTTGTGACCTTGACTCAATTACTATTTTTGTATAAGATCAATTGAATCTACTTGATTTTTTTTTTTTTTTGATAAATCCGGATGACATTCACTTCAATAAATTTATTAATATACACTTTATACAATTCTACGTTAATCAGATAATAAGAAAATCATAATGAATATACTATCAACATGCTTTCGAAGAATTTAATTATTGTAATACTCAAATAAAAATGTTTTTTTCTGTTACTCATATTCAAATCAAAAATATATTATAATACAGTTGATTTTTTTTTTTGAGAACAAAGAAACTTCAAAACTCTTTATTCAGTTAATTTAGTAACTTAAATACTTTAAAATATATTATAATTAATAATCACTCAAATTTATTTTTTCAAGGGAAGTTGAGCACTTTTTTAATTATCTCTCTTTGTAATCACTAACATTTTTTAATTTTAATCACAGGCTTTGACTTAATCTCTAATCAAATTTTCAATGAATAATTTTTTTATGAATTCATAAGTATTTATAAATATTTATAATTGAATGAATTCATTTTATTATCGAAAAAATATTTCAGTCTCATTACATATATAAAATTTATTAATAAATATACCTTACCCGTGAGATAAAAAAAAGTTTTCAAAATTTATTAAATTTATCTATTCCAAAAAACATTAAGAATTATTTTAAGAGCCCGAATAATATTCCCTTGAAAAATACATTAATGTAATAAGTTTTTAAATTAAAAACCAAAAAAAAAATTATTATTCAATTGTTATTTATTTTAAGTGTATGTCATCGTAATTTTGAAATAATTACACTTGTTTTATATTTAAAAGTATTTTTGTTTTGTTTTTACCAGTAATTAAAAAGAAATCATTCGATTTTAAATAAAACAATTATATTGTCTACATTTTAGGCATTCATTGATGTGTTATTATTATTTGGTTATTTTAAATAACAAATCAATGTGTTGGGCTATTGTTAAAAAGATAAATAATTTATTAGTGATATAACGATTGAAAAAATTTCAAGCACTGATATTTAATGTTTTTTCGAGTAGACTTAAATAGTGGTTTTATCGTATATTTTAAATATGTATAGTTAAAAAAAATTATTACTAAAAATTAAATCATTAACAGCTAATTAATTGTTCAGACATTATTATGATGAATAAATAAATTTTTTAGTATTTTCACTAGAGTACTAGAGTACAAAACAAATAAAGTAATATTTATAAATAATTGTGCATAGATACGAAAAAAATATTTGACGGCTTCAATCGGACGTATTTTGCGAAAGAGAAAGAGATATAAGAATTTATTTTCAGTAGTAATTCCTTAGATATTAAAATTTTGAAAGACGACGATATCATCATTATAATAAACATTAAATCACGATAAATATACGCATGCATACAACTGTTTCGCGGAATATTAAAATACCAAACATAAAATTCCAAAATACTCGTATTATTTGTATATCTCAGACCAATTTAGTTTTTCGTCGATTTTGTCAGACACTAGAATTCGAAGTGACGGAAGGTTGTGAACTGGAAGTCACAGTAGAAGCTGTTGTTGTGTTAGATGGAGAACTAACAACCACCACAGGTTTAACAAGTGTCGTTGTATTTAGATACTGAGCATTAACTAATGGTACTTGCCCGACTGGCTTGAGTATCGGAGTTGTTATCATTTTTCCAGCAAGATTTGAAGGCGCTAAAATGTGGGCTGTGACTTGATTCCCTTGAGAAACAACAGTCATTGGAGTTACTATTGGTGTCAATCCAGAAAGGGGCGTATGTTGACTAACAATATGGGTGATGCTTTCTGTGGACGGAGTGTTTTGCATAACAGTCGAGTTAGTTTTTCCAGTTGACGTTTGCAAAGACACACCGGCATGGCTCAGAGTTAGTCCTGAAATCAATAATATTTTATTCATCATTTCAATTATATTTCAATTTTTTAATATAAAATATTTTATCCAAAATTTCATTTCTTATTCATCTGTAAAATTTGTATCATTTTAAGAAAACCCCTCAAATTCGAATAAAAAAGAGAAGTTCGACAAAAATGTAATTAATTTTGCATCATGTCATTAACAAATTGTATATTTACAAAGTGTCCTTGGTAAATGATGCATCAATTTAGAAGTAATTTTTAATCTTTTTTTCAGATGTAAATTAATGTGCTCAGATAAAATAATTTATTAATTAAAACTCGAGCACATCAATTGAGCTCATCAGTCACCTCCTTGAACAGCAATAGGTTGTGCCTTCACAGAACGGAACACACCATTTGCAGGAAGAATATTCAATTCTGCGCCTCCAGGAAGTCTGGTGAGTTCAGAACCATTACCGCTAACCAAAGCTACCCCTCCAACCATTTTATGAGTTGTTTGACTGTCCCCTGATCTTATTCTTGTTTGAGCAGCTGTAAAAAATTAACAATGTAAAATACAAATACATGAAAATAAATCATCAGATAAATACTTCAACACATTATAACTCAATTAATAAAAATGGAATGCAGTATTATTACTTACTCGTAACATTGAGCGGCGGAGGATGAGTTGCTAATACTAGTGGTCTTCCCTCATTTCCTGAATGTACGAACGTTATTGGTCTATCATTGCTGGATGATTGAACTGCTAAAGCAAGTGGTCGCTCTTGATTTGACAAATTTGATGAATGCACAAACGTAACTCTATTATCATTAGCTGCCGAGGAATGAACTACTAAAGCTACTGGTCTTGGCTCAGATCCAGTACTCGATTGTACGGCAATAAGTGGCCGTGATTGATCGTTCGAATTTTGCACTGCAAGAGTTAGCGGTCGAGATTCAGTATTTCCCGTTGTGTGAGTGACTAATAATTGCCTTGTGTCACCAGGAATCACTCGAAGGCCTGTACCAAGATGTTGAAGAGTTGGTACTATTGTAGCTAAACCCTGACTCGTATTCAACATCTGAGCACTTATTGGTAAATGAAGTTGATGAGACTGTTGAACAACAGCCGGAGAAGTTGTAACTTTTTCCTATAAATAAATTTTAATTTAATTTCTATTTTTTTTTTTCGATTCCTATTCATAATTGTTTTAAATTTAAATACCTGTGCAGGAGTCGGAATGCTTGGTGTTGAAGCTCCAGGGCTAGAACTTGCAGGAGGACTTTCTCGTGAGCTTTGTGCAAGATTCAACCCTTGAGTTTGACATACTACCGCCGCTGTAGCTACTTGACTTTGAATAGACGAAGTTGTGTTTGTTGATTGGAAGTTTTGAGGAGAATTTGCTGTTGCTGCACTACTAAGACTGCTTGTGCTACTGTATCGTGGACCACTCCGTGCTAATCCAGTTAAATCAACATCCATACTTTCTGAAACTATTTATTGAAAATTAAATTATCATAATATTTAACTTTAATCTCACAAACATTGATTTTGATATTAAATAAATTTTCATAAATATGTATATATATTTACCATTCTTTATAGCCAATGGATCGGGAGGAGTTTGTTCTTGTAAAAGTGTACTAAAATCAATGTGATCCCATGTAGCAGACAACTCTCTTTTCAATACAGCTACTCTTTGTTGGGAAGCAATTTTTTCTCTTGCTAATTTTTCCATTTCATGTTCATAATCTCTTTCCTTTCTTCTCAATGCCTGAATACAAATAACATATACAGTTTAATTTCAATTGTGATCGTTAATTTAATATACATGCAAATAAATTCTCTCATCTTCTATTCAATTTTTTTTTAACAAAAAACAAATATTAATTTGTATGATTCAAAAATATGTTCATATTTGATTTTGGTTAAAATATTTAGATTCATATTTTATTTTTAAAAATAAATTTATTGAAAATATTATTTATGGCTAGAAAATATTGTCACGTAAAAAGTTCCAGTTAGTCCGAATCAGAAGAATAATAAAGTCAGTTGAGAAGTTTACCCTAGACATTGTTTACAGAGCGATAAAACACGTGTTAATATAATTAATTGGTCTAAGATAAATACTAGTAAAAATTTTTTTAATTAATCTTTTGTAGATTTTCTTTATATAAAGTAAAAATCATTTCCTCTTTTCACGAGTTCAACTCAAGTTTTTAATTAATTCAAATAATATTTTTATCTCAAATATTTTTGAATTATTTAGAGTAACTTTTTACAATAGTTTTTGTTAAAATATTATATGAAATAAATTCTTCATTATATAATTCAACTCTATCATGATTTCAATAAAGAAAGTTCAACGTTTATAAAAGACGCGATGAATTTTATAAAAAAAATATTATGCATATATTTCAAAGTAATAAATTGAGCTTTCATGGGTATCATGTGGGTAAAATATCTTTGGCTGCTATCCAAGATGTACACAATCAGACATTGAACAAATTGTAGCATCTCAGACGACCGTGTATAAACTATTGATAATACTCGTGGTGGTGCTATGACACTGTGCAGCATGAGAGACATTCAGTATACACGTGGAATTGCACGTTGACACATATAATTCACGGACAGAACGCGTGGTGCTCTAACACTACAAAAAGAAGAGATACAAAGGTCACAACGCACGCGCCTACTTTGTAAATGTACTCAATCGCAACAATCGCATCGAGCTTGCGTATATTCATCGGCATTTTTGGCTACCGTTAACCCCAGCAACTCGATACGCGTACAATCCTCACATCAACGCACCTGCGTATGTCATATTTCAACAGACACGCCCGAGTTATTATTTTAATCATTTTCTTTTAAACATTTTATAACATGAACATATAACATATAACAATAAACAACTGTCATAAATTAGAATATCTCTACATCTGGCTATTGTCCAACATCATTACTTAGTTTCTTATATTTTTTATATATAAATAATATAAAATAGTCAATTCTCATCATTATACTAATATATTATCGAAGTAGTATTTTTAAAGTTCTGACAATTTAAACGATTCTTTTTCTATTAATTTAATTTCCAGTAATTTTATGTATAAGAAAAATTTTTAAAAATTTTCTTTGAAAAATATAAATACATATCCATTAAAAGATTTTTTAATTAATTGATATTTTAACAGCTTAATACTTTATCAAAAATGATAAAATTTGATGGTAACATGTCATAAAAGTTGTGCAAACTTGAATAAAAATATTTATAATAAATGTTTTAAGGTCATTGCAGATGTTGAACACTAATTTTACAAAATTAGGTCAAGTGATGGACAAGCTAATTTTATACTTAAAGAAATTTCAAAAGATAAAGAAGAAATTAAATAAGTAAGGGATAGATAACTAAACAATTACTTATAATTTTGAATATTAAATGCATATTATATAATTTAAATTTAAGACGAATAAAAAATAATATACATCTCAAAGTTCTAATAAAAATTAATAAGATGACACTAATGTTTATTAATAAATTTTATTAATAAATAAAATTAAAAAATAATAATAAAAAAAAATTATTTCAATGTTCTTCATCTATTTTAGAATTCAATGCAGTTGAAATTGATTAATTCATCAAAAAAATATTTTTTTTCTTTCAAAAATGAAAATTAATTTTCTTGACAAGCGATATAAAATCACTTAGTACGCGACTTGATACTTTGGTTATTTTTAAATGAGTCGATCTAAGTTGAGATGTTAGTGCTACGACGACGAGAACACACTTTTCTTAGGCCGAGTATCTTATAAAGACACAGTAAAAATACTTGAACTGAAGTTTCGTTGATTGCCTATAGATTAAATAGTTCAATTAATCTACTTTCAACTATATAAATAGCTTCACATAGAAATTTTAAACTTCATAATTCTTAACAACACTTCCTATCATAAAAGTCTCAATAAATTATTTTTCATGAATGTTAAAAAGATTAGCAAGATAGTCAAGAACAAATGTATCAATTCTTGTAGTACTAGAAGTGTATCAAGTCTTTTTCAAGACTTGACATTTAATGCAGTTGTTAAGTTGAAAATAATGCTACGATAAAAATGAGACAACCGTTAAATGTCAAATTAATGACCAAAACCCTGTTTGTATCCTGAGCAGTCATTAAACTACTTCATGAGACGTGAATAACGGAAATTGATGCATTACAATCACACCTACATTTTATAAATATTTTCCATCCAAATAATGATTCTGAGTTGAAAGAAAGTTCATTGACATTTATTGAGTTTAAAATATCTTTATATAAAACAATATAATTAAACGATTCTTTTCACGTAGACATTCCATAGCTTATTAGTATACGAAAAATACAATAAATATATGGACATCGTTATCAGAAAAATTGTGGTGAAAATGCTATTTTAGCAGCATGAATTTAAATAAATTAATTGTGAAATTGTCCCCCCTGCTGTAATTACCATATTATATAACACATTATGCTAAAAAATGACAATCAATACCAACGTTGTTATTCTAATTAAATCGTAGTTTCTTTCTTTAAATACAATATTAAAAAGTCTATTCTTAGAAAGTAAATGAAAAAAAAATTTTTTCGATATTCTATTTTAATCATATTTCATGAAATCTAGTTCATATTAACTACTTTATTTTTTATTTACCTGGATATGCCTAATAGCTGCATGAAGAATAGATAAATTTGATGACTTTTTTTCATCTTGGGCAGGTAACTGCTTCTTGAGTAATTCAAAACATTCTTTCAAATGTGCCCTTCTATTTTTCTCCAGTTTATTATGCACTTCTCTCGTTCCCGATCTGATGACACACGGCCTAAAATTAAATTGTTATTGATATACAATACCACATAAATACCACTACCATCATTTATATAAGATAATCTAGTTGTTCAAACTTACCCATTTCGGTGTTTTTTATTGTCATGTGTTGTTTCAACGTCAACAACAAGAGGTCCTCCCCCGCTGCTACCAGTTGGTGTGTGATTTGAGTTATAATTTTCTACATAATGATTGTGCGTACTACTATTGTGATTATTGTGATGTTGATGAACTGATTGTGGGTGATAATGATGTATGTGATGATGCTGAGATGTTACATGAGCCGATGCCGTAGAATTAGGGTTGGTCAATGTTCCTCGAGCATTAGCAATCACAGGACTTCCTCTTAATCCTATGGAGTGATTACCATTTGCTCTATTACTCTCGAGTGGTTCCTCCTCTGTAAAAGAACAAATATTTAAATTAGTCGTATAAAAAAGAAACCATTAGTATGTATATTTTAAATGTATATCTATGATAAACAAAACATCTTTGTATGTTCGTAAATTTATTTTTCTTTTTGTATCCTTAAATTAAACTACTTTCAACACATGGACTTACTCATCCTATAGCCACAACTCATTCATGTACTAAGAAACTTGGCATCCTGATGCATTGCTTAATCTATTCCCGGATCAAGTGCTATAGAAAGCAAGAATGAACCAGAAAAAAGAAAAAATTACCTTGCCTAATTTAACCGCTTCATCTGTTAATAAAATTTAGAAAAAAACTTTCATATACACTTTGACGAAAACAAAAATTCGTAAATTTCATAAAAATTCACGTTTATTCTCTATTTGTTAATTTTCAATTTATAATTTCAAGTGAGTTGATATTTTTTATAAAATTATATTTTTTATTATTAAACCATATCAATAACAACAGATCTCTCTAGTTAGTGTGACCTTCATTTAATTATTTATCGCTACACTGTAGTGCCACATGACATCTCTTTTCTTCTGCTCGCATTTTTTTTGATTATCTATATTTTATCAATCATTTATTATATACAACTATTCTTATTTTTTATGAACGACCTTATTAAAAATATTTTTTTCATCATGAATAATTTTTGATTAAAACCAAGTCATTTTTAGTCGAACAATCAATCGATTACGTCAATAATTAACATACAGTAAACGGAAAAGACAGCATAATACAAAATTCGTAGTATAAAAAGTTTAAATTTAAATAATCAATCTCATCATTGTTTTAGTAATGAGCATATTATTAAATGTAACGAAAAATATTTTTTTTCTAGAATTTTATAGGATTTTCTAACGATAAATTGAATTGGGTGTGCTCCAAGTGGGGGTAACACGTGGTTGAGACTATCGGGCTGCAATTCAGGGAATGGATACGCAAGCACTGCGGGGAATAAAGGGGACACAGTTAGCCACGTGACTCCTGGTTATGCTGCTGCACACAACTAAAATCACTGTAAGTGAGGAAAAACGACGATACTACAACATACCATCGACTTTTCTTATAAATTGCATTTAAATCCCCGTATATTAATTGAAATCATTATATCTGAAATTTGGTAAAAATATTTTACTGGATTTATATAAATCAATAATATTTCCAGTTACATACTTTTTTCTCATTCAGACATCAGCGAATCCTCAACGCTACGACCTAAAAAATCTTGCGAATTTTGGCCTTCAAAAGGCGACTTCGATGACGACAATTTTACCTGCAGGCTATCGGCATATTTTTTAAAGTTCGTGCATTCATTCTGTAGTCAAGTGTGGAATATTCCAGAGCAAGTTAACAAAATTTATAGCCTTGTATTTCTCGAAATAAAAAAAAACCGTATAATCACTTATTCAACATTCAAATAAAGTAATCAATTCAAAAATGAGTTTTTTTTTTATTTAATCAATCCTTGCAATATGCAAATGAATGAAGGATCTCAATGTTTGCTATTTTCAACGCGAATACGCATATTTCTCACCCATCAGTAAGTAATGTCGCATCCATTTTTTCTTGGGTGGTGGTGACATCCGAGGTATTGGCTTCTCGTTGTCTGCATCTACATTAATAATCTCCAACACCGGAAACCTCGTCAATTCATTGTTGCTCATAGTCTCGTTACTGTCATTATTATCAACGTCATTGACGATTCCACCTCCAATGTTCGACCCGGTGTGGGTTGGCTTCGTCACGCTTAAGCTCATGTGCTCGCGAATCAGTGGTGCACCATCTTGCGTCATCAACAGCATGCCCATTTTTTTTTAAATCTTCAACGACAATACCACTAAGTATACATAATACTCCTCGACATTAAGTGACTTTTATGTATCTTTTAATTAATTTTTCGTTGTACAATTCTCTCGACACGTTCATTATTCATCAATTTGACCTTTTAATGATAAAAAATTTGTATAGAATAATAATTTGATAAAATTTCCTAGCATTCAAGATACATACGAGAGTTCTCTCAATAATAAAATTTATTTTATTATGAATTTTATCATATACTTGAAGATTTAATACGTTTACTATATTTTGCAAGAGCAGTGATATTTTTTAAACCTCGGTAAAGTAAAAATAAGATATTTAATTCACACTTAAATAATTGAAATTCACAAATAAAAAAAATAGATAGCAAAATTTTTTATAACATGTACTACAGAAATGTACTCGCGTGTAGTTGCACACGCGCACATACACAAAAGTGTTCATAAAACGCAATCGTAGACGAGAATGAATGAAAGTAGTGCCGCGTGAGTCGCGAATGCCGACTGAAATCTAAACTTAAGTGCCGCCGTCTCCAACCTGAGGATGACGTCGTCGTCTACGCCTCTGTCCCCTCTCGGTGTCTCTTTACCATCGTCGACGTTCTGACGGATTTCTCACACCCTGGACGTACCAATGCCCCACCCCAAACCCGCACCACATTCACTAGCGTCAACGTCCGTTTCTCTCTATCTCTTTTTCTTTCTCTTCTACTCTCTTCACTACTTCCATCTTTTCTTATCCGTTGTCTACACTTGTCACCGTGTATTAAATGCTGTCAACCCATATTTAATATATAGCAAAACCTTTGCTTTTAAAAATAAAATTTAATACTTTTCATCTTAACAATCATGTATTTACTTTTATTTATTTATTTTTTTATATTAATCATTATTGATTTAATAAAATTTAAAATCTTCAGAGTTAAAGTCTTTGAGGTAATTTTTTTTCACACTTTTTATCTATCTTTTTTTTATATTCTTCCATTAATCCATATGACTCACCGTCAATTATAAGCATTTTCTCCTCGCAAAACAGGTCATCTGGTTCCACTCTTTCTCTCTTCATTTTAGCACCTGTTTTAAACAAAAAAAAATATTTAGTAACCTTGTACATGAATAATAAATAATGTTATTGTCTAAATTATCATTCATTCCAATGACTGTAACATTCCATTGGGGTTTTTTTTAAATATGAAATCAATGTAATGATAAAAAAATTATATGTCTGGCGATTATACTTAATGTAGAATTAATTGTGTAATAGTCTTTATTGTTAATTGTCCTATTAATGATTAATCAAAGATAATATTTATTCCGAATTTATCGGTCGACCTTGCACTTCCTTCAAAGCTAGCGCTTCCATCTCGTGGCAGTAATACGAATGCATTTCGTTCAAGGTGACCGCGCGATGACGTTATGCACGTGTTCATTAACTCTAAAGTCATAACAAATTAAACAGAAAATGAAAGTATAATGTCTATTATAGTTAATAGTACGTTTTTTTTACTTTGTTCCAATAACAAAAAAAAAGTCAATAATAAATGTATTGAAATAATTTTGAAAGTTATGTAGACTTAAATAGAAGAGAAAGCGAGAGAAAATAGAATGACAGTAAGATCAGGCAACAGTAAAATTGGTGATGTCTGGGCATATTCTATCCACGTGTTGAAGTGATTTGGGTGCATTGGAGTTGGTAGACGACTAGGTGCGGTAGATTTGGCGGGAAGGGGAATAGAAGGGAGGTCATAGCTGGGTCCTCCAGGTCGGAGTATGAGCTGGCAACGTTGGAGATTGATCAGGACGCCACGCGGCCAGGGAACACATGGTGGGGAAGTCGCCGGGGACAGAGTTCTTGCGCAGAAAGAGAAATATCGCTCTGGCCGCGTGCTTTTCCACCGCTCTTGACGTGCGTTGTCCTCTCCCGGCTGGCCGGCTAGCGATCAACCGCCTCCGCTTACTGCTTAGCTGAGGACGTGATGCAAGACTTGGTCATTCATCGTGCTTTGCCTTCAATACAATTATTGACGTTTCTAATTAAATGGAACTTTCTCATAAAGTGTTATACGATTTATAATGAACAGCATCTCTGTTTGTAAATAATTTTACAATAAACTCTGTAAACTATCGCACGTGGATGATGAGCAACATGTATTCAGAATAATAATAATAGAAAAGAGAAAACGACTCATCTAAAGTCACTGACCGAAAACCGGTAACTCCCCCGCTAAAATGCACCATCGCAGTCCATTCCCTTCTCTTCTTTTCCATGTCCTGTTTTTTTTTTCTTTTTCTAGTCCCTAGCCGGCGCTACACTCTAGAAGAAGAAGCAGCAGCTTGACCGGCTGACTCCCTACCACAATAAATCCACAACGATCTTCTACCGCTCGAGTTCTCTCTTGTCAGTACTCTCGACTTCCGCCACCCTTTGTATATAATCTGTATGTCGCGGTCTTACGAGCACGCGTACGGGATAGTTCTTTTACTTAAACTCTATCCATCTGGAAATGGAAAAAAATTCTCTGCACCTCAGGTGCACTTCACTAAAAACAAGACTATTCCTAGTAACACTAATCGTTGGTTAACTTTCACGATTTATAACCAAGTTTTTGCTAACATCAACTGTACATAACATAGATATTTTACTAATTAAACAATACATTTCTTTCACTCTTCATTCTTTTCTTTTCACATTTATTTCTTCAATTTACTTTTATCATAGTGAAAATAATTCTTCAACATCATTCTCAGGATTTTAACTATCTATAAGCTATTATTCTACGGTAACTCTAATTATTAATTCAATAACAATTATTGAATCATTTCCTTTTTTCTATATTAACTCTATGAATAAACGATGACATCTATTTTCATTTATTAAACAATCGATCTCCGTTCAGAAAAATATATATTCATATCGTCAAGGAATTATCTTGCATGTAGTTTAGCATGTTTATGTTGAAGAGTAAAAAAAAAAAACATTCAAAAACATGTCTATGCCAGATATTTGCGTGCAAAAAGCATGTCGACGTGACGGAGACAATAGCTAGCGTGAAAGATGCTTTATAATTCTTGTAAAGCAGCTTGATGTTTATTTATACTAGTATTTTATCCGTTGGATAATTTTTCGGTACGGGTGTTATTTCCAACTAGTAGAGTCGTTGACCGGCAAAGTGAGAAAAACGCAAACATTGAATGTTGAAAGTTTACTGAAGAAAAATTATCTTTATACATGAACATTTTACTTTTATAATCTAAGCTAAACGATGAGAATCACTGTTGGCAGGGAAATCATACCTAATTTGGAGACGACAGAGACGCGTGGGTCAACGCGTGCGATTCATATGGCCAGCTTAGCGTCTCTCAATCGACGCCGTCGCAGTCACGTGGTCGTGGAGGTCAATAACCGGCCTCGCGGTAAGCTTAATTATTTTTTTGCTTGAATTTTTCCAAATGACAACGACCTCGTCAATTGTCAACGCAATGTTTTTATAGTTAATCGACTATTTTTTAATGTACTGCATTTCGTTTCAGAGTTCAATAACGAACAACCTCTAACACAAGGTGTATTGTTAAGGCAGACAGTGTACTCTTGCTGAAAAATTCATTCGTAGGTCAACATATATAAATGAAAAGGAATCCCCACTGGTTAACAAGTTAACTTTGTAATTCAAAAAAACACATTTACCTACTTATCACTTGTTAATACATATACATTTTACAGCACACAATAAAATATTATCAACTAAAAGCACATATTAGCACCTATCAAAAATACATCAATTAGATATAATGTATTTGTCTTTTATTTATCTAATGTCCTTCAAGTGTACCACTTTGATAGTAAAAAATGTGAATGAAATATGGTAAAGGTAATAAAAACAATGAAACTTTTAAACAAAATAAATATTTCATAAGTACTCACCACGTGGCTCACTTGAATTGTAATGGTTAGAATATGGTGCAACAGCAAATGAATGATCAGAAGAGGAAGATGTGCTGACTGCACGTTCTCCACTCTTTTCTTGCTGTTCAACATAACGTGCCGCTTCCAAAAGTGTCTCAATACTCATCTTGACGTCAGCGTTTCTTTACTCAATGATCGGATTTAAATTCGATTACGAGACGATCTGTCTCTTACCGTACGATCACAACGTAACCTGAAATCATAAACAATCTTTTAACAAAACCCCATCATCAGAGATTGAAACAAAAAAATTAAACCTATCATGTTTTCAGTAATTTGTAATTATTTTTATTTTTACTTTCGAAATATTAAGAAAAATGTTGATAACCTTCAGTTTGCTTATGCGATTTACACATTTGTCTCATATCTGTGGTCGATTGAAAGAAAAAAATCCATGATAAAAATATTGCACTGAATGTTTCATCATTTTGCATTTTATTTTGAAAATATGTGAAGGTATTTGTTTGGTTAAACTAAAATGTAATTAGTAATTTTCTGAACAATCATTGTGATAAAAAAATGAGAAAACTTCTGTCATGCAACATCAATAACATGACAGCCATACCAACAATATTTCCAATCAGAAAGTGAAATTAAAAATAAATCAATCGAGATTTTTGGATGAAGAATGTAACCTTTTTTAAAGAAAATTTACATAATATTATTTTTACTATTAATATTTTAATAATAATAATATTGGATGATATGAAAAAGTTCATTTATGGTAAAAATGACACCGAAGCATAGATATGGAGTATTTTTTATTCAGGACAAACATTTAAAATAATAGTATTAAGTAGGAATTAATCTAGAATTGATTGCTTACAAGTGGAGCAATTTAAAGAGGATTGTTGATGAGAAATAGTATATAACAACGAATTTGCTGGTGCATCACATGATGCTACATCTACTTTGTCACGTGACGACTTACAAGACGTGACGCGATGTAATGCGACGTGAGCAAAATATACCGTCTCTTTCTCTTTTTTCCCAATTCTTTTTCTTCATGTGCCGGTGCTGTTTTTTTAACGCCCTCGTTGAAATGTGCCACCAGCGCAGGCGCAAACAGATAGATATTTTACTTGCTTGCATTTCCATACTGACAAACTTTAAGATTTTGTTTATTAATTTCTGTTTTCATGATTATTTATCAATTGTAATTTAATTGAAAGCATTTTGATTACACTCATTTCACTCAGATATGTTATCATATAAATAAACCTCACGAAAGATAGATAAGAAAAATTGGCCAAACAATAATAGGCAAAATAGTTAGCAATAAAAAAAAAACATTGAAGAAAACACGTGTGATATTTAAAGAACAATCAGTGAACACGTGCGTTTGAACACGTGTTTTTATAAGGAATTACACAGCCATTTAAAGTCTCTCATTTCTCATCACTATTTTGGAGTAAACCTAAACGCCAAAGAGGACGAAAGAAATAATACTACGTCAGGTTCCTCCCACTTCAAGCTGGCACGGAGTTGCTCGACCGATTGCAAGGCCTCCTTCACACTTGGCAACGGTCAACTCGTCGCGATTCTTGCAAGATACTCAACGGTAGTAGTAAAGAGAACTGAGCCACAAGATCCCCCACCTTTTCTTTGTACACAATCCAACTTTCAAGCGTGTTATGTGCAGATGGTTCGTTCTGTAAAGAAGAAACTCGGCAATTTCTAATTCAATTTTATGTTCCAATTTCTCCTTTTTATCACTAAATTAATTTATCTTCATAATATTGACGATTCAAACACCCACCAATGGAAAAAAGAAATAATTTCCTGAAAATTTTTCGACTCAATTTAAAGGACAAAATAATTTCTTTCATAAATGCCACATGTTTGCAACGTCACTGCAATTCTGAGTAGAATATTATCGGCATGATATGAAGAGGAGTATTGAAGATAATGGAAATACCGTTGCGTAGACATAAAAAAAAAGAGAGTGTAGTGTAGGTATACATACAGAAGGACGAAGGCAATCGAGATAGCCTGGCGGGAAAGGTACAGATTCAAGGGGGACGGAGAGGAGAAGGAAGCGTTGATTTGGGAGAGCATGGAGTTAGTGCACCCGTCGTAAGAAAAAAAAACCAAAAAGCCTGAAAGAAGGAAAGAGATAGAGATAGATAGAGAGAGAGAAGCTAGAGAGAAGGGAGCTAGAGTTGGTGGTCGGTTATACATGGATTGGAAGGGATGCGATACGTTGCGACTCAGATTCGGAGTGTGGGACATGCTGCGTGCAAAAATAGGTAAAGCCGAGCTAAAAAGGCGTTGTAAAGCGGACGCATCCTCCACATCAATAGAATGTTGAATTCTCAATAGAATAAAGGTGAAAATAAATATCTTACATTGGTGATAATATCAAAAAGAGAGAGGAAACAAGAAGAAAGGAAAGCGGGCTCCTTGAATTGACAAAACCTACACATATCCTCAAAAGCACGTTAGAAAAGCGAACCGACGCATGCACTTTCCACCAATGGTAACGCTTACTATCAATGACGTCATAAGAAGAAATAAGCCAGGATTGGTTGGTTCTATTATGGCACAGAAAACACGCCACGCAACCACCTATACACATGTTAATTAAATAGGCGATAGTTCATACGAAAGATAATAGCTCACGGTTGATGCGTATGCATTCGGGCGTGGTGCATGATCGTAATATACGAAATAAGAAAAAAACTTACGAATGACAAGGTTGCGCCTGAGTCACAATGGAAACACCGCGCGCTGGCCACTTTCACGGAGAAATCAATCCCCGGTTGAAGGGAAAAATCTTTTGCGGGGTATTGGCACCCAAATCCCGTTATTAGCTACACAAGACACTTACGAGAATCATTCAAATTACGTTGAGATGTCTTTTCAACGAACAACTACTCTTTAATCGTTCAAACCATTAAATACTTCTAACTTGATCGATCTGGCGCGTGGCAGAAACATTTTACAAGTGTTAACCACTGCGCATCAACAGCCATGCTTGCTTGGCCACGATTCACGTGTCCGGGACCCGAGCTTTTAGCCAATCATAACTGCTTTTGTGACGTCACACTGCTGTATCGACCAATAAACGTGGCCCATGTGACGCAGCAATCCGCCTGGGTGTGTAACACAAGTGTCGGAACCGCTTTCTGTCTTATGTCCGACTGTTTTTTATTTCACTTTTATTTCACTCACCCTTTGTTTTATATCACATTTGTTGTCCCTTCACTGTTATTCATTCCTTCATGAGGATTTCGATCTATTCGCGAATATACTCTCACCTTCAATATGACTTTATTTACGTGATTACAGAGACATACACCCGATGCCCGGCTCGCCCGGGCAAATACTCACTCGATCGCAGCAGCGTCACCCTCTTCTGCCACCTTTTGTCATGCTCCTTCTCTGTCACATGGATCGCCCTCTGCGATGTTGCCACTTCTTTTATCAACTTATCGCCTCATTATTGTTTACTTTCTCGCTCCCGCCAAATATATAAATCTCTTCTTCTTTCTTTCTCTCTTCTTTAACGTTTGTTTAATTTGTTCTCAGTTTTATTTTTTTTTTTTTAGAAAAAAATTTATTAAAGATTGATTCAATTGTAATATTCAATGAATATAAAATATTGAAGTTTACACTATCTCATATTAAAAATATCATTAAATAAAATTAACTTCACAGTACTGAGATTTTTTAAAAAATTTATTACAGTTACAATTATTAAAACATCTTCAATACATGTATATGAATTTAAGGGATTTCTATTGTGAATTAATCATCTTTTGTACTTTTTTTTTATTATCAATTAAATGTTAATATTATTATTTGTGTATTTTAATTTGGTCAATTTAATTTTTTAATTCTAAATCTTTATCAAAAGGTGAACATTTAAAAAATTTTCAAAATATTCTTAGAAGTATTATTATGTTAAAAATTTTTCTGTAACAGCTTTTATAAAGTAGTTGTTATATCCAACAAACATTGACAAATCTTATAAACATTTACTTTATATCTATAAAAAATTGACTAGAAGGTATCATTCGATCATACCTACTTGAAGAAAAATAATGATATTAACTTATCGAGAATAATTGTAACATTTGATTAATAACACTCAAATTAACTAAAATTTTTAAATACATACACACGCACTTTCTCTCTCTCTCTCTTTTCTCTTCTATTTCCATTAAATTTGTATCACGGCTCAACACTCTTTAAAATGTATCAACGTTTTTTACAAAATTGAAATTCTAAAATATCTCTAAAACCTTATTCACTTTTTAATGAAAAATTAACTAAAAATAATTTCAAGTTTTTTTTTTTTTTAGAAAAGACAAAGGAAGACAAAAAATTTTCACTAAATTTTTATTAATTAAAGCGTCAGCTATCTACTTAAATTGCTGACATATAGATGTTTAAGCTCGGTCTTTGCGGTATTTTCAAAAAGAGCTGCACGATTTTGTCCCTCTCCTTTCTTTACCCAATGACCATAAACTCGAAAAGCACAACCATCAATTACCTGGCAAAAGAAATAAAGACTTTAGTAAAAATTCTTTAACATAATTTATTTTTCCAAGATAGTCGATTATTTGTTATTGTGCAAATAAAAATGAATATTACTTACTTTTCGAAGAGCTTTAATTCTATAAGGATCTGTACGAGCAACCAATGTAGACAAAGGTTCTGGCGTGGTATGCAATCGTTTAATACGAACGACAGCTCGAACACAAATAATTGCAAGTTGGAATCGTTTCCTGGCATTGAATGATTTAGCTTTTAATTCCTATATAGAAGTTTCAAAGTTATTATTTTTCTCTTTTCAAATAAAAAGTTTAGAAAAAACATGTTATTACAAATCCATATCTTCTATGTCAGTTCTATTGTTGAATATTATTAACACATAAGAAATCGAGATAAAAATAATTTTGGTAATCATACAAATGACATGTTAAAAAAAGATAATAGCGTTTTGAATGATCGGATTTTTAGTAAGTTTCTGATGAATTGTTATTAAAAACTCTTGAATAAAGTTAAAATGTTTAATACTAAACTTACGATGAAAAAAAAACAAATAAAAAATAAGTAGAAAATTACCAAAGCTAATTGAGAAATCCTACTTAGACGTCGCGAATTAGATGATAGAGAACGCTTGAGAGGTGAAATATCCTGATCCCATAGCTGTAATGTGATGTAACAAAAAAATCACTCAATTAAAAAAAATGAACCCTAAAGTGTACTTTTCTTCATTTTTTTCAATTATAAAAACCTGTTATTTTAGAAAAAAATATAAAATACAAAGTAAAATATAATATTTTTTTCGTGGTTAAAACAGGAATATGAAATGGTCATGGATCAAATCCAACAACCAAAAACTAGCATAGCATTTTTAATTTGAGGCATTGAAGCTTGAACAGTTGGTGTCGAACAAAACCTTCACTAAAGATCTCCTACCTCCTCTTAAAATGGGAAATATAAATAGCATAGAAGAAAATAATAATTTCTAAAATAATACTTACCACAGTGTGGAAAAATGGATGATCCAAAGCTTCTCTAATAGAAACTCTTTTTGTAGGATCAACAACTAATAATTTAGTAATTAAATCTTTCGGTGCATCAGTAATATCTGCCCATTCAGGTGATGTAAATGAGTATTTTCCTTCCATTATATTACGAAGCATAACCATTTGCTTTCGATGCCAAAAAGGAGGACAGCCAACCAATAATGTAAACATAATTACTCCGCAGGCCCAGCTACATGTAAACATAGATAAATTAGCCATGGAAACAATAGTTTGAGGTGATTAGATATCATTTAAGAATTATGTACATGTCTACTTCATATCCGTAGCCTTCAGCATTTTCAAACATGTTACATTTTAATACTTCTGGTGCCAAGTATCCTGGTGTTCCACATAAATCTTAACATAATGTAATTAATGATTATAAATAGTTTTCATTGATTACTTCACTAAAGCTATTTAATTTATTAATTGTATACCATATAATTTATCTCCTTTTGTAAGCATTCTTGCAAATCCAAAGTCTGTTATTTTTACATTCAAATTATCATCAAGTAAAATATTTTCTGGTTTTAAATCTCTGTGTACTATTCCTTGACCATGAATGTGTAAAACACCTTCAAAAACTTGTCTCATTATATACCGAGTTTTCTTCTCTGATAATGTGACAACTGAAGTGAGATAGTCAAAAAGCTCGCCATTTTTACACAGCTCGAAAATCAAAAATATAAATGTACTTGATTCAAATACATCATGTAGTTCAACTAAAATATTTAAAAAAATTATTCTAACAATAAATTTTGTATAGAAAAACCTTATTGTAAATCAATAATGCTTCAACGATGCATAAAATATTATCAATAAAATTTTTTACTTATAAATGGATGTCCTGCAACTCTTCTAAGAATATGTACTTCTTGCATTGTGGCATCTTTCATTGTGTGACCTTCAGCTCCATCATGAGGTTCATTACTTATGTCTATAATTTTCGCTGCGTATTCAATTCCTGTTTCTTTTTCGATACATCTTCGTACTGTTGAAGAGATTCCTCTGCAGAAAGTAAAATATAATATAATACTTGTCTATTTTAAATTAATTAATTATAAAATTAATAAAATCAAGATTTAGAGAATAAAAAATCATAGAAAAACAACATTACTTTATCTACTTGTTTGATGACAAGTCTGATAGGTTATCTTATAAGGAAGAAAGGAAAATTGATAAATCATGAAGTTACAAGTTGTAACAAGTTATCGAGATTTATTTATTTCCTCGTGATACTTAATATAAATTTGTCAGTAGTTATAAAGGGTTTAAGACGCAGATAATTATGTAATTTATAAAGTGAATTGCATAAATCACACAATATTCATTATATTGTGACTAGAAATAAGAACAATGAAATGAAGTGAAAAAATAGGTTAATTATTAAAATAGAAATATCTCTAAAAATTAATTTACATTTATAGACGAGATATTCTCACATAGTATAATAATAAACAAACCTTCCCAGAATTTCCTTTGGTTCATACTTAGCATAAAACCCTTTTGCAGCATCTTTGTCAGGTAATAAATCATCTACTTCGTCTTTTGCCATTTTTTCATTGAATTTCTCTATGTTTACCTGATTAAAATTACAATTACACTTAACGTAAATTCATCTTAATTCATGATCCAATTTCAAAATTACAAAAACGTTTCATGAACACAAAATACACTTCTGCATCTGTCATTTAGCACCTTTGTATATGTACTGAAGCATAAAATACCCTATATTGTTCTTAATGTTGGTAGCATTGAATTATTATTTTTGAAAAGATATATAGGCGGAGATAGTACTGATTTCCCAGTTGGATTACAAAAACTGGCATGCGTGTATTTTGAATGTTTTCGTTTTTATCAACATACAATTATGTAGTAAATTACAAGATGTCACTAAATTTTTGTTCTGGGCTGAAGTCAGAAAGTTTACCGAAGTTTTATCAAGATCTTCCCAACGAGGATCATAATTTTATGATCCAACCATAAACACGATTACATGCCTTTTTGAGGTCAAAAAATAAATTTTTCGGGTCTTAATGATTAAGGGCTCATTCTCTATAATTTCACTTTTGCTGTCTCAATGTAAACTCATTGCGTGCGCACCTGGATGTACTAAAGCAGTTCTTGGACGAGCGATCAGTCACCTACCATCTCATAGCGCTCACTGAAACCTAGCTCTCTAAGGATATTTACTGACAACCGCAGGTCTTTTTGGACCCTCAAGGGTCCATTCTTGGTCCCCTACTGTTTTCTCTATTTGTAAATGATATTGGTACCTGCATCACTGAGTCAAAGAGGTTGCTATACGCTGATGACTTGCAGATCTATCACAGCTGTGCTCCACCTGAGATCTCGGATAGTACACACAGTCTGAAGGTTGACATCGCCAGAATATCCAACTGGGCTATAGTCAATAAGCTTCAGCTAAATATCTCGAAGACTAAGGCAATTATCTTTGGCACCAGGCGATACATAAACAACCTTGATATCTCTACTATTCTTGCTTTGGGGTGTGTGAAGGGTTCAGTATTACTGTAGTCTTAAGTGTTCGTAACCTTGGTGTATATCGTCATTCCAAACTTACTTTTTCTGAGCATGTGAAGCATGTGGTTGGTAAAGTCAATACAGCATTCTACAGTCTCTAGTCTTTTCGAAAATATCAAGGAATTTTTTTGTATGTTTTTCATGGACATGTATCTTTAGCCGAGATTCTGAAGTATTGAAATACCTCCTCAAAATCGTTATTAGTCGATCTGTACGCGAATTATTGCGGTCTAAAAGCAAGGGGTGGATTTTTTTATGCCCCATTTTCAGTCTTTCGACCCTTATAACTCGTGAAGAAATTGTGTGACAGTAATTGTTGGGGGGTATTTGGAAACCTTAAAATCTATGCTAGAAATACCTATCCATAAAAAAAGTTTAAAAAAATTTCTTCACCGTTAAAATCGCAAAGAAAGAAAAAAAGTCACAATCCTTTTGGGTTGCTTCTAAATATTTTAATGATTTTAAGGGTGCAGGAATTTTTTTATATGGTATTTATGGATATGTACCGTTAGCTAAGATTCTAAAGTTTCTAAATATCTCTTACAAACCATGTTCGGAAAATTTCTTAACGAGTTGTAGGGATTGAAAATCAGCAAGAGGATGAAAAATCAACCTGACTTTGGCTTTCAGCTTCTAGAACTCGTAAAAAAATTGTTCCAAAGGACTTGTTGAGGAGTATTTAGAATCCTTGGAATCTAAGCTAACCGTACATATTCATAAATAACCTTAAAGAAATTAATTTTAACCCTAAAATCGCAAAAATATTTAGCGAATTCCGTGAGAAATTGTGAATTCTTCACTATTTTTGCGATTTTAGGGTTGAAATAAATTTTTCGAGGTTTGTCATGGATATGCACGGTTAGCTAATTTCTAACTTTGAATTCTCATTATCCACCTACCGACACCTAGAAATGTGATATTAGACGAAAATACTGAAAGCAAATTTCTCGACTTTTAAAATAAGAGAAGACCGGAAATCGCTCCATAATTAGAGTGCACCGATGTTGATGCTCGATCATGTCTTACCTTCGTTCAAATGCTGAAGAAATGTAGTGTGAGGTTAAAAATACTAAAAATAAAATAATAATTCGCACTATTGGAATTGAACACTGTCTGGTATAATAAAAGTTGAGCTTTCTGACTACTACTACTACAGTACCATCATATTTTTGTTTATGTTGATCACATTCAAATATCATATGCTATTTACTTGAGTACGGAGGGTGAGGATTGAACTTGCTCGTTAACTGCTCGAACTCGCAGTCTTCTCTCTGACAAATAGGCCGGAGATGGATGGATGTATGTCGTGCTCTATTTTGCTCGGAACAGTCGATTCTGAAATTGGTCAATTTTTTGGTGCCCTGAAGCTCCCTTTTTTAAATGGATCCCTATAAATTAGCATTTTTCAAACGATTTCCCTGTCACCTACTCAATTGCAGTTGATGTCGAGCTTCAGTCTTCCACCGTAAACACCGTCTTCCGGCGTAAAGTCAACGTCGAGAAATTTTCTGAGTTTAGCCCAGCCTCAATATAAATAATGAAATTTTTTGGAGATTTATAATATTTAATGAAATTTCCATAAGATAATTATAAGCAATAATTAAAAACAATTGTATTTATTACAAAATTAGAAAATTACATACGCGTTACTGGTTTTAGACCAAGTAATGAAAAGCATTGTTCAAGAATAATAGCTGTTGCTTCACACAATAAAATACGGCTCATATTGACTTTAACAATCTCGCCTGATTTATTTTTTTCAACACAAAAGCAATTATCATAAAATTCGGAGAATGCACACGCAATTTCGTAACAGTATTGACATAGAATATGTAAATATAGATCTTTGCTGATTTCCAAAATTACATCAGAAAATTTAAGTAAAACTTTTGCTAATTTCCATTCTTTTTCATGATCTAAACAAAGAGGTGTCGTTTCAACTGCAGATTTTATTTGTTCAGGTGTTAAATTGGCAGTTCGAGCAATTGATCTTATTCTAGTTAAAGCGTAAAGAAGATAAACTGCTGTATTTCCTTTATCTTCCAGCATCTTATCAAATGAAAAAACATATTCATGATTTCGATTATGCGATAAATCGGCATATTTAATACAGCCATAAGCAATTGATTCTTGAGCACACTTGATTTCTTCTTCAGTTAACTCTTTATCACGTCCTTTCTCTTTCAATTTATCCAATGCTCGTTTCAATCCTTCATCTAATAAATCTAAAAGCTTGACAGTATCACCAGATCTAGTTTTGAACCTTTTTTTGTCTTCTCCTAAAACAACACCGAATGTTACATGAGTCATTTTTTTATCAGGAGGCAAAATTCCAGCACGTCTTCCACAACTATCAAGCATTTGAAAATGTATTGCTTGTCCAGCATCAGTGACTACTATAATCCAGTCAGCCTTTTGATCGTTAATTCGATGCTTAAGTGCTGCCATATCAGAAGTGTCGTAAGTAAATCCTCCATCTGATTTTACGATTGTTAAAGGCACACCAACATTCGGCTTTTCACCCCACATTATTTTACGTCCTTCATCTTCTTCTAGCATATTTTTTTCTTCCAACTCTTTTACTATATTTTCCATCATTTTTTGATAAAAAGATTCTCCTCGTTCAGTTATTTTAATATCTAATCGTTTATAGAGTTTATCGAATTCTCGACGAGACACATCACAAATTAACTGCCAAGCTTTAATGATATCTGGATCAAAAGCTTGTAATTTAACAACGCAGCTGTAGGCTCGTTTTTTGAATTCTTCATCCTCATCAAATCGTTTCTTAGATTCTTTATAAAAACTCTGCAGATCAGAAATTGATGATGACTGAGTTGAATAATTTGGAAATTTATCTTGAAGATGAGCAATTAGCATTCCAAATTGAGTTCCCCAATCTCCAACATGGTTAATTCGTAATACATCATGACCTAAATATTCCATTAATCTACAAATACTGTCACCAATAATTGTTGATCTTAAATGTCCAACATGCATTTCTTTTGCAATATTTGGACTCGAAAAATCGACAAGAATCCTTTGTTTTTGAACTTCAGGAGGAAGAGCTTTGCCTAGCTTTAGTAAATTAGTCAGGGTATTCTTAGCATATTCACGACTTAAAAATATGTTTATAAATCCGTTGACAACTTCTACTTTGTCAATTAACGGAGACGATGAAAGATTGCTGACTATATTAGTTGCAATCGTTTTTGGTGGAGCTTTTTTACCTATAAAAGTAAAATAATATAAATAAAACTAAAGCATTTATATTATAATTTAATGAATGACAACAACAATAATACCTTGAGCTCCAAGTAATTTACATAAAGCCATGGCACTGTTACATTGATAATCACCATATTCTGGATTACCAGCTAAAGAAATAACCACAGGGGGATCAGTAATATCGGAATAAGCTTTTCGAATAGCTTCTGCAAACAATTCCTTCAGTTGATTATTTATACTCATCATCTTTTCACTTGTTAATGAACTTTGTCCACTTTCTTTTGCTCTTAAAGACTCCACGTACTGAGTAAAAAATGATTACTGCATAAATAATATCAAATATAAATAAATTTAATTACAAAGCGATACATACTCTTTTTAATACAGCTACACGATGTTTTAATTTGGCATTCTCTTGTACCAATTCATTAAAATCATCAGACAGATGTTGTTCTTTAGGCTCTTTAGTAATATTTAGTTTTAATTTTTCAATTTCTTGTTTTAAATATTCAATATCTTTTTCCTAAAAGTAGTAAAGATAATTATAACCTTTGAGCAAAGTCTAGTCATTTTAAACTATTTCTACTTGAACTATTTAGAGAAAAAGTAAATGAAGCAATAAATTACCGCTGTATCTGCTCTTCGTTCAAATTCCTGTATATTCTGTAAAGACATACTGCAGGAAGTTTAATTTATGAATTTCGCAAAAAAATCCACGTGGAAAATTTTTTGACCATTTATAAAATACGAAATTGGATATATCAAAGCGTCCATCGTGTATTTCAAGTTTTTAGATCCATCAGCGCCTCTTTTCTTATAAAATAATTGAAACTAAATCGCGTTATCTTCTACATTACCGATAATAAATGCGCATGCAGTTCATGACATTGAAAATAATACAAAAGATTTTGATTCTTATTTTCAAATATATCTGAATTTTTTATCCTTATAAAATAAATTTTGTTAAATCCAGATAATCTTTGAAAATTTGACAGGTAATGAGATATTTTTATTTACGCTTTTTGTTACTTTATTTTTAAAGAATTTCTGGATACACACTTGATTGACTAATTGTTCTCTAATTTTTAGAAAACAATTTAGTCACACTTGAACTATTTATCATAAGTCCTAGTAAATTAATTTTTTAAATTATGTCCTACAATGATTGTTTTAAAATAACAATAACTTGATTCCACCGATTGTTTCATTACAACATCCCAGTTGGAATCTGAAGAAGGGCTGGGCTCCGGCGCAAGTCCAATTGTAATCCTATCCTTCGTTACATTAGCATCAGGAAGAGAGGGGAAGAGTTCTCTTCAATCTTTTCACTGTGACGTTGCCGGTCTGTCAAACTACTTGCATATTGAAGTAAAAAAGGCGAAACTCAGTGAGTGGGCTCATAAAATTAGAGAAAGTGTCTCTGGAAAGAGGTACTATTCATTATACAATTTAAAATTGGTAACAATATAATTATAATGTATTGATCGATGTCTAATTCGTGTCAGAACGTAACGCAGCTGTGGATACTTTCCCCACATTCAGATTAGTTGAAACTTAGTCGTATAACTCGCGGCCATGGAGGACGATCTTCCAACCGAATATGATGTCGTCGTGGTGGGAACTGGTATTGATTTATTTATAAAATTTTAAATTGTTGTACAAAATTATATTGTTTTATATTCTTACTTACTTGTTATATTTTTTGTAGGTATGACGGAGTCCATTGTTGCCGCAGCTGCTAGTCGAATTGGCAAAAAAGTTCTCCATTTAGATAGGTACAACATTTAGATATAAAACTGATTTTTAAAAAAAAAAATTATTTGTAATTTTGCTTTACTTTTTTGTTCAGTAATGAATATTACGGAGGATTATGGGCTACTTTTAATTTTGATGGCTTGCAAAAATGGATAGAAGACTTGAAAGCAGCCAAATCTGTTAGCAATGATGTTGATATTGAAGTTGAAGAAGGAGAAAAATTTTTAAAAGCTAGTAACCAATACTCTACTGTTGAAAATATTGAAGAAACTTGGTTTATTATAAAGTAAGAATTATCAAAAATATTTGTTAGTTTATGGATTGAAAGTTTTTCATGTAGTAAAAGGAATTAATTTTTTTTAGCGATGCTGATTTGCCAGCATTGTCTTCTAAAGACACACAAACAGAAAGTACTGCAGAGAGTGAAGCAACTGATGCCGCAGAAAAAGCGGACGATGAAAAAAGTGAGAATAAAGATGGTGTAAAACACTGGACTATAGATCGTATTAAAAAAGAATACCGACGATTTAATATTGATTTGGCTCCTAAAGTTAGTACTACAAATTTATAAACATTTATAACACTTGGAAAATATTTCAAATTTTCTACATTGTTCCAAATCAAATTTATAAGCTATAATTCTTTTTAGTTACTATTTGCAAGAGGAGAACTAGTCGAACTTTTAATATCTAGTAACATAGCTCGTTATGCTGAATTTCGAGCTGTTTCTCGAGTTGCAACATACATGGATGGAAAACTTATCCAAGTACCCTGCTCAAGAGCTGATGTATTTGCAAATAAGACTGTCAGTGTTGTTGAAAAAAGAATGTTAATGCAGCTATTAGTTTCATGCATGGAGCAAGGCGCAGATAGTCCAGAATTTGATGGTTTGTCTTTTATTTACACATTTATCAATAATTTTTTTTAGTTTCAAATATTGAGTTTTTAAAAAAATCAATTTGTTTTAGGATTCCGAGACAAAACATTTTTGGAGTATTTGAACACAAAAAATTTAACACCAATAGTAAAACATTACGTCATGCAAGCTATTGCAATGGCAACAGACAAAACATCATGTCGAGACGGTGTTAACCGTACGAAACATTTTCTTAATAGCCTTGGACGATATGGAAACACACCATTTTTGTGGCCTATGTATGGAAGTGGTGAACTACCACAATGTTTTTGCCGCTTATGTGCTGTATTTGGTGGAGTTTATTGCTTGAAACGTCAATTGGATGGAGTAGTAGTTGGAGAAGATAAATGCAAAGCAATTATTACCGGAAAACAAAGACTTGCTCTGGAACATTTAGTTGTTGGACAAGGCCATTTACCTCCTGAAATTGTTGCTTCTGCAGGAGAACAAAAAATTTCTCGTGGTATTTTTATTACAGACAGGTAATTGTTTTATTTCTTATACTTTCTCTCAATTACAGGAAGTTTATGGTTTAAAAAAATTACTTTTAGATCTATCATGCAAGGAGAGAAAGAAAATCTGACTTTACTATATTATCCTCCAGAAGAACCAGGTCAGGAACCAGTAACTTTAATTGAATTAGGTCCATTAACTAATGCTTGTCCACAAGGATTGTGTGAGTATTAACGTACAGTGTGCAACTATCGATTAATAATCAGTTATAATCTATGTTTATCTATTTTAGTCATGATACATATGACTTGTAAACGAACCAAAACAGCTAAAGAAGACTTGAAGTATGTTGTGGAGAAATTTTTAGCATCCGAAGCTATTGAACCAAATGTGTCACATCTTCCTACAGACATGCACACACAAACGTCTGATAAAGCTCATGAAGGAGATGAAAAGTCTGAAGAAAAAGATATTGAAAATCTTAAACCTAGAGTATTATGGTCTCTTTATCTTAATTTACCCGCTAGTGATATTAAATTGAGTAATTCGGCACCGAAAAATATTCATCTTTGCTCTGGACCCGATCTAGAACTCGATTTCGATTTTGCTGTCAATCAAGTAAATTTATTTAATTTTTTACATTGTGCATAACGGTTAATAATTTCTCATAATAATTAATAAACTTTTTTATAGGCCAAAGAAATTTTCAAAACTATGTACCCAGATGATGATTTCCTTCCTCGTGCCCCCGATCCTGAAGAAATCGTTTTGGAAGGTGACGAGACACCTGGACCTAAATTTGAAGATGTTCCTTCAGAGGGCGAAAAGGCTGACCTGGAAAAAGAGGAATAAATTTTATTCTGTTGAATAATCTATGAGTGAAGCTTTTGCGACTTTATTGCCGCACAAGCATGGCCTGCATTTGTAATTTTCGTTAATTTTTTAATCATTATAATCACATTAATACTTTACTCTCTTACATACTAAAATCATTTTTATTATATACATGATAAAAAGAAAATTAATTAATCTTCAACTTGTGATTTACAGAATAATGCATTTTTCAGATACTTAATTGCGTATTATTAATTGTCATTATCATCATGATTATTATTGCATTACTCTTACGATTGATTAGAATATCTTGCACAATATATAACCGGTGATAATTAAAACATTGGAACTTTTTACTCATTCACATACGATAGAAAATGATGTTTTCATGCATACTGTTAAGAAATTTTAAATAGGCATATTATATTCAGTAATATCACTAATTTTAATGTTAAGTAATTACATAAAATTACTGCCTAATTAAATAACAATTATTTATTTGAATGATCAGCTACTTGGTATATTGAAATTGTTAATTTCAAAATTTTTGAAATGATTATTACGCAACACAATTCAAAAATGAACAAATAATTTTAACTGTATAAGGCTGTGAATCGAATTTCATTTTTCAATATATTCAGGTACAATGTACATGATTATGACAATTCTCATTTATATATTATTATAATGCATAATTCGAAAGATAAAATAAATTCTACACACTGTTCGTATTTATTTTATTAAATACATTATAAAATATTAAAGTGACCGATCATTCAATAGATTAAATACAATTATTCATATGATTATTATCATGTCTAATAATTAATTGTGAAGTGGATCAAAGACATTCAAAAGTACTGAAAATATAAAAACCTCAAGTGATATATTAAATAAGCTTCTATACTGTAGCATGCATGAGACAGAAAATTGCTATGTAATTGAGACAAACTGCTTTTCACACGATTTCTATGCATTCCCGAAAGATTTTGTGTTGTAATAAAATTGCAATGAATACTAATAAGAAGTTACAAAATCTTACATGTATTTAATGCTTTTCAATGAATTAAAGCATAAGAGATATCAATCATTCTTCATTTTAAAATATTTTTCTTGACATTTTTTTATTTAATTATATTCGATCCCTTTAGTAGCTAAAATTCATTTAATCGAAATAATATTAAAAAATATTCGATTGTGTAAATATAGAATCTTTGTTTATTTTTTCACATAATTTAAGATTTATTATAAAAATGATACTTTTTAAAGAAATTAAAAAGTAAATTTAAATGGATGACGTTCTGAAAAAAATTTTTATAATACTTTGTTAAAAATAATAAAAAAAAAAATCTGGCATAATAACATAAAAACAATTCTACGAAAATTAAAATAGAAAAAAAACAACGAGACTAGAAACTTTTTAACACTTTAATAATATCATTGTATACGAGTGTTTTTGCATCTCGACCCCAAAGATAATCGACGTGGTTAAACTTATTATAATTTATTCGGGTTTTCATTACAACATTTGGTAATGCATTAGCAAGTCTTTCCACATCCTGAAAAAATTAAATAGCTGTATTGATAAACTTGTAAAAATATTTATAAATGTAAGTTTTTTTTATTAATGATTTATTTACCGAAGGATGATTCAAAAAGTCATTATCACTATAAAATATTCCAACGGGAACCGTTACTTTTGTCAAATCATATTTCGGAGGCTCTGGGGTTCCATATTTTTTTAGATTTGTTTCTGTTCCATAATCAAACTGCCGAAATAATCCTAAAAAACATATTGTATTTAATTATATCACGATTGTTTAAATTTAACTCTGATTTCATATATTTCTACAACTATAAATACCAGATTTAATTGTTTGGCTGTAATGTATAATTTGTTTTGCAGAAGCACCAGCTGGAAAGTGTCCAAACACAATTGGCAGTATTGATTTATCTAATTGATCACTACCAAATCCAGCTATAAAATAAAACCAATAGCTGCCCAATATTTTTGCAAATTTTTCTGGTGCTTTCCGCATTAATGTTGCAAATGCTAAAACTTGAAGTTTATTTCTTGGAAACCATTGATTTATATTACAATAAGATGAAGCCCACTAAAAATTAATAATTATAGACGTAAAATATAAGAAAGAAAAATTGAGCAAACTTAATTATATCATTGTATAATTACTTTCATCACAATGTTGAAAGGTACGACTAATTTGAGAAGTGGACTCCGATGATTTGACAAAAATGCTATAGGTGCCATACATATTACTCCTTTAATTCTTTTCATATATTCTGGACATTCACTTCCCATCACAAACATTGCAGTTGTTCCTTGACTGTATCCAATATAAGACATGCTCATATTTCCAGTTTTTTCCGTGATATAATCAATTATTGCTGGCAAATCATAAATTCCAATTTCATGCCAACTGTAAAATAATTATTGTTAGACTTATCTCCTATTTTTTTTGCTAAAGGATTTAAAACATATTATTTACCTAAAATCCCAAAATTCTTTATCTTTCGTTGTGTATTTCTTATGACACCTGGAATATCTATTTCCTCTTGCATTTGCGAGCCAGACATCGTAACCTTCGTCACAAAGCACGTAGGCTGAATTCCGTTGGAAAATAAAAGTATTTTACAATGATGTTTATTTAATAAAATTGAATAATATTTATAATAAACAAGTTAAATGAATACTTACCAAGAGCTCGTTTAGGTCCGAGAAGTACCCAATCAGCCGAACTAGAAAGTAGCCCATGATGAATGAGCACAGTCGGTCTGTTCGTAATTTTTTTTTTACTTTGATTAATATCTAGAGATTCTTGAGTACTATTAGGAATTGAGCTATTACTTTGATTAGTTGTCGGCACAAATTCTTGTTTATCTGTATCATTATTTACATCCTTATTTTTTTCATCATCAGATTTTGTTTTCTCGTGTTGTGCCGGTAATACTCTATGTACTTCTAACCGATAGTCGTCTCTAGTCCAAATATGATGTGTTTCAGCTTGATATCCATGACTGAAAATGAGTTCAGGCTGCAAAGATAAAAATAAAACAAATACTTATCTAACATATAACATCGATTCTTCTAGATGGTTGATTAATTACTATAACTGACATATAATAATATATGCAAAAAGTTAACTACAAACAATTGGAGATAAGATTAGATACCAACGTCAACGAACACGTGGTCAGTGACAGCAAAATAATAAACAATGACTACAATGGATTCATAATAGTATGTTTGTTACACTTTATTGTTCAGTAAATAAAATCTCCATCTTATTTTTAAATTGTAGCAATTATTTTTTTCTTTTTCTTAATCTATCTCAATTAGGCATAATAAGTTTTCAATGTTTTTTTATGTAAAAGAAGCACATATTTTGATGATAATTTTTGTTCTAGAATTTAATAGAAATTTTAATGATTTACTTACAGTTGTCATATGAACTTCGTCATTACTTGTAGAGTTATTTATATTGCTCATGTCATAAACATTTATAATATTTTGAACAGTAGGTTGTAATAATATTTTTTTCACACCTAATATAGTCATTGACCGATTAATAATAGGTTGAATACTGCACAAAATTGGGGAAAACATACGTGTTATTACTGTTTTATTGTCACGTAAAAAAAATAATTCACAACCCCATGAAAAGAAAGTAACTTTCTAATTTTATATAAAAATATTTTGTATGACAAGTTCTTCTCGAACTTTAGAACTGTTAATCATATACAACACTTGAATTTTGCCTAACATTTAAACAAAAACGATGTTCAAGGACACAGATTAACTGCTTTGCAAATAATTGGATAATAATATTGTATATACATACATGTAGTATTTGAAATTTAACTATTACAATTGAATTTTCTAGGTTATTTTGATATTATGTTTGTCATAGTTTAAATATATCATTAATTTTCAAATACTCAATTTTTATTAACAATTAATATCCACAGTAATCAACAAGACGATCATTCAGCAAAAGCGAAACACACTAATAAAATATAAACGAATTGAATGAGCAAACTAAACGACCACTGACGCGTCCTAACCTTTACAATGACGAGAATATCCCTACCTCTCTGTTCATGTGGACTACATATAAGAAGAAGGGGAACCCATACATTCTTTATTCTAATCTATTATCTATTATATTTATTTTCAACTACATTAATACATCAGGTACATGTATTTTTTTATAATTATTGATTTTTAATATTTCTTGAATACCTAATTTGTCATTATTGGCGCTATTGACGTTTTTTATGAAAATATTTTAAACTAGACAAAAAGGATTTTCGGGAATCAATGTGAGACATTTTTCACGGAAAATGCTATCGTCACGAGACTGATTTATTACCTTTGTTTCAAGTTATTTTTTTATCTTATAGCCTAGATAAATTCATAGAAAGTAGTTCGAATTTCGCAGAAATTTTTAAAGGGCCTTTACGAAATAACCTAATACTTTCCTTTTCGATTCTCTTACCCTTGTTGCTTTTAATTACTAATTGAAGTATTAAAAATTTTTTACTAAGTATTTAATGTGATTCTATTAATGGTAATTTTTTTCACTAACTGTAAGAGCAAAAAATTATAAGTACACGTTCCGAAGTTTACATGTAAAAATATTTCTATTCAACAGGGAATTTTAAATTCTCGGAAATAAACTTGGGTACTCACGAGATACGCAGTAAAATAATTACTTATAAAAATTCAATAATTATTTACGATAAGTCAATAACTACTTACGATAACTCAATAGTTATTCATGAAAACTCAAAATTCACTGGTGAAAAGAAACATTTTTATTTCAAGTATTAAAAAGAATGTATTTATTATTTTTACTTATGGTCAGTGAAATAATTCTTTCTTATAGGAATTAATGAATTTATCGTGAGCAAAAATTGAGCAATCTTTACAAAATTAATTCAAAGATTTGCACGGAAATGTTTGATGTATTTTTATACAAACATAAAAATATTCGAAAATAACAGAAATTGTGTAAATAATTTTGCATTTTGATTACATAATTCGCTATTTTTTGTCGACTTATTTATTATTATTTTTTTAAACAATCAAAGTTTATAACAATTTAGAGCATTTACCATTCAATCAGGATAATTGTAGTACTACATTTCATAAATAAAAATTATGATCTATTTTCTTCTACTAAAAATAATGAGAACATCAATAAAGTTTATAAACTCATAAAACAGGGAAGTGTAAAAAAATATTTATCAATAAAAGTCTGATCTTCAATTAATAACAATGAATTGATGACACAGTTGTCATTGACATAGAGTAAATAAATTTATCAAATTACATAATAACTGACGCATAAAATTGCAACAGAATAAGAAAATTATAATAATTTATGACAAGATATTTCTTCCTGACCCTTCGATTATTTTTATTCATTGTTAATTAAAACTATATATTGCAAATTAAACTCTTTGTTTTCATCATTATTATTAGGTCATGGTAGTCATCTCATATTTCTTACAATTTTACTTAGTTATCATGTTATTTGTATTTGCTGAATATAATCATTCAATGCAATGCGTTATACGATCTCTTTTGATTATAACATAATGAGGTTTGATGTAATTTAACTACTCACTTCTATGCATATCTTTTAATAGGATTATAATTTAGATAATTTGCTAACATATATACAGAAAAAATCTTCAATTTTTAGTTGATAAATTAAAAAAATTACACCAATATATATTGTTCATTTTAAAAAGTATTTTGATAGATTAACGAAATACTTTATTAGTTTATGAATGATTTATATATTGTCAATTCATTGATTTTAAGTTTGCATTTGATTTATAATAACTTCAAGGTTTAATGATAGTATTATGATAACAAAAAATTATTTGACATCTCTTAAATTTATTCTTATAAATAAATTTTTTTTTTTAATTTTTTTTACGTTGTTTCATGACTCTTATGGCAGCTTTGTCATTCAGTACTTTCATAGTTAGAAACATATATTGGCGTAATGAACATTTTTTATGCCATTTGATTACAAATTATTGATTAAATGACATATTATTGATTTCATTTTGTTTCTCAATACTTAAATTACGTGGTTTACTTAATAATTATGTAGAATATTCTTTCATTTTTATCATTAAACCACATAAAATGTCCAATATATTACATTAAATAATATGAAACTGACAGGAAAAACAACTCTTGAATATTGATCTATTACATTTACATCCTTGATTTTTGGAAATGATGATCGGAGTACTGATGCACTTCTGCGTAATGCATGAAGTACCTGGTGAAATAAAAATTCTTTTAGTTTCATATGTTTCAATTATTTGCTAAATTTGTAGATTATTTATTGATCCTTACATTCCTTATAAAGGATTAAAAATCGATTTTATATATATATATTTTTTTTTTGACTCTAACTAATTTAAAGTTTAACAGAAGCAATTAAATGAAGCAGTATTCAACCTTTGGTTTCTGTCGAGGACCACGATATCTCAACCCACTGTTCTTCCCATGAGAATTGTAGCCCATAGTTCTAGCCGGCCGGAAACTAGGTGGAAATTTGGAGCTATCACGAGGCTTTGATAGTGCAGGTGTTGTAGAACCACTTGCCAATCCAGATCTACTCCTAATACTTGGCAATGGAGACATCCTCAAGTCTTGTAACTCAATAATGTCTGCTTCTGTAGTTCCAGGAATTTCTGGATTTGTTTTACTACCTTGATAATGCACAAGATTGATTATATGTTTAATCAGGATAAAAAAGCTCTTATGAAAGTATTACAATCGCTTATATGCTACGGATTTCAAACCACTTGTAAATTAATGCAGCAGAAAAAGCTCTGATTACAATTTTTTTTGTTTTTTTTTGTTTTTTAAATAATCGGCTTATAGTAAAAAAATTATTTTTTTAATCCTTGAAAAAAAATGAAACTTATGTTTTATGATATAACCGAAAATTCTATCCACTATAAATTGAATATTTTTATTTGGAATTGATGCCAAATATTTCAGTAATATTTTTTATTTTTATAACATGTACATTCTTTTTATATGCAAGAAAAAAATTCTTAATATTATTGATAATATTAAAAGTGAAGAAAATAACTTATCCTTCTAATTATTCGTAAAATTAAAATACTAATTATCAAAAAGTTTTTATTAATTCTTCGACTCACCCGTTAATGAAGCTGATCCAACTTTTTTATCACACATATCTCTTTTTCTTTTAGTTTTTTTCTTTGCTCTTGCACCCCAATAAGTATAATTAACAGCTGCATATTCAAGCAACGCCGCAAACACAAAGACAAAGCACATAACAAGATAAATATCGATAGCTTTAACATAACTTATTCGCGGTAATGAACTTCTTACTCCTGTAGATATTGTTGTCATTGTTAGCACCGTAGTGATACCTTTATCAATACATAAATAGAAAAATGCATTAATCAATAATCTGTTATTCCATTAATTTTATTAATTATTTAATAAACTACATATTTTCTTTGTTACCTAGTGCTACTCGAGCGCTTGTGGCTTCATGATTAATCCAAAAACTTACCCAGCTGAGCATAACAATAAGAATGCTGGGTAAGTAAGTCTGAAAGACGAAATAACCAATATTCCTCTGAAGTTTGAAACTCAATGATAGTCTTTGATAGATGCCTGTCGCAAGACGTTCTTTCCGGTCGTTCGTTTCGTATCCGAGTATTGTAAATTGCGGCAATTCTGCTTCTTCAACACCACGAACGGGTGTCTCTTTCCAATACATGACCACATCAAGGACTGTATAACCATCTAGAACATTATATAAGCTAAGTTATGACTCAGAATCTTTATGCTTGAATGAAAGAATTCAACAATAAAATAGATACAAAATTTTCTTCAAAACTGAGAGTGAACCAAAATCGTCTTTGGAATAATCAAATACAGAATTAGTGTAAATGTTTCAGCGATTCAGTCAAGTAAATTACAGATTTCAAAGTAATACAGGGGATTTTAATTGAATCCGACGAGAATATTGAAACGAATTAAACGATCGCAGTCGTTGAGTCAACTAAGCAGAGACCTATTAGTTGTACTCAGATGACTAAATTACACCGAGTTGTATCGACTTTCTCACTGACTAAATAATTACTTTGAAATCTAGTCAAACTGTTGATACTATTTGTTTACAGCTTCTGCGTAGATAAATAAAATACTATACGTACAGCTCTCGATTTCGACTGTGCAGTTCTGGGAATCAAGAGGGTAGTAATGAAGGTCCATCATACAGGCCAACGTTGTGGTAAATCTCATACCATATGTGACAGATCCATCACTTGCTAATCTGACCAGTTTGTTACGTTCAGTCACATCGTGAAGAAAGCTGGGAACGAAACCTCTTTAAAATTGTCATTAAAATCTTTTATAAAGCCCTTGAAGAATTTTAACTTAAGGTAAAATAACCATACAATCACTTTTTTGATGATAAAAAAAATTAATTAAAATAATGATGATGCTTCTTTTTCAAAGCAATCTATGAAATGTTTTTAATAATTAAGAAATAGTATTTTTGACATCCACCCGAAACATTACTTAACTGTTACAGTAAATAGGCGTAAGACATATGAAGGAGGTGTTAAACTACACAAGATAATGGAGATAATCGGAAAAACGTGTTGGCGATGCAGGCTGCTAAGGGCCCTCGTTCAAAAAGAAGCATTTTACGCCAACCTTTTTAGCTATTAACCCACATACCTCATGATCGATCACATTATACTCTCACTCCTCTTATTCACCTGTTTTTGTCGTTCGCGAAGAAAGTATCCGGTACCCAAATCTTCTCCGCGAAATCACCACTCAATGTAAGGACTTCATTTTCCTGTGAAAATGCTAATCGTTCATCCTTCCAATATTGATTTAAATACATTGTTATTGTGTAATCCTAAAAAATAAATATATATTTGATATAAACAATTCTCCTATATTTTCAATATATTTTTTAAAAATCTGATATAATAGAATAAAGCATAGAACATATTTTTTTCATATGTTTGGATTAGAAAAAATATTGGAATAAATTTAAGCATAGTTTTTATTAACTTTAAATTTGATTCAATTTAATCTAAAGGTAAAAAGTTTTTTTTTTTTTTAATTTACAGCGTTTGATTAAAATTCAGAATACTAATTAAAAGTTGGGAAAATGTTTGGCAATCCTCAGAAGCAAATAACTTAGTTACATTTGAATGGAGGATATTTCAAAAGATAACTTTTGTAAAATATTAGAAAATTGAATTTTTTAAAAAATTCTTTTTTGTGAAACAAAAAATTGTTCTAAATTAAAAACAATACGTACGACGTTCAAATTTATTTATTGGACTATTCATCCTCCCTTTATAACAGAATGAATGAAAATTACTCCAAAAAATATATATTTACTAATTTGCTGCTATACAATCAGTACTGTTTAAATTAATGCTATAATTATCACTCCAAACAATGAATATTGACTGAATGATTTTCAAAAAATATAAATGAAATTTAGTTTGAATACTATATTTTGTAAAATAAGTTAATAATGTAATTTACCATATTCACTTCAGATATTGCATCAAAGCTCGCAATCGTTAGATCCATTCCTACATGAAGTGGTTCACCTAAAAGTCAATTTTTATGTTGATATAATAAGCATTATTGTCAGTTCAATTGATTGATAAAATTCAAGGAATAAGAAGAAAAGAATTAGCTAGATAGGTGAACAGATTATTCGATTATATATAATGGCACTAATGATCGTGTCAGATTGAATGGCGTGAAAGGTTTAATTAAGAGCTTTCATGTCTATCAAATACACGTGACTGCAAGACAGAAATCCTCATCATAATTTTTTATCCACAATATTTGGATAAAAAATAAAATAATCTTTTGGAATCATTTTTCTTTAATGTATAATTGGATCTTATAATATAATAATGATCTTGTTATGCTAACACCTAAATAATAGCCCCATTTATTTATTCAATTTTTCAAAATAGCCGTAATACTATACTAATGATGATCTATAATGATTATCTCGTTATTTATAATATAAACAAGTATTAATGACTATTGTCAGCGTAGATTGAAAACTCAAGATCTTGGCCACGAAATTATGCAGAGAAATTCAAGTTCCTCTTAATAATTGTAGTCCAGGCTTTACATATTTATAAGAATCGAGAAGTGCAAGTAATTAGAGCATTACTTTTAAGACATATAACTCACAAAAAATATGTGATTCAATGAATATCATCTCAATGTCATTACCAACTTTTTTTTTTCATTTTTATAATCGATTAATTTTTTTGTCAATTCAGAAAGAATGAAAATAAATTTTCCTTTTATTCCGTCGGATACTTTTATGTTATTGTAAATAATTATTATAACTATGTTAATAAATAAATAAATAGTTAAATAGACTTACCACCGAAATTCGGTCTCAATCGGATATCATAACCGTCAAGTATCCTAGAAATAGTTTGAGTGACGTTCTCCAGCTTATCAGATATGTTATTACGAGTAGACTCTATATAACCCCTGTAGAATAATAAATTTAATTATTCAAACTGAAATAACGTTCATTTGTCATTATGTTTTGTACAACATTCAAGTAACTCCCAGTCCAATTTTATGTAAACTTTACTTGGAAAATCATACTTTCACGGTGTATATTTAATACAAATTCTTGTCTTAGTAGCTTACACTCTTCCTTTGATTTTATTCCTTTACGAATCTCAGTGTCACAACTCTGACTAATTAAGAGAGTTAAATTACACTACTGTGTAACTAGTTTCACCGAGTCTGTTTACTTTTTATCTTCTCCAATATCCTTTCTAAGTAAACTTCTTTATTATGTATGCTATTCACCGTGGCGTTTAATCAGTTATAATTATTTGCTTTCCCTTTCAATTGTTTATTTTTTCTCCATATTATGTCAGTTGACTATCTTAAATCATCTGTTTGCTTGCATCATTTTTTAATTAATCATTTCAAAGCTACGTAAATTTTATTTCACTACCGAATGTTATCTCTTGGTGCGGAAATTGATTTAGGCTGGATTTTAATTTTTATTTTAGGATCAATATTTTTAGTTTTTTTTATTAATTCTTTTTATTAACGTCAACATTTTGTTATTTAATTTAATGGATATCAGCGGTGGAATACAAGATTTTGTGAACCTAATAACATCATTGAATCCACCACAAAGACTTCTTTGGATTGTTCTGATACCACTGAGTGTTCTTTTTGGAATTGTAATTGGCATTGCGATGGATTCCGTTTCAAGACCATATCAGTAAAAAAAAAAACGTCTATCTGGGTTGATTTGGATTAAAAATTTTGAAAGATGAAGATGCAAAAGTGAATAAAAAATTAAAACCATACTTACCATGCAGTAAAATACTTCAGGTGAACAAGCAAAATTATTAATAAAATGTCACACGACGACATCCTGTGGTTCCGGAAATTCAACTTGTCGTCACTCGACGTGAAAATACCTTGTCATCTTGGCATTTCTGAAGGCGATGACTTAATCGCCTGAAAAATACTTTTCACAAATGAAGAGAAAAAAAAAAATAAAATAAACAAGAAAAACAACTGTATGAAACCGGTAATAAAAATCACTTCACCCACCTGATTGAAAAGTATTTAAAATCATTTATTTATTAATAAATCTTACTGTTATTTGTTGTTATAATATTTATTATAATGATTGGACTAATTATCGTCAATATCTTTAATCTATTGTTTATTTATTATTATCACGTTCCAGTCCAGATCATCTTGGCGCGTTTCTCGATAGCGCGATTACAAGATCAACAGAAGAATTTAAACTATGATAAAAGAATAAACTTAAAACTCCACAGCACACAATAAACTTTCTGGTGAAGTAAAATAATAATAAGATAACTCATTCACGTCTCTAAAAATTCATATGATGAATGGGAGAAAATTTTCGTCATACTTAATACTGTTTGGCAGCTAAATCGTAATTTAGACAGGAACGTCTTGCATTGAGAGTAGCATCCGTTCCGCGGTTACTCTCGGGATCGTCACAGGAGAAAGGGAGGATCGTGGCCTGAACCATGGCGCGTATGCGCGAGCTACAATACTCAATCCAAGAGCCGAATTACGCCGACGTAACACAACCCAAAAATCATCTCACATTATCTCCTTCAGTTTCATTTTAAATGTTCCATCTTTTATTCTTATTCACCAATTAATTAAGCAGTCAATACGTAATCAAGAAGCTTCGGGAATTAAATATTCAAGTAAACATCAATTTAAAGGAGCTCCCAGATCTACTAATTGATTACTTGAATCTGCTAAAACAAACAATTCTAATTAATGGCATTCATTCAGCAAGAAAACCTTGAGATACCATATCTCGATATTATTTAACTTGGCTGACTTATTTGACCAATTAAATCATCTCTCAACTAACAATTTTAATTATCGAAAAAATAATTAATGGATCAAATGAATATAATAATAAAGAATGTTTTGGGGAGAATTTTTTTGAAATTATTCCAAGTATTTAATGTTAAGACAAGTGAAATTTGATTGCAAATTCCATTAACGTTTCTCATTTTCTACTTTCAACTTCGCGGCCCTTAATAGAATATTACAAATACTTGACCTAAAGTATTAATTAACTTTTTGAATAATAAATAAGAATTATGAGCGGTTTGAGTTTATCAATTACTCGCTTAGAGCGCGTGTCTGATTAATTCTTGATTCCTTGCAGATCATTCTGCTGAGTATTTCTCTAGCTGATGGTGAATCTTGTGCTGTGATTTTGGAGCTTGCGCGTGGCTTGAAAGCTTACACCGGTTTATGGAGTCGCGCCGGCAGCATCCACAATCATCAGGGCATATCGTTGGGGAGTTGCCATTGTCAACCGTGACCTAAGGTGGGAGAATTACCCACGCGGTTTTCTCAATGTTGTGCCGATGTCAATGATTCGCGTCCCGTCTCACTACCAAAAAGTCATCGTCTATCATTTTTTGTTTCATCTCCTAATCTTTGCTACAAAAATTCAAATCACCGCTACGAGGAAACATGAAGTTTATCATGTGAGTAATTGTTTTAAAAATATGTCTACTTTTATCATTGATTTATTTTATTCATTCTAAAGCGTGTTTAATTTTAATTCATTATTTCATTGTGATATTGTACCGAATTGATTTGTATTATAAATAATAATGCATCATTAAAATTGCATATTGACGTCGTGTTGAAATGATGAATAGCAGTGGTAAAGTTTGACGTAAAAAATATTTATATTAAAATAAAAACTCATTATTCCAAGTAACAATAAATTGTTTTTTTATTTTTTGTTTTTTAATATTAGATTTTTCTATAAGTTAAATTATTATTTATTTCTATTTGACTAACAAAGATTGATAAAAGAAGAAGTAGAAATGCTAAGGGGAAAAATATTATAGAATTAATATTTTAATTGATATTCGTTCCGATATTTATTTATCGTACATTTTTAAAAGAAATATTGAAATAAAATCAATATGATTCATTAATTGTTCTCCTTAATTAAAAAATAAATGACAGTTGTAAAAAAAATATATCTTAAATGTATCTTTTACTCTAAATTACAATAAGTACTTGAAAAGTTTACATTATTTTTCTATGAACAGATGTCACAAGGGTACTAAAATTTTGAATGACAATAGAAAGGCTAAAACAATTATTCGTACTTCCGCTTCATATTCACTTTTGCCTTAACTCGCTTTATCAACTTGTCTCCTGCTGAAATGTTAAAATGACTTTTTTCTTTTCATCATCCTGTTAAATAAAACATTTAAAAAAAAAAGGAAATGAAGACATAATCCATAATCAACTTGATAATAATAATGAACATACAATAAATGGATATGTAGGATTGAGTTTCTATTTTCTGGATGACACGAACGTGATTTCTACTTTATAACTGCAATTAGTAAAGCGTTCCTAGATACGTAGGTGACACAAGTAGAAATTGACATGAAGTGTAGACAAGAGAATAGATCGATTAATATCTCATCAACACTTGATAAACGATTTTATTTAAATTATTTCATTGAATAAATAAATAAACAATAAGTTTAATTTAAAAAAAAATGCATATACACGATGAACTTTATATGGAGATAACTTGTCATTGAAAAATGACTCATTTTAGCAGGATTTAATAATGAAATGTTAATTTATAAGCTTTTGTATTTTAACACGTATTTCAATCAGTTGAGAGGAAGCACATTAAATGTACTCTTAAGTAAACTTTCACTTCAAAAGCATCTATCAAACCACTATAAATTTGTTACGTGTTCTAGTTTGTGTTGGATACAAAGAAGAGGGGAGTTAAGCGTTAGCTTTTATCAAGAGGCTTTCGACAATTTCAATAAAAACTGTTTTTTATCGTGACATTGTCGACAGATAAACTTCCGTTTAGATGACATTAGAACGTGATTAAAACACAAAATTTTTTGTCAATTATTATAGCTTAATAATGGAAAAGTTTTCATTTTCAAACTCTTACATGAAATAAAAATTAATTTTTTTTATCCTCTATTAAAAGTTTTTATTTTTTTTTCTCTCTTTATAAATGAGCTTTTGGTTCTAATCAAATTATCGTCATATTCTTAGTGAAAAAATAGACCAAAGTAATATGGATAAAATTCGTCGAAGTAGAAAATTTATTTATTAAGGATTTCAACTGAAATAATAATGAAAATCGGCACAATTTTCTTGTAACTCATATATGTAGTGTTTACACCAATTTCCCTTCGTTTTTTTATACTATTAAAATTAGTGGTTTCGTCTAGTCTTGTTCATTCGTTTACTATAGAGACGAGATGAACCAAAAAAACGCCAACTTCGAGTTAATGGAATGATGAACGGGAGAGTTGAAGAGAAAAAAAATGTGAAAAGTTAGAGATGTAGGTCGTCCGTGTATATTTCCTCATTCCCCAGGCGCTTTTCGCTTCGATGACTCGTCGTTACGTTCTTTCATGAGAGAAACGATTTCCCATTGCAGTTATTTGTTAAAAAAAAAAAAACACAAATGCAAGTAATCGACATAAAGAGTTGTCGAATTGTTGGTAAAATCAATCTACTTCTAACTTATCTGATAGAGTTCATTCTCAAATAGTAGATGAACTCAAGACGGATCACTGCTCCATTCTGTAAGTGTTACATATGTACTGGACAATATTTTTATCTCCAATTCTTCAGCATTTACTTTTATCATTTACTATTAAGCCAATATGATCAAAAATTTATAGTAGCAAAAATGAATATTTTTTTCCATTTATGTATAAAGTTTTTTAGAATATTAAAAATTTTTATTGACGTTTTTTTCTTGAAGATACATTTCAATTAACATCAGTAAAGCTCTTGAAATATATCTAAAATTAATACATCCAGTTGGATATTTAGATTTTTTAAAGCTTTATTTATGTACAGAAATTTCTCATTAAGATAATTGATTTTTATTCTAACGAATAAATTTTAGTAGAAGAAGAATTGTGGTGTAATGTCTATTGAAATTCACGGCCTCACGTAAAGCCAATACGAACTTTTCAGTCAAGATTGAAAGCAGGAACAAGTGAAAATGACAATGGCATCAGTGGTTGAAATTCTAGGCAAGATCGAATTTATTTGTAGCCTGAGGAATTTTTTATGAAGTTGATTTTTTAAAGCAGCTTAAAATGAACAAAAGTTAATGAAAAAAAATGAACTTACACAATAATCGACAAAATGTGATGTTACCAAGCGTAAAAAAGTTCACTCGAAACAGTGACGTTAAGCATTTCAAGGCGATGCTGTGTCAGCGGACGATACACGAGGGTCCTCTTCTTTTACTCTTAACTCTGTTCCTCTTGGCACAGTTTAACGTACACGAGAAAACGTCTGCTTTGCCTTCTTCAATCTTTTCTTCCAACGTTTCTTCTTTCTATTTTGTCATAGATATCACTGGTACTTTTTAATGCTCCATCGAACATGGAATTTATCTCGTGAAATCGCACTCACGTTTCATTTATTCTCTTTCTATCATACCGTATGCTACCATAAATCTATAACTTACACTCCTTAAAGTCACTCCACCAGTCTTTTTCGTGACATTCATGCTTTTGAGTAAAAAGATCCGACGTTCTGTTTACACTCGACTCGCGTTTTGTCTGCTGATCTACCAGCTTTACTACTTCTCTCATGCGAGGAATTTAATACGGTTATGTTGGCACAAGCTTTCTTCAATTGAATTAACTGTTTTCTCAAAATTATCTCATCATTCATTTCCATATCAAATCAATCAATTATTAGGATTCTCTGAAAATTTATTAAAAAAAATTCTTTTGATAAAATTAATTCATCAAAGTTTAAAGTTGTCGAAAATTATAATAAACACTATTCCACATTTATTAAAAGTAATTCTAAATTAATTTAATCCTTTTTTACAGTAATTTTTACTTCACTTCGGATAATTATCCTTTATTTACTTACAAAATAACTGTAATGCCTCATTAAAAAATTTTTATTAGTACATTGTAGTTTGTAGTAAAATTTACCATTACTCATCCACTTTTTTATTTTTTATATTTATATTATTTTCAACAAAAATAATAACTTGTTTCTCACAACTGTACTATCAAACACCATTACCTTAACTCCTGCATTTATTCCTACCAGCAAAAATTTTATCATGAATGATCACATTTTTTTTCAAACTCTTTTTATTTATTTATAAATAAATTAACTCTCGATAAAATTATTTGAAGAGCCTAAGCTGTATACAGTTGTTTAAGGAATGTGGATTACTTGCTTCAAGCGCAGATAATGCCGCATGCTTCACGTAACTCGTTACAAGCAACCCTTAGATATATACATGCATACAAACTAGCTGTTCGTGTTAAATCCCTAGAGATGGTCCGTTTACGAGCATACCAGTTTCACTACCAACAACTTCAACTTTTGGTCATCATACCTATCTTTATAACTTGGACATTGTGGTAATAGATGAATTGATAATACATTCTGACTGTTGAGATATTGTCATGTCAAATCCCAAACATTAAATATTTATAGAACTTTTGATCCATCTTTGAAAAGTTTTTTTTTCTCTAATAAATTCGAAAATAATATTAGACATTAAACTTGAAAGATTCAAAAAGATTGAGAATCAATGAAACGGATATTTTTCATAAAAGATTAAAGTTTGTAATCAACATTGCAGATTGTTGGTTTTATTTATTCCTTTGGGGATGTGTCAAAGCAGTCGTAACCGCACAATTCACCAATTGACTTCTCCAGCGATCAACTTGTCGCTTCCAAAACGTGATAGAATTATCAGGGGAACAGTTAACGACGTTGTCTTGAAGAACATCACTATGGTTCTAGAGAATCTTCTAATGAACTATGAGAATAGTCAATTACCAACTCATGGAAAAGGTACGCAATAGCATATAACTTTTCAGCAACTTTTTGATTGATTAACCTAATTATATATGTAAATAAAACTTTTATTCACATAATCAATGAAGACATTATCATTACTATATTTTTTGCCATTTTCATATATGTGTATGTGAATATTCTGACAGATATTTCATATTCAGGGGACTTATAATACAGAAAAAGAATATTTTAAATCGTTGTTAAACGTATTGCGGTCTTGAAATTGTGCTTTCAAAGCAACAAGAAAAAAGTTTCGCTTTAAAAATAGGAATAGCATTAAAATGATGAATTTATTGAAGCGTAAGATAAAATCCTGTGTCCAAAATCAGACCATTAGTGTGGATTATTACTCACACCGGAGAAACAATTTACCTCGTCGCTGCAAAATCTCTTTAACGATAAAATTTCAAATCATTCACCGGTCATGTACGATAATGAAGCCTCTTACATTCAATCCGATTTTGCAAAGAAATGCAAGAGCCTATCACTATCCCTAATAGCAATGAAATATGGCTACATATGGACTTGATTACATTTTCCTATAGTGTACTGTAATGCCACTACTCTAAAACTACTCGTTACTAAAATAATTACGAAATGGTCCTGGTCTTATTCTCTCTTTTGAGTCTGAATTTACCCCCTCATAAGTGTCATATCAGGGGAAGTGGCTTAAAAATAAAGTGAACCATGCTTAGGGCTTCATAATAAGACTGGATTTAAATTGCTACCCGAGATAGTGCTGTCCGCATGTCAATTTAATAAAAAATTTAGACTCAACTATAAATATTTCAATATTAAATTTCCCAAGTTTTAACATTTATGAACAGAAACATTCTGTTGCTGTTACAGATTACAATTCAGTATTTGCAAATACTATTGTAGACAAGATAAACTATAAGTCAAACTGTACGAAAGGTAGACTGCATCTAACATACTTTATGTACTATATGACAGATATATCTTTTCATGATTTATCTTTTTGATAGATTATTTTTATCATCACGAAAATCATCTGAATATTTAATCGATAATATTCTTTCTTGTGTTATCCCATTAATGTATTGACGTTCATCTGATATTTGTTTTACCATGTATATTCATGCATGGTCAAAGAATCTCTGAAGAAATTTGTATTTGTACACCAATTCATGTGGTATTGTTGAAGACAACTGGTATTGCATACATGATATTGTTTTTTTCGTCCTGATTTTAATATGATAATTTTTTTTTTTTGTATCTTTCATATACTTGATTTTCCAGATTCGATATCATATGCTGGATCGACTTTTTTGCGAGTATGATTTTTAATACTTGAACGTAAAAATTTTCTGAAGAGTATTGCTATTTAGACTTTAGATGCATTTTACGTTAGATTATAGCCAGGTGTGACAAAATATTGGTCAAATGATTTTTTTTTTTAATATATTCATTCTACATTTAAAAAAATTATAATCATTAAAAAAAATAAAAGATGATAATTCATTTAAACTTTAAAAAATTCGCGTGTCGAAACATAAAAATAAAAATGATTCTGTCCAACAATGAATTTGAAGTTATTGTGAGAAAAATGAGTACTTGTACGATCTTGCAGTGAAATAATCATTGATAATAACTTAAAATTCACTTTTGGATAGAAATACTTTTATTATTATTATTCTCTACTTACACGTTTTAAAATATGGACTGATCATTTTTTTACTTACAAATTATAATAAACTTTCTTCATGTAAAGTTAAAACTCTGTACAATTTGTATAATTCAATTTAAATTATTACTTCACATTGACTATTAACTTTTAATCATCTTCTAATTAATAAATAATTCTTTCAGGAGTTCCTACAGTAGTAAAAACCAATATTCTTATCAGAAGTATGGGCCCTGTTTCTGAGTTAGATATGGTAAGTCATGAGAAAACTTTAAATTTCATACTTTGTTAAGGATTAAAATTTTTCAGGATTATTCAATGGACTGTTACTTCCGTCAATACTGGCGTGACTCGCGTTTGAGCTTCCTTGGACCCATTAAGTCATTGAGTTTAAGTATTAAAATGCTTGAAAGGATTTGGAGACCTGATACATATTTTTATAACGGAAAACAAAGTTACGTACACACTATCACTGTACCAAATAAATTGTTGAGAATTTCTCAACATGGTGACATTTTGTATTCAATGCGATTAACTATTAAAGCAAAATGTCCAATGGAGTTAAAGAATTTTCCAATGGATCGACAGTCTTGTCCACTTATCCTCGGAAGTTGTGAGTATCATGAATAAATTGGATTTTACTCAACAGAATTATTGCAGAAGTTATTAAAATAATTAATATTAGCATAATAATACTGATAAATAAATTTATATGTTATTATATATATGGTCGAATTAATAGAAAAAAATGTTCTATTCTACATTTCTTTTTATTTATTCGAGTAGAAAATTTGCAGACAATACAAAATCGTTGGAACGCAGCATCTCAATTTTCCCAACAGGTTCAATAGTATTTGCACTAACTTTCCTATTTATTTGATGTGATTCCTGATATTATATTGAATTAAATTTATATTCTATTGATAGCTTACTTATGATGTAGCAGTAAAAATAAAATTTAAGTACCCAGGTTTTTATCATATAAAACGAAATAAAGTTATAGTGATATGAGAAAATATCAGACACCTGGCAATACGATAAATTTTTATTTTTTCTTTCAGTTTCTTTTATATTTTTGATCTCTCCGTCAGATGTACAAAAGTACATGAACCAACGTAAAATTTGTATCAGGATATCTCATCGATAAGATAAGCAAGGATTGTGACATTACTTCTGCACACATATACTTACAGGAGATATTTTTATACTTTTCAGATGCTTATACAACAAGACAGTTGGTGTATGAATGGCAGGGAGGATCTTCAGTCAATTTTGTTCCAGGCATGGCACTATCTCAGTTTGATTTAATGGGTTCACCCTACCGAAATCTTACATTTGTACGACGAGAAGGTGAATTTTCTGTACTTCAAGTATCTTTCAATCTTCAACGAAATACTGGATATTTCCTCATTCAGGTAATTCTTATAAAAAATCATTAAAGCTATTATTGATTATAAAAAATTAATAAACTCTAGCATAGGTCTGACTCTAAGGTTTGCGTGATTGATATCTCGATAAAAATAGATCTTTATAAATAATATTAAAACATGAAGATAATAATATGTAAGATAATCATGTTTTTTTTATTTTTATCATATTAACTATCAACAACTTTGACCATTAATTTTATAGAAAAACCATATGCATTGTAAATTATTATCTAAAAACATGCGTCGACACTCACAAATACTCTATAAAGTATTTTTACTACAATCAAAATTTAATCAGGAAAATTTATCAATCAAATTCTCTTTAAAAGCACTTTAGAAGCAAAATTGAAAGCATAGCTGGAATCTTTAAAATTTCATTTTTTCTTAAATGTCTGGTTTTATCACAACTTCCCTATTCTTAGAAATGATTTTATTTAAACATCCATTTTTTATCTAGGTTTATGTGCCATGTGTTCTAATTGTCGTTTTGAGCTGGGTATCTTTTTGGATCCATCGAGAAGCTACAAGTGATCGTGTTGGATTGGGTAATTAATACTTCTTTTTTTATTTGATATTTAAAGTTTTCAAAGATTTTGTATCAGTGTAGATTAATTGAATATAAAAAAATCTATTGTAGGTATTACAACTGTACTGACGTTATCAACTATAAGTTTAGATTCAAGAACCGACCTTCCCAAAGTACGTTATGCCACAGCTTTAGATTGGTTTCTACTAATGAGCTTTTTTTATTGCATCGCAACGCTTTTGGAATTTGCTGGAGTCCATTACTTTACAAAAGTCGGAAGTGGGGAAATACCTATCGATGAAACGGAGTGGGAAGATTGGGAACAAGATCCTGATAAGGAGTATAATGATACACTGAGTCCTATAGCATCTTACAGTTCCCAAGCTGTACATCCTGAAGTTTCTACAAGAAGACGTAGCTCTATGTTGTGCTCTATTTATAATGTGAGTATGAAGAATTACTAGTGGTAAGCAAAAAAAATATCCTTAACTTACAGTAGATTTACTCGTGAAAAATAGGCATTCTCATCTCTCTTTGCTGTTATCAAATTACATTTTTCATTTGTGTTGCAACAAAAAATTGCAATTGACCATTAACTCCAAGTTATCATTTTTTTACGCTGAATATTTGGTATTTTTAAAAACAGGAAAACTCAGCATTTGGATTGGACTCTGGATACTCTATATCTGCAGCAGTCACGTGTAAACCATCCACAATGGAGAGACACACTCAAACTGAACTTTATACTCCAAAATGGAGACAATTTTTATATTGTTTAGCAGGCGATGATGCTTTTAGGCAAGTCATTTAAAAAATTATTAGTTGTAATTATAATAATGTATGAAATGATTTTTTTAAATAGAAGACAACGTCAACGTGAAGCAGCCAGTGGTTGTCGTCGACATGGGGAACGAGTTGAAAGACACATTAATAGTGTTTCCTACATCGATAGAGTGGCTCGAGTAGTTTTTCCTGCATCATTTACTCTTCTTAATGTTTTTTATTGGCTCGTTTATGTCACATATCAAGAAGAATTTAAATGGCAAGATCCACCCATTGGTTCTAGTTCACAATAAATATATACATGTATAAATAATTATTGGTTATATTTTTTTGTTTTTAATCTTATATCAAACATGACATTATCATGTATATCATTGATAAAAAGTAATTACGCATAATTATGTGCTGGTTCCAACTTAAAAAAATTATAACTTACCTTTATTCTGATTTTACAATATCTACCATCTTTTAAAATATATAAACTCTTGATACTTTGTTTATGGTTCTTTTACAATTATTAAGACTGGGCTCAAGTCAGAGAGGAGTCTGATATGATCCGAGTATAATTAATGCTGAAATTACAGCAATTTCCGGTTTTATCTTATTTGAAGTGTCGAGAAATTCATTTTCGGTTTTTTTCACATTCCTAGACGGAAAACTTTTTGACTTGAGCCTTCTTTTAATGAATCTTTCAAAATTATTGCCATTTTTTATACAAAACCTTCGAAAAATAGCAATCATGCCAATTGTTATTTGACTTTAGAAATAATCTTTAGCGCCCTCTAGCGTTAAGAACTAATATCAAAAAGTCTAATGGAGCATCAGAAGCGTACTGAATTACCGATCTATGTAGCTCCAAAAAAGAGCTAGGTTGGAGTTGACAAAAATGGTTTTATTTTTATTTTTCATGTTACAATAGGATAAAGTTTTTTTGCATGTATTAAAGTTTATTATGCATAGAATTGAAAAAAGTTTAATAATTATTATCTAAATGTGTTTCATTGTTAGATTATACTATTCATTGGATTAAATATATAAGTATATGAAAAGTGATAATAGTACTTTAGGTTACGTGAACCGTCTGTCAGAAATGAAACATTGTAATTGTAATTATTATAAACTCTATTCATTCTGCCATATGGAGATGATAAGACTATAAAGTATCTGAATCACTGAGATAAATGCCTCACAAGTCATATATTAACCGAGATCATATAACGTTTAATCATAACAGTATTGATACTATTGAATATGGAGTTAACAAAATACATAAAATTATATGTTTTATTATAAAATATTGAATTTTTGAGTTCAAATTTATTCATGTTTATGTGTTATGAGTTTAGGAAATATATTATTATAATCTTATTAAGATTCTCGGTCAAATATATACTTTGAGAATGAGTATCTTAAAGAAAAGGTATGAGGTTTGATAAATATTTCTTTATATTCTTCTACACCATTATCACTTATTGGATGTCAAATAATAAGTTTACTTTTTTAGATTAACTGATTTCGAAGAAGTTTTGAATGAGGAAGAAATTGACTTAATTAGTTTAAGGAAATTATGTTTTCATGGTAAAAATAAATTATAAAATTATAATATTCTATTGAAGACTATAACTTATAAAGTATAAATTTTATTAAGTAAAAGTTGTCTTAAGATTATAATTTAATTTTAGGTATTCCTGATGAAGGTGGTTTACGATCATTGTGTTGGAAACTATTGTTGAATTATTTACCTTTAACTAGAGATGATTGGCCTGATGTACTCAAACGAAAACGAGATTTATACAATACTTTTATCGGTAGAAACAATTACATTACTCAAAGTCACTTTTATTTATTTAATAATCTAATGTTGCTTCTTTATTTATTGCAGATGATTTAATAGTGATGCCAGGTGAAACTGCTGTTGATGGAGAGAGAGTTGATGTTACTTTTCATGATCATCCTTTAAACTCCAATCCCGGTAGTAAATGGCAAACTTTTTTTAAGGATAATGAAGTTTTATTACAAATCGATAAAGACGTTAGGTACATCAGCTTGAAAAGCCATTTCTCGTAAAATTGAATAATTTTCGATTGTTTTAATAATTTTGATTGACTTATTTATAGACGATTGTGCCCAGATATATCATTTTTTCAACAAGGTACTGATTATCCATGTCAAGCTATAGTAAACCCTAATGGCCCCAAACGCTTACATTCGCGTGTGCAACACACAGTACTCAGAAGTGCTAATGTTGAACGAAAAGGTTTAGGAATAACAAAGGTATTTTGATTAATTTAATTATAATTAGACAAAATTAAAATACATTTCATCTGTTGAATTATTATTTTAACAAATATTTGTTTTTTACTGCATTCAATAATGCAAAGTAGCAGGTACAGTTCTGTAATTTTAGTTGAGAATCATTTAAAATAACTAGTGTTTTTTAAAAATTTATTTTACTATTTGTAGATAGCTGTTTCGGTGAGAAAAGCACCAGAAGATTATGCTCCTCTAACTGAAGGTGGTGAAGCACATTGGGAAGTATTAGAAAGAATTTTATTTCTTTATGCCAAATTAAACCCTGGCCAAGGGTATGTTCAAGGTATGAATGAAATTGTTGGGCCAATTTACCATGCATTTGCTTGTGATCCGGATCCTAAATGGAGAGGTTAGTAAAAAAATATATAAATTTTGTTACATTGCATATTTTATTATTTTTAATACAATTTATGAGTGTCATTAGCTATTTGAATAATTTTTAGAATATGCAGAAGCAGATACTTTCTTTTGTTTTACCAATCTTATGAGTGAAATAAGAGATTTTTTTATCAAATCCTTGGATGAAGCTGAATTTGGTATAAATGCTATGATGATAAAATTAAGCCAACAAGTTAAAACAAATGATCATGAAGTATGGTTACGTCTACAGCAACAAGACTTATGTCCACAATATTATAGTTTTAGGTAAAATATTTATATATTTGTAAGAACAAAGTATTCAGTTGTATATGAAAATGATTTTAGATGGTTGACATTACTTCTTTCACAAGAATTTCCACTGCCTGATGTCATGAGAATCTGGGACTCACTTTTCGCAGATGAAAAGCGGTTCAGCTTCTTGATTCATATTTGCTGTGCTATGATTTTGTAAGTGATAAAAAAAAAATATTGAAGAAAATGTTTATTAAATTAGCTATTTATTTATTTCAGACTATTAAGAGATCAATTATTAGATAACGATTTTGCTACAAATGTGAAATTACTTCAGGTAAGATTTTATTTAATGACAATAATGTTATGATTATTACAAATATTTTAGATTTTTTTTATATTACATATCATTCAGAATTTTCCTTCAATGGATATCCAAATCGTGCTCTCCAAAGCGGCACTGTTAGCAGGGAAGACATTGAATACTCCATAAAAATACTCCTGATTAATTTCAATTCTCATTTCATTCATAAAATGAATTTATGTAAATAACGTTGACTCATCAATATCTTCCTTTAGAAGTAAAACAATATTTGTGAACACACATACAAGTCTAAATTTTAAAAAGTGAAATAAGTACAGTAATATTTCTTACTACTTAAACATTCTTTTTGTTAGTAAGCATAAATTTATGATTTTACAACATAACTATCATAGATAAAATTTATGAATTAGATATAACGTTTATATTTATTTAGTTATAAATCAAAAATTTAATTGTTTTATATATATATATTCATAGTACAGCAGTTGTTTCTTAATGAAATATCTTATGTTTATTGTAAAAATATACTCTTCTTTTATAAATGAAAATGAATTTATTTAGACAATAATTTAGGTGAAAAATCAATTTTATAAAATAATTCGATATTTCGATACGTCCAAATGATTATTATAGAAATTATTTACATAATTATGAAAATGTGAATTTTCAAAAATTATATTATATAGTTTTATTTTTATAATTATTCACTATATCTCTTTTTTACTTTTCAATAAACAATGCTATAAATAAATATATTTCATATTTTCAATGATATTGTGAATTTATTCATTTATTATCTATTTAATAAGTAAAATAAACCATCTGAGATGATCTGTACTGGCATATTAGTTTTTAAAAAAAGCTTATTTTAAAAAGAATACGATGGAGCTTTTAATCTTAATCTTTACTAACTTCAGGTACTTACTTTCGATGTATCGAATAAAAAAACTGCACTCGATTTCGAGATGTTATTAGAGACAAGTTCATTGTTGACATTGTATGTGAATTTATTGAAACAGCAGACTATTAACAATGTCCAAAAATGTTTTACTACTCCGGACTAAATGTCAGTCCATCCATCATTTCAACTGCATCATTAGAATATCCTGTGATTGATAAATATTCTCAAATAGAATTTGATGATATTATTGATTTAACAATTAGTTGGAATTATTTTTTAGTATGGCAAAAGAATGCTGTATTTATATCAGGAAATATTAATGGAAATTACAAAACTGAATTATTAACTATTCCCGGATTTCCTTCGAAAAAGTAAGTTCAGTTTAAATGCATTATAATTTATAGAGCAAATTATGTGAATTAAATTTTATGATTTAGGCTTTGCTCTGCTATTGCTGGGAAAACAATGATAACATTTATAACTAATGAAAGAGAAATTTGGCAGTATAATGTTTATGAGAACATTTGGAAGAAAATAAAAGATTTTATGGTACAAAACGTTAACAATGAATTAGAGTATGTAATGAAAATAGAAGGATATCACAGTGTAATAGCTTTAACTAATTTAGGTGAGTTTGAGAATCTTATAATATAAAATAAATAAATTTAAAAATAATAATTCTGTAGGAAGAGTTTTCAATATTCCCAATTTAGTTGAAATGCCCAAAAGAGTTAAGTTTATCGATATTGCTTGTGGATTTGAGCATACTATATTGTTAGCTGATAATGGAACTCTTTATTCAATGGGATCAGGCAGGTTTGATTTAACTGAACATTTTACTTAATTAAGTATTGATACATTAGTAGTTGTGAACAATACATTAAAGTATGTAACAATGATATTTGTAATTATGAGTGAAGTTGAGTTTAATTTTTACAGTAGAGGTCAATTAGGACATGGTGATTTAGAAGACTGTGATGAACCAAGATTGATTGAGGCATTAGCTGGTCTTAATATTATGAAAGTATCTGCAGGTGGTTGGCATAGTGGAGTAATTACATCAGAAGTAAGTTAATGTAATTTATTAAATTTTTTTTATGCAAAGCTTAATCTTTTAAAGGGAGATGTATATACCTGGGGATGGAATACTAATGGAGAACTTGGAATAATTAGTGAAGGGAAGATTATTGCCATTCCAACAGTCGTAGATTTTACAGATAAAAAAGGAAAACCATTAGATATAAAAATGGAAAGTATTCAGTGTGGCAATGCTTTTACCATGTGTCTGTCAGGTATTATATTATTGAACTTGAAAAGTTATATATGAAAACAAATACTTTTTTATTTTGATGAATAATGCATTATTCTGTATTTCTTAATAGAAAATGGAATACTATTTGGGTGTGGATCAAATAAATATGGACAATTAGGAAGATCATCTCAACAGTTTTCTCATTTAGAAAAATTTATAGAATTAAATGAAAATTTCAAAGGAAAAAAAATTCAGTTAATCAAATGCCAAGAGTGGGGTTCATTAATTAAAGTGGAATAACTATTTAAGTACACAATAAGTAAATTGCTTGAATATTTTTATAGATCTTTTTTGCGTTTTTAAATTTAATGATGTTAAAAAAAAAAACATGAATTCAAGGAAAAAATTATACCATAAATTTCAACCTGAAAAAAACTATTTAAATCACAAATAAAAATGTAAATATTGAATAAATTTACCTTGAATTGAATTAATTTTTCTGCCAGCCAATTAGTGGCAATACCTTGAGTATAGCTATTATTTATTTTTTTTTAAAAAAACATTGATAAATATCCAGTGCAAATTAACTAAAAAAATCTAAAAATATACACTGAATTAGAGTAGGTTCTCAGAAAACAATCAAACCACTTTAAGATTGTAATATCTTGCAAGATGTTGAGTAATACTTTAGATGAATATTAAAATGATTTGATAGATGTAATAAATAATGATTAAATAAGAAAATAGAGAGATAAATTTTTTTTTCAAATCGATTTTATTAATTTTTTTCCATATTTTGTTTAATATTTTCAGAAAATAACACTCCAAAGCGAAAAAACCGTATATTCTCACCAATCCCAATGTGTGTATAATATATATATTATACTTTTTTTGTATATATATAATGTATACTTTTACTTTATATATAATAATGTTACGTGGAGTAGCGCACACTTTAGACTGTTATGTATTGATACCTTTATAATTTTATCGATAAATTACAAATATTGAAAAACATGAAACAGATACAAGCTGGTCGGTGCACGACAACGAATTTTTACTAACGAGACTTTTATTGTAAAATTATCTTCTATTCATAGTAATTACATTTTTTTATTCAACTATTAAATTGATTCAAGTGTATGAGTTTCTTTGATATTCGCGTGGATCTTAGACTCGATGTTTACAATATCGATTATAAGTTAATGTAACGAAAGCATACAGATACGAATCACAGATTGACAACAAGGAGTTCCAAGATCGAGATCAATATCGAGAATAAATATCACGAATTGGCTTCATCTATTACAATTATACATATAGAATTGGAAAGCACATAATTGAATCAATTTCACCAGTTGAATAATTTTATAATACATTAATAATAGTAATTATTATTCTCATTAGTTAGTAAATTCATCAATTATAGTCACGAGTAGTAAAATTCGTAATCGCTCGAGCCTGCTTGATTTACTTATTATATTTTCACACCGAAGTCAAAAAGGCAATACGCAGTATGAACTTACCTAGTACATGTGTGTATCATGAGTGTACGCGCGTGTATTATTATTTTACAACTAATTTTCATTTTTTTTTTTTTAATTCTCATCTTTTAAAAATGCTTAAGTGACTCTCAGTTCTCTGTCATATTCATTTATTATGCACTCGAACACTTATCGAGTTTACAAAACTCGTAAAGTGAGTAATTATAATTTTTTTATATTTTTATTTTCATCAAAAAATTTTCAAGAGGATTTCGAGGATCATCGAGTTCTTCAGGGCGGGTAGGGTGAGGATTTCCGTAGAGAGCAATCGTATACGCGCTACAAATTATAAAAAAATATCTTCAACTAAAATTAGTTGGGAATTATTAACATAATTTATAAATATAAACTTTTTTATGATGAACAAAAAGGCTTCGTTATTTGGATTCATCTACATCATAAGCAACAGTCTTACATAATTAAAAATTTAATTTCCTATTTGATTAAGTTCGATTGAAATCCAATTTCGGAAGCCCTTATTTTAATAAACTCAAAACTTATTTTATAAAAATACATTACAACATAAAAAACTTGAACTAAAAAAAAAATTAATATTTTCCAGAGATTTTTATTGAAAATAATACAACAAAATGTTTCATAATGATAATAATAATTAAAAATAATTAATATTTATAGATACGTACTGTCTTACTTGATATCTATAGATAATCATCGTGTCTTAAAACGGCATTTAAATAATAATAATAATATGATTATCATTAATAATTAATAAATTTATAATAAAACAATGATAATAATAATGATAAAAATTAATAATAATAATATAAAGATAGTAAAGTTAATAATTGTTATATCATAAAATTATGTATTAATAGACAAACCTAATAGCCTAATTATTCGTGAACCATTCATCATCGTCTTTAACCGCTAGCTATGGATTCTTTTGCTTAGCAATGTTTAATGGGATAATTAATTAATTAAATTACACGTTGCTTGGATATGCACATACAGATATAAAGTCATTTTTGGTCCCACCTAACTGCAAACATTATATTCATACATTTTTCTGTTTCAAATGGTTTGTACGTGTATTAAATCGTGTGTACGTGTCAGGGAAAACTATTGTTACTTATTGTAAAATCGTGCCGTCAAGTTTTTTTTATCCATTTTTTTATACAATGCGTATACACGTCGTAGTATGGTTCGCATACATTAAGTATTATAGCATAAAAGTATATCAGAAAATTTATTCTTCACATTATACTCGCGAGTCGCTGAAATTCTCTACGTTCCTCCATTTAGCTTACTTTCAATCTTAGACTTTTTTTTATGTTTTCTTTTAGTTTTATTACATCTTGTCATATCCTGATAATTTATTTACCCACATGTTTTATTTAATCGCCATATTATGAATTTTGTTTCTTATTTTCATTCTCAAATATTCCATCTTATTAATTATTTTTCGACAACTGGCATTTTTTTATTACCAATTATTATTTGATTCTACTTAATTAAATTAATATAGTCTCACTATCTTTATGTATTGGAGATAAATATTTGTTGTAATTAAAATATTCTAATACATAATTATTTTGATCGATAAATAAATTGTTATGGTGTTGATAGGTATTACCGTAACATTCGTTTATCTCCAATAATTCAATAATTAACAGCCAATTGAGAAAATTTCGTTTTAGCGCCACTTGGTAAACCATGGGCACAAATTTAATCTAATTAAGGCGTTACAAATTTTCACTTTATAATTTTTTTTTTTCATGAATACTGGTATATCAGTCTCATTTACATTAGTCCCACGATTCATAAAGATCGAGATCAACATTGTTCTCATTTGTAAAATGAGAGGAAAGTCGTGCTTAGCACATGGAATTAAATTCTATATATTTCAATGCCAGTTGTATATTTTTTTAGGAAATGCGAGGATTATTTTTAACGTTTTTCTTTCCTTATTATTTAATTCAATATTCTTTTTTTTTCAATTCAACTAATCAGATAAATGATTTTTAATTTTACATATGAATAAAAAATTATTTATTTTTCCTCGCAAAATCCTATTTATTGAACACAATTCATGCGGATCTCTCTTATTCACAGAAGTACGAAGAGAAATTCGCCAAAATCGCGTGTTTATCTTTATTATCAACATATTTCAATAGTAATAACCTCACAACCATTTTGACAACAATCAATCATTAACAAAAAGAGCATCTTACGTTCAAAAAATGTTTAAAAATGCGCCGCCGTATTAAAGGGGTTTTAACCCTTAAAGGTCGGCGTATCACATGTTTAAATTGTGAACCACATTTTACTACGGCGTCGGTATAATATGCGATTAGAAATTATTCAATTATTTACTAATTCTTTATCTAGTTATTAAAAATTTTTTTTTTTGTTAATAATATTAATGATAATTTTAAAAATAATTATCAAATGAATAATAAAATAAGAATAATTATCCAATCGCATATCTTCCATAACAATTGCATATCTTAGTTTTCGCAGTGACTTTGTGAAAGTGCATATCACGAAATAATTTGGAAAATTCACTTACACATTCGTCGACGCATTTCTGTAACTTTTATAATAAATTTAACTCTAATTAATGTCTTATGACAATCGTATACAGTCGTGTATAAATTCACGATATTATACTCATAAAAAAAAAACATTTCAACGAAAGTATAACAATACTCAAAAATTAAAAGATAACTTTACAATCTATTTTTTTCCATTATCCTAAAGGTGTTTCACTTGGTCTGTACAATTTACATTTATTATTTATTATCCCTTAGAAAATATAAAATAATTAAAAATATGTTGTATTTGTTATACAAAGAAAAATTCGTATCATCAATAAAACCTCTTCTTACAATTCATTTCTGCAAAATGTATCAATATATTAATTTGCAATTACTTCGGTTTAGTTTTCATGTATTATTGTGTATGTGAATGAGTTTTTATGTAGAAATAGTTATGTATTGTTCATCAGTTATTTATTTTATTCTTTTTTGATATTGTAATCTGAAGATATCTGTCATCAGACTGTAACGTTCTTGTAAAAGTCCGTCCGCATGTTTTTTTTTTTCACTCAATTAATTGTTTGAAATACATATATATATATATATATATATGTATATACGTACACAGTTGGATATCGGTTTCTGTCTTACTTGAACTTGGGGCACCAAAATAGAATAAAAATTCTACAAATGTATATTAGAGGCGCAATAGTTTTGTATATTATTTTATTTGTCAATTGTTAATATTATGTAAAAAGTATTACGTTTAAAAAATAATAAGTGTCAGTAAATATAATGATCAATGATCGGTGGCATAAATCATTTACTAAAAAATACAAATAATAATAATAATAATATGTTACTAATAAAAATAATAATCATATAATTAATCATGACATGAGTGATTATTACCTCTAAATAACTGAATATTTCTTTTTATTTATTAAGATTTATTTTATTAAATAATAATTGCAATTTTATATAGAATATAAAAAATATTTTTTGACGTTTTCTAACTACTTAGATGTACATGTATAAAACACTATATTCGAATGTAAATTTGTTTCTCTAATGCATAATTATTTGCATAAGTATAATTTACAAATGAAACAATAAACTTACATACAATATCCTCCACGTGAGGAAGAAGTATGGACAAATAATAACATCTACGGTGAGCGGTGGGTGGGTGGGTTGAAAGGGACAAAGATGATCAGATACTCCGAGAACAGCTTGAAGATTGCAAGTGCCATTCATGATATTGAGATTATTATCAATTACACTTGAGGCCTTGCGCAAGTCCTGGAGAGCCATTTGTCGAGACCAATAAAATGACGTCTAAGAGTTATTAACGAAAAAAAAAAATAATAATAATAAAAATAATAAAATAAAATTATAATGTTAATAATTATAAAAATTATAATAATTATAATATTACTAATTAATGGAATAAAAATGAAACTCGTATTAAAATTAAAAAAATGAACTTGATAAAAAATATAAAAATTATTTCGATTTAAAAAACGACTAATAATTTATTAACAGAGGTAAAGTTATGCCTTATTTATATTGTACTTGAAAAAAAAGCTTTACAACAGATTAGAAGATTATAATAAGACGAAAAAAAAATCAAATCTACAAGTCGTTTAGTTGATCATTTTTTTTTTCTTTATACCGATGTATATGTGTGGTGACTGGCTTATAAAAAAATCTTCCTTTTACATATTGATATTAACGACAAGATTAAAAAGATTGAGGTTTTATAATTATGACAAGAAATAAGATAAATCAGTGCACACTAGATCGAGTTACGTCTGTTGTGTGATTATGAATAAATATGGATACACATGGGTCCTTAGTAACAAATAATGAGGTTTGTTTATAATTATAAATAAAAACACCTCTTTTAAGGATATGTGATGATATTAATTGTCGATTGCACCCTATCGGCCCTTATTTCAAATTTTGCAAGAAAAAAAAAATATATCTATAAGTTACCATGAATATTTGGTTAATTACGTGCAAAATTTAGACCGTAATTTGTAAATAAATCGTTAAAAACTTCTTTATTTGTTTAATTTACTGAAAGAGTTTTTGTTTTATTTTTGGAATGAATTATTTCGTATTATTTATGTTTTCATCTCGTTTATATTAATTGCATGAACACATTCAACTTTTGATTGGATTTTATATAAAATTTATTATGTCGATTTATATAGAAATTATCAAATAAAAAATTGTACGTAAAAAAATTATTTTCTTTTTTATTTAAACCTGATGAAAAGATTAAGCGTCTTTTAGTTTTATGAGCGAGTATAAGTACATCATAAGAATTAATGCAAGTATAAATAAATGGAAATTTGTTACAAGAAATTATTAAATACATTTAAAACAAATGAACATCGGTATATCAATATATAATTATTAATTGGCATAATTGATAATTGTTAAATCTACCATAAAATAAATTGCACAATCGCACTTTGTTTTTCAGGAAAAAATTAATTTAATTTCAATCTTTTATGGAAAAATTATTGAAAAAAATTTATTTGAATGAAGAATAAAAAAATAAAATAATATTAAAAAAAAAAATGATAAAATGAAAACAATTATTTTAATAATCATATCCGCGGACAGACGTTTTTGTTTCTTTTTTAAATATTGTTTAACAGTCTATATAAGTATATGAGTGCACGTTTTTTTCTTTTTTTACGTTCACGTATACGTATACAGTAAATAGTCCGTCTTTCGTTAGGGTTTTTTTTTTTGAATCATGTCTTGTTATGTAAATGTGTTAAATATAAATGCTGTTTACACATATATATTACACAATAGAACACCATCTCAAGTAATCATTCCCTATTTTTGTCATTCTCATTCACATATACATATTATTTATACATTATATATATATTTATATATATTTATGTATACATATTATTAAATATATATACATATTATTTGTTCTTTTCAGTTGGATATCGCTTAATGTACACGTTTATGCTTGTATACATAAAATTTTAGTAAAATTTTTTTCGTAAACGAATGTCTAATCTGTATACTAAATTTTCGATTGAACTTTTTTTTGAAGATTTGTAGAATATTTTGGCTCATTGTGAAACCACCATTTAATTCTACAGTATACTCGTATTTATTTTGCACATTCGCGCACATATATTCGTTACAACAATAATTAGTCACTCGTGCCACTTCTGTAATTAATCAATGATGATCGAAGTAGTAATTATACGCAATAATGAATCAGTATCATTAGTGAATGTATCCTTATATCTATTATACTTAATTTTACGATAATAATTATTAAAACCATAGATATAATAATTAGCAAACTATAATGATTGTTTTAAATGATGATGATTTTGAGAACTGTTTATCAGTGTATGCGGATTTGTTTTTTTTAAATATTTGCCTGTATGTTTTGTTTTTGTTAACTATTATTAATGAATTATAGACAGTTTGTATATGAGATATTGTGGCGGAAAGAATCGGGTAATAGGATATAGGTATTCGACGTAAGAACTCTACTATTGGTCTTTATATTCTATTAGTCGCGTTGCACCTCGCGTGTACACTGTAAATTCCATTTTATAATTCAATCTTTAATGCATAATTAACTGTTAACTTTCGAACTGTGAATTGGTAATGCCCTCACTTGTTATTCTATTTTTCCTACGGATTCATTGTCTACATCGGTTTCGCTAATAAGTAGAAATAAAACATTCTACAAATGATAAAAAAAAGTAAATAAAACACTTGTATATTTATTTTATAATGAACAAAGATAATTAACAATTGTGATCGTCGCTCCTCTCACATCGCTTAATGCTGAATATTAATTAGTCTATTGGAATTTCTTTTCTTTTTTTTTTCATCTATAATAATAATGGTAATAATAATCATAATCATAATAATAGTAATAATAATAATGATAATCTTAGTATATGAAAATGTAATATTTTCGCTTTGAAAGTGTCCAAAATGTTTGGTCTGCAGTATTAGAGTGTAAGTTTTATAAGAAGGAATGTATTTGAAGATAAAGTTAGAACTATAATAATGCTCCTCCGGCAAATATATATAGATATATATATATATAAAAAGCATGAACGAGAAGAGAGGAGTTTGTCCAAGCGGGAGCAAAAAGTATATTTTTCATACTATCTACTCAATCATCTTTAACTATAGGAATTTTTCATACAATAAAACTTTTTCCAATCCATTCCTCCCGCAGGGGCTACGTCGAACACGTTATTTTCTCTCTGCTCGTTATCTCATTTTTCTAGCAAAATTCACAGATCTCACGGAATTTCTCTCTCTCCCGCTTTGCCATTATAACTCGACGATTACGACAATTGTAATATTATCATTATTATTTAATTCATTTTTTTTTGTTGGTTTTTTTTTTCAAGAGATTATAAAAAATCGTGTGGCACATTGACGGTTGGAATGTTACTTTGTTTTATTTTAATTTTAAATTCAATAATAATTATTATAATAATATAGTACTTTTTTCCGTAATTAATAATATACTTTTTTTTTTTAATATGTTAATATTACGTTCATATAATATTTGTATATTTTATATATATACCTTTTTCTGTATATTATATTAATTAGTATATTTTGTTTCTCTGCACTTATTGTTTATTTCTGTGCTGACTGCAGGTTTTGATTTAAGGGGACATTCGTTCCATCTTATATAAATATGACGAGCAATTGTTAAAGATAGAACGATCCACATTACTATTATTATTATTTTGCATTATTTACTTATTGTTTTATTTACTTGAAATTTTTACTTTGCTCAATCGCTGCTGGATATGACGTATTAATTGTACATAGTATGCATTTGTATTCATGGTTTGAACGCGGCGTAGCTGTACATTCTATGTATTGTCACTGTTTTTATTAAACAGTTAAAACAATGTCAATTTGTATATAGTTTTGTAAGCATGCCGGTTAATGTCTATTGTTCGTATGTGTTGTAGCCGGTTTTATTGTTGCATTGTGACGTCGATGAGTTTGCAATCGACGTTAAATACGTAGCATCGCGCCAATTTTAACCACAACAAAAATCATCACGAATTTAACTTTGACACATTTGTCTATTTTCCCTCTTTCTACGTTTTATCAAGCTACATGTGATATGCAATCTCATTGGTCAAGTATTCTATAGGGAAAATATCAGCTGATGATCATCATTACACTCTCTAAAAGTGTGTCATATTGATGTTAAAGTCTATCTTTTAAATAAATATTTATCAATCATAGTTAATTCGTGATATTTTTCATTGTAAGTGTTATAAAAATAGACGCTTAGCTTTTAAACTGTAAGGAGACGACCTGGTACCTGGATGCTGTATTATCAAAATACAAGCTGTAGAGAGCAGACTGTTGGTAGAAGTGTATATACTTCAAAACTGTGTATGAGTGTTGTATTCCAGTGTATTCTATTGCGTGTGTTCGTAATAATGTGATTATTGTGTGAACTTATCAAACTGTAGGGAGCAATTGCGCAAGGGAGGTACTTTACTGGGTGGCATGTGGATAAGTATAGTTTTGGAATATTACAGTAGTTTTGCAATACGGTAGGGAGAGTTTGGTTTCCGGATATTTATTACAATAGTTTAGTTATTAATTTTTTTTTTTTTTTCGAGCAGTAATATATTTTTTTCATTTTTGTAGTATGAAGAGCCCGACCTTTACATTGTATACCTTCATTTTTATATAACTATCGTTTTTTGTTATTTTTTTTCTTTTTTTTAAATATAGAAACATATTCATTTTTTTTTTTTTTTAGTTATTTTAGTTTTTTTTTGGAAAAAAATTATGAACGAGCATATTTAATTTACTATCAAAAAACCAATTTATCAATAAAGATATATATATATTTATATATTTCTATGATATTCTAATAAAATATTTACATATTTGTATTATATTTTTTAATTGGAATGATCGTCGTAATTATTTAGTAAGAAAAAAAATTTTACTAGCACCAAATCTACTGAGAATCTTGGTCCGCTGTAGTTTGATACTTAATAATTTTACCACAGCTCGTGAAATCAAATATATACTTTTTTTTCTATTATTCTTTTCTTTTCTCTTTTTTTTTTTTTTTGTATCTTGTTAATAGATTATCCGATTGATAAAAAAAAATGCAGAGGTCGGGCTAATAATAGTGATAGAATAGAAAAACACGATATATTATGTATAAACAACTAAAGCGCCACGCTATTAGTACTTCCTGGTCCTAAATATGTAGTACCAAGATCCTTTTTTTCCAATACTTAACACTAACATATTCAAACTAGGCTTAG